GCATCAGTGATGATGTTCATGAAATTATTGCATCGTTGTTAAAACTCATCTGAGTCACTGATGGCCTAAAAGGGAAGGAAGTCTGCCATCTGAACCATGAGTGATTCCAGACCCACAGCAATGTGATTGACTTTTCACTGCCCTCTTAATAAGCCAGCAAAGCTTTTTCAGTTCTGTTCATGAAGGTCATTCACAACAACCTGCTTAAAGGCAACTAATGCTGAATTTGGCAGGGATGCTGGTGCCCTTTGAGCAAATTAAAACACACAATTGACTTTGCTCATTGGATAAAAGGGGATTGATAGAAGTGGCATCATACAGCCCTTTAGTTATTAAGGACTTTTTTTCTGCCCTCAGTCAGGATTCCAAGAAAATGGGTTCTACAAATCAGTGGGATCCAGACATGACTACACAAATTGTGAATTGGCTCCTCGCACAAGGCTTCAGGAACTTCTCTCACTTATAAACTCAATGTAGTGGTTACTCAAGACAGCTAACTGTTATTGTGCCTGTTATTCTAATGTCAGGCAGAAATAGTACACTCAAGCAAAGGTGTAAGACCATAAGATGTAGGAGCAGAAGTAAGCCATTTGGCCTACTGAGCCTGCTGTGTCATTCAATGTGGATCTGATAATCCTCAACTCCACTTTCCTGTCCCATCTTTATTTCCTTACTGATTAGCGATTTGTCTATCTCAGCCTTGCTGTTAAATACAAAAGCACACAGCGTGCATGGGAAATGGTTAGACAGTTGTCATTGCAAGGATGTTTTACTATAGTTATTGCATTTACCAACAATAAAAACTCGCATCTGAACAATAACAAACCTCTATTAATGTCTTTCAGCATATCTTGAAGTGACGTCAGCTGACTGAGGAGTTGCTCCTTCTTGGTCTTTGCATCTTCCAGCCGCTCCTTCGACGCTTTCAGTTTCGGCTTCAGTTCTAAGGCAAGATTGCAAAAAAGTAGTTGAGAGCTCACGGCAGCGAAACATTCCCATCAGATCAGAGCGCTCAACCATCACCTACCTTCTTCAGATTTCTTCTGAGCTTTCTTAGCCTCCTTCTCTAGCAGTGTGCCTGCCTTCTTCAAATCAGCAGCTTGTTGAGCCAAATCTTCATCCATCACTTGCTAAAATGCAGTTGGGAAAAATATATTCAGGTGAAATGGTTAACTCTTCACTGACTTTCATTAATGACCAGGGAGCACAGATTTTAAAGTAATTGGTCGAAGGATTAAAGGGAATATGATGAGTGGTGGGGTGGGGCTCTGGAACTCACTGCTTGAAAAGAATGGTGGACGCTGAAATCCTCATCAAAACTGTGGGAAATTGGGGCTAGGCTTTACTGCTCTTTGTCAGTCGGTATGGACAAGATGGGCTGAAGGGTCTCTCAGCTGAAAATCTTGCAGTGTTTCTCCATCTGACAGGAACAGGTAGTAGAAAAGACATCTACATTTTGGAAGCACGGGAGGATTTCTTGTGGAGTCAAACACTGGGTTGGAGGACATGTTACTTTCTCATCAATAGAAAGTGTAAGAGGAAATCAATTTGATAATTAAAAGGTTTGAATATGCAACAATCTTAGATATTTAGAGTTGGTAGTCTGTGGCTTTTTACTGACAAGTCAGAATGAAGTGTCACTTTCAGGCAGACTGCAGATAAATGAATGAGGCTTATTTTGATAAAAATTGAATTAACTAACTTCTTGTTAGATATAATGTCTGCCTTTCTTTTGTACTTTCATTGTAAATGGTTACATTTGCAATAGGACCTGGCATTGTACATTTGTAACATTGCAATCAGGCTTTCCCAGCAGTGAAGGTAGAGGGCGAGGGTGTAATTAGAGCCACATATGCTAGTGAGAGACTCTTATGGGTGCAGTGGTAGTATTCCTATTCAGTGAGGGGTCAGTTAGCTCAGTGGTTGGCTGCCTGGTTTGCAATGCAGAATGCTGCCAACATCATGGGTTCAATTCCCACACCAGCTGAGGTCACCATGAAAGCCTCTCCTTCTCAACCTCTCCCCTCACCTGAGACAAGGTGACCCTCAGGTTAAACCACCACCAGGCTGTCTCTCACTAATTAGAGAGAAGCCTATGGTCTGATAGGATGATGGCAACTCTACATTTTCCTCTGGGCTGGAAGGTCCATGTTCAAGTCCTCCTTGCCACTGAAGTGTCCCAGTATCTCTGAAAAGTGAGAAATTGGCTGACTCCCAAACTGAGGCAATCCTGGAGGGGGAAGTGTTAACAGTGGTATGGAGTTTTATTTCAAATTTTCCTGGGCTGTTTTGACAGCAGCTTTCAGGGATCTATTTAAAAATAACTAGTTCAGGTGCTGATGGCCTGCTTTAAATAGTCACAAATGTCCACCCACATATTCCTCAAGATTGCAACTGGGATCCCACGAGCTTCCTACAGTCTGATTTGCATATTTCAAGTGTCTTTGGCCCCCAACTGGTGGATGGTCCTCAGGACATCAACCAAGATGGCGGCCACTCGAGTATGAACAGCTGATGACTCAATGCAGCCACCCCACTGATAAAAAGGAGAATAGTGATTAGCACTGCTGCCTCACAGCGCCAGGAACCCAGATTCGATTCCACCCTCCGGCGACTGTGTGGCGTTTGCACATTCTCCCTGTATCTGCGTGGGTTTCCTCCCACAGTCCCAAGATGTGCAGGTTAGGTGGATTGGCCATGCTAAATTGCCCATAGCGTTCAGGGATGTGTAGATTAGGTAGGTTGTAGGGGGATGGGTCTGGGTGGGATGCTCTGAGGGTCGGTGTGGACTTGTTGGGCTGAAGGGCCTGTTTCCACACTGTAGGGATTCTATGATTCCAATCCTCCACTTCACCTGGAACCCTCCATTTTACCTTTAAAGCCTTCATTGCTGCCTCATCTGCCTCCTTTGCTGCAGCCTTGGCTGTTTCCACTGCCTCAATAATACCAGCATATGCATTGGATGCATTCACTGCTCGCTGAATAAATCCATCTTGGTTTGTATCTTCAATTGCCCTGCGAACAGCCACAAGATGAGATAGATCTGGGAAACAGTAGTTGGCTGTTAGCCGTCTAATACTTTCGCGGCAGAAGTAACTTGCATTAGTTGAGTATTTTCCAAAATCAAACTGCCATTAAATAGAAATGCAAGTGTGGAAAATATCCCGGCACTACATAACTTGAAACACACAGGCAAATGATGCAGCCTGCAGCTATATTCTCATGCGGCACAGTATCCCACCTGTTCAAACTATACCAAGGCACAAAATATCATTTGGAAATTGTCAAACAAATTTATGGAGGGATATGCCTGGCATGGTATTGATGTGACATTTTGGAAACATGAAATAGTTTTATAACAAGCTACCAGGACAGGAAGAATGGATTGCTGGAATTGGAAACGATGTGGCTTATAAAGTAGGCAGCTGATAAGCAAAGCCAATTTTAGACTGGGATAGAAGTTGACAGCCCACCTTGATAAGTAGATCCACCTACAACGCAGTCAGATATCACAAAAGCTGATATACAAGGTAATGACTTTGGAAGGATTAATGTTAAAGACTGTACTAACCACCACCCAATTTGATGATGTTGTATATTTTCTTTGGGGTGGGGGGGCAGTGAAGAAGACAAGTCGAGCTTGAGATCCTGATGGAGTCAGACCTGCCATCTCTGGTCCCTGATAAGTTAGGTCTAATGATTATGATTACCAATGTTACTTGTACCTATTACAATTGTGCAATAAACTGTTGTTAAGACAAGTGCCTCTTATTGTTAAGACTCACAAGTAGTTGATCCCCCAGCACTGTTAGCCACACAGGCTCATTAGTGGAAGCACACTAGCCCAACTATTAACTAGTTAGTGGTTGCTTCCACACCATATACAGCAAAAACATCAAAAAGAAAACAGCCTCTATACAGACCAAGCAAATGACACTGCCTTTCATTAATCTAATATAAAGCTACACAATTAGTAACATGCACTAGTCAATTTTCAACTAATTCTTAATTGGTTTACCTGGACAAATTTTTCGCAAGCTCATCCAGAAACCGCGCATGTTCCTCAGCATGCTCAATAATTGGAATTTTGCTGCTTGCTGGTGAGAATTTTTTCACCTTTTCAATGAGGGGCATTCTGGCACCATCCAACATTGCAGCCAGTCTGTCATATTCCTGGTCACCAAGAAAACAAAAATTAGATGTCGTCCCTGTTACCACAATTCTAATTTTCATTTTTGATTTTAAGGAAATCAATTGTTTCAATGTGACTCAGTCAATAGTGCTCTGACATCAGAGTTCAGAAAGATGAGTCCAACTAAGTCTTGAATAAATAGTCTAGACAAAGTACTACATAGTCACAGGGGCTGCCCTTCAGAGGAAGCATGTTTGTTGCTGATAGTTCTGCTGGATATAAAAATCTTATAGTGCTACATTTGTAACCAGGAGCATTCAGACGTCCTCCTTCAACCAACACCACCAAAAATAGGATTATCTGTTCATTTGCTGCCGATGGGATCTCACTGTGTGCAGATTGGTTAACAGGTTTATGTAACAGTAACTGCACTTCAGAAATTCTCTCAGGGCACAAACAGCACCTTAAAATGCAGCAAGAATTATGGTAAAGTGCGACATACACATCAGTTTTTTTCTGATAAGGGCAAGGTTTCTCTGATCAGTGAAAACCGAGCTCATCCACATGGTAGTATTTGAAAGTGTTAAACATTACTTTGCTATAGATAGCGAAAGGTGATCCAGCAATTCTGTGTTCCCACAGAGTGTGGATCAAAGAATCAGGGTGACTCTGTACCTTTGATATTGTCTGCAGGTGCAGGATTATAGAATTCACCTTGCCAATGTCAGACGTTCAGCTGAGTCTTTGTTAGCTCAACTGGAATGGCATTGTACAGTGTCAAACAGAACAGTGTGGATTAGGATAGTCTGTGGTTTAGAGCTTGGTTTCCAAAGACCGCTTAAGATCTCAGCTGAAGGGATAGTGCTGACTACCCGAAACGTCAGCCTTCCTGCTCCTATGATGCTGCTTGGCCTGCTGTGTTCATCCAGCTCTACACCTTGTTATCTCAGATTTTCCAGCATCTGCAGTTCCTACTATCTCTGCTGACTACCACTGCTGGTTTTAGCATCCCAGGTGGAAAAGTTAGAAGAAAACATTTAGTCAGAGTTCTAAAACTTACTAAATACAAAAAAAAACTGGAAGAACTGTAGATACTGGAAGTCAGAAACAAAAAAACAGAAATTGGAAAAACTCAGTAGATCTGGCAGTGTCTGCAGAGAGCAAGCAGAGTTAACATTTCGGGTACAGTGACCTGAAGGAGGGTCACTGGACCCAAAATGTTAACTCTGCTTTCTCTCCACAGATACTGCCAGACCTGCTGAGTTTTCCCAGCAACTTCTGTTTTTTGTTTTTGTAACCCACTGTTGGAGAAGACACATGTACGATAAACTATTGAGCATCTGCCCTGAAATTTAAGAGCAAAATGATGGCATCGTGGTCATATCACTGCACTAGTTATCCAGAAACTCGGGCTAATGCTCTGCGAAAATGGATGCTAATCCCGACATACGTTCAATGGAATATAAAGTTCTTCTCAGTAATAGAGACCATGAAACTCTCATTAAGTGCTGTAAAAAGAAAAGCAATTTCTCTTTAGGGAAGCTGTCCTTTTCTGGTCTGGCCTACATGCCACAAGCAACAGTGTCTCGGTCTTAACTGCCCTCAGCAATGGCCCAAAATGTCACTCAGATTAAGGGCTATGATGAATGGGCAAGAAATGTTGCAGTCGCCAGCTATGCCCATGACCCATTAAGTAATAAATGAAATTTTGCATAGTTAAAGCAAACTTATCGCTCGCTTTCTATCCCCTATACATAGAATGCCTAGCCGGTGACATACTCGCGTACCTCAGTGTTTTGAAAATTGTGTAAAACTGGAGGCGAATAAGGGCTGATTAGATAATTGAACAGTACAAAATGAATTGGTCGAGTCCACAATGAAACTAGAAATCAATTTAACCTGAGTAGAGCATATCATTGATCTCTGGTGCCACGGATTAACCGTAACTGAATCATCCCAATTAACTCTGGACTGGTAATTAATGTCATTGCAGTGCCACTTACCTCCTTAGCAACATCAAACATCTGGAGGAGGTCAGAAACCTGCGCTAAGGAATCACTGGCCATTTTCAGCACTTCCTTTACTTGCTTGTACCGGTCTTCCAGTTCCTCAACTTTTTGCTAAGGGTAAATGGAGAAATAAGTTGATTCCAGTTGCTAATGAAAGCAGCACTGTTGCAGAAATAGTTAACAGAATCCGACTGTATGTGGATTATATCACAACTTAAAGACTTAAGGAACTATCATTGGCACCCCTCTCCTGGAAAAGGCTTCATCTTCCTTTCAAGTGTTACTAGTTGAAATTGAAAAAAATTCTTGCCCATGCAAAACAGGTCAAAGAGACTGTATGTGCCACTCACTGGCAAAAGTAAAGGATTCAGTCATTAATTCTTCTCAAAGTGCCACTAGGCCAAAAGAGCTCAAATTCCTGCAGAAAATAATCACGCAAATATTCACCAGGAAATTCACCAAAATTCCTTAAACAGCAATGTAAAAAAACCCACAACCTCTATCATCTAGAAGGATAAAGGCAGCATATACATAAGAATACCACCCACTGCAAGCTCCTCTCCAAGCCAGTCATCATCTGACTTGGAAATATATCACTTTTCCTTCAGTGTTGTTGGAGCAAAATCCTAGAATTCCCTTATTAACGGGACAGTGGGTCTACCTACAGCAAATGGACTGCAGTGATTCAAGAAGGCAGCTCACTACCACCATCTCAAGGGAACTAGGGATGGGCAATAAATGCTGGCTTAGCCAGTGATACCCACAATCCACAATCCAAATAATAAAAAAAATACAAAACCTTACCATGTTCTCTGCCAGTAAATGCTCATTGATATTGTTCTTTTCATTGGCTTGTCCAGTTTTATTAACTGCTTCGTTAAGGGCATCCCTAAGGTCCATTAATTCCATATTATACTTCAGCAGTTTATCACTTAGGTGTTCAACAAGATCATTAATATCTTGTAACGGTTTCTCCAGCTGCTTCTCCACTCGTTCAAGTACTAAATCAGAAAGTCGCAAAGGAGGTTAGAAAACTAGCTCAATCTACCGCTTCCACAATTCAAGCAATATCTCCTCTCATAGTGAACAATGCTTCCTGTTTTGAAAATATTTATCCTTACTATCTTGAAAGCTGCCTTGTTTTGACGTATAATTCAGGTGTATGAATGTACATCGATTGGTATCATTTTGGAATTAAAAGCCCTGGACCACATAATATGGCATAATTTGTTTCACATACTTACACAGCCCTTGATAGTCTGATCAATTATGTGGCCCCCATTACTAGCTAAGGACATTTGTAAAAAATGAAATTCAGTGCTGTCACTCCCATGTCTTCTGCCCTTCCAGGAACAGAACACAAAAGGAATGCTGGCACCAAGCAGGGACAGATCAATAGAAACGGTTCCATGAAAAATATAAAACCTATAGCTTTACCTCCGAGTAATGTTCAAGATATGGACAGATACATTTCTAGACACTAATCTCATGGAAAGATATGAGGCTAGTGTGGGGAAATGGCATTGAGGTGCATGAACAGCCATGGTCTAGAATGGCACAGCAGGCTTGAAAGGCTGTGTTGATATTTTTGCCCTGTGGAAACTGAACATCTGACCACAGAAGCATGTCATCGCCTTATTGCAGCAAAACACAGGGTAACATGTTGATGTATTACTGAGTGCTACTAAAGGAAATTATTATGCAGAATTACAAACTAAAGCAAAATATTCAGTGAGAGGTACTAAAAACACCAACATGGCCAAATTTGCAGTTACTTGCCAGGAAATATAGCGTCGTAAAGAATATCATTATCAAAAGTGCTTCCTTCATCCTCCATTTCAATTGGCACTTTCCTCCTTTTACCAGCTAATCATATGTTGTTTATCCCCAATGTTATCATTTTAGGGAACTGATTATCATGCTGTATGCTTCTTACAGTAATAGATCATCAACACCCAACTTTATTGACTACAAACAGATCAGGGCTGTCTGCCAGGTGTCTGTAATAAATGATAAAGCAAAACGGTCTGAATAATTGTTGGCTCAGGAACTTTATCAATACGTTCGTGTTTCGCTCCTGAGTGTGGTATTTTGAACAAGAGTATTTACCTTAGAAACAAAAAACTTTGTTCATTCGAATTTTGAGCTCTCTACCTCGGTTGTACTCACGTTTTTTTGCCTCCTCTTTCTCGCTCTCAGCTATATCGTGCTGACTGCTGAAATTTCGGCCTCTCATTTCTTTCAATAACTTTTCCACCTCAGCAAGTTTCTGTACAAATTCATCAGGAGATGGCATGCTGGTATCCAACTGTGTCTTGTTCATCTTATCAATCAGATCTGAATAAAACCATTTCAACGGGAATTCAGTTACCTTTTCGCCCTTCTTGAAATTTGTCTGAGCAAGCAAACACGGTCCTTTACTCCTAACAGGATGAGGGTGTCACTGACCAGGCAGCATTTATTGCCCATCCCTAATTACCTAGAGGGCAGTTCAGAGTCAACCACATTGCTGTGGGTCTGGAGTCACATGTAGGCCAGGCCAGGTAAGGATGGCAGTTTCCTTCCCTAACGGATATTAAAACCCATCTGGTTCGTTTCGGACAATCGACAATAGATTCATGGTCATCATTAGATTGTTAATTCCAGATATTTTCTGTGGCTGCACAGAAATTGGAGCGGACTAGCAAGCTTCCAACTCAGAAATATCTCATGCTAGAGGTCCAATGGGATATACAAACCAGAAGAACTGCAGATGCTGTAAATCAGGAACAAAATCAGAAGTTGCTGGAAAAGCTCTTCAGGTCTGGCAGCATCGGTGAAGAAAAAACATCAGAGTTAACGTTTTAGGTCTGGTGACCCTTCCTCAGAACTGATGGTAGATGGGAAAACATCGGTTTATATGCAGAAAATACGGAGTGGGGTGGAGTAGGGAGTAAATGATAGGATAAAGGATAGATCCCAAAGGTAGAGCTGTTGGATAGACAAAGAAGTTGATGACGATCTGGCTAGGAGAGTGAATAGTTGTTAATGGGGACTGTTAGTGACTAACAATAGGTAGTGTGTAATGGCAGGCTACATGATAACAAGGCCTGGTGTGTTGGGTATGGGGCTAGGACACGGGAGAGTTTAGGCCCTAAAATTATTGAACTCAATATTGCGTCTGGAGGGCTGCAGGGTCCCCAAGTGGAAAATGAGGTGTTGTTCTTCCAGCTTGCATTGAGCTTCACTGAACATTGCAGCAAGCCTGAGATAGAGATGTTGGCCAGGGAACAGGGTGGTGTGTTAAAGTGGCAGGCAACTGGAAGCTCAGGGTCTTTTTTGCGAGCAGAATGTAGATGTTCTGCGAAGCGGTTACCCAGTCTGCGCTTCATTTCCCCAACGTAGAGGAGACCACATTGTGTGTAGCGAATGCAGTAAATTAGATTGTGGGAAGTGCAGATGAAGTGTTGCTTCACCTGGAAGGTATGTTTGGGTCCTTAGATATTGGGGAGGGAGGAGGTAAATGGGCAGGTATTACACCTTCGCCGGATACAGCGGAAAGTGCCGTGGGGCTATGGAGGTGTTGGGGGTGACGGAAGTGTGGACCAGGGTATCCCAGAAGCAATGGTCCCTGTGGAAGGCAGACAAGGGAGGGGGGGGAATATGTGTCTGGGTGGTGGCATCTCACTGGAGGTGGCGGAAATGGTGTCTGATGATCGACTGGATGTGGATGCTGGTGGGATGGTAGGTAAGGACAAGGGGACCCCTATCATTGTTGCAGAAAGGAAGAGAGGGGATGAGGACAGAAGTGCAGGAGATGGGTCGGACCTGGTTGAGGGCCCTGTCGACAATGGTGGTGGGGAATCCTCGGTTGAGGAAGAAGGTGGACATTTCAGAGGCTCCCTTCTCGAAATTGGACAGACACATATTCCCCTCCCCTCCCTTGTCCACCTTCCGCGACATCCTAGTCCACTTTTCGTCCACCGCCAACACCTCCCCACAACCCCATGGCATCTTCCCCTGTAACTGGTGAAGGTGCAACACCTGCCCATTTACCTCCTCTCTCCCCAATATTCAAGGGCTCAAACATACCTTCCAGGTGAAGCAGCATTTCACCAGCACTCCCCACAATCTAGTCTGCTGCATTCGCTGCTCACAATGACAATTGGGGAAATGAAGCGTGGACTGGGTGACCGCTTCGCAGAACATCTACGTTCTGGTTGCAAAAAAAAGACCCTGAACTACCTACTGTCTGCCACTTTAACACACCACCTTGATCCCTGGCCAACATCTGTCTCAGGCTTGCTGCAGTGTTCCAGTGAAGCTCGATGCAAGCTGGAAGAACAACACCTCATTTTCCGCTTGGGGATCTTGCAGCCCTCTGGACTCAATATCGAGTTCAATAATTTTAGGGCCTAAACTCGCCCATGTCCGAGCCCCATACCCAACACACCAGGTCTTGTTATCACGTAGCCTGCCATTACACACTACCTATTGTTAGTCAATAACAGTCCCCATTAACAACTATTCACTCTCCTAGCCAGGTTGTTATCAACTCCTTTGTCTATCCAACTGCTCTTCTCTCTCTCCTGGCTCTATCCTGTCCGTTTACTCCCTACCCTACCCCACTCCCTATTTTCTGCATACAAACCGATATTTTTCCAGCTACCATCAGTTCTGAGGAAGGGTCACCGGACCCGAAACATTAATTCTGATTTTTTTTTCTACACAGATGCTGCCAGGCCTGAAGAGCTTTTCCAGCAACTTCTGTTTTTGTCCAATGGGATATATTTCTTTCTTGACTCAGTTTGGACCTCTCGCAAACTACTACTTCACTTGAAGTCTCAAAACACGAAGGGGATTGGAATTGTGTCCCTGGTGCTCTAAAATTAACAAAAGAGCATCAGGCTGATGTTGTTTGAATTGATTGAATGATAAAGACAGAACTGAATTGGAGCGTTTTATCGGGAAATGTGAAACAGGCAGTAGAGGGAAGGAAGAACAGACTTTCTGCTAGGCAAGGGATTCAAGCATTTGGCTTGAATATGGCTGGAATACTACCAATCTTCTGTGACTATCAACTCCAATTTCCTGGATGGCTCAGCCACCATATCAATACATTTTTTGACATATCCAGAGATGAAAATTTTCAGTTTCCTCTGTTGACTGATTTGAGTAACAATCTGGGATAGACCATGCTTTGAGGGGAGAAACAACCTTGTAATCTCTTTCAGGTTAATATTCATTGTTTTTGCATCGTTCTTATTTTCTTCAGGTGTTGAAAGTTTCAGCAAATAATCGCGCCATCAGAAACACGGCAACATTCAAAATGAAACAAAGGGGTTTACCTAAAATGTTCCCTTTGAGATCTGTGATACTGTTAAGCAAGCCATTAGTATGCTGGTGGGTTCCACCAATACTCTCTCCCAGCACCACAACGTCCTTATTTATCATGGTGACCTGGATAGGAAGAAAGGGAAGAGGATGGAGAAAAGTGACATGGCTCACTGAAAAGGTGTGTGCAATACCGCAGCATGCAACAATAATACTTTCCAACAGAGATTGGCAGCAATAGTATTTTCCAACCAGACCACTTGCCTTTTCTTCGTACGCTACCAGGTCTTGTATTAAATTCATGCTGTCAGTCTCCAGCTCATCAGTATGATCTTTGGTTTGATCCTGTGACGCACGCTGCTTGCTCAGTTCATCCTGAAGAAACAGCACCACAGTAATACCAGGGGTTAATAGCCTTCAAATTAACAAAACTGCATCAACGCAATAGTCAGCATAACACAGAATTTCCAGCATGGATACAGCAAGAGTATAAAAAATCTCAAGTCTGTAATGCCCAACAATGGATGACTGGTGAGCGATGGGGTGTAATGTTAATTGCAGATAAGACAACAAATGGTACACTAGTATACAAGTACTCACTTCCTACAGCCAGCTGTCAACAGGATTAAAGGAAGTGCCATTTGATCTTAATAAAATGTAATTGGGGGCCTTCAAGTGCACAACCTACCAGGATGTCGGCAACAGTATGAAAGCTTTCTTAATCTTGGCCTTCGTTATAAGATGTAAAATTCTACAATTCACACCCCAAGATGGAAATGCAACACCACTCATGGCTAAGCGCTAACTAACCGAAAGCTGTCCGATGTTATCACTCAGAGCGTTCATGCGTGCCCACGCGATGGAACTTGCGGTCAAGTTTGAAAGCTGTCCCCTGATGTCAGGCAGCAATGCAGCTGTCCTGTTGAGGTCTTCCAAAAGGGCCACCACACAACTATCGCAAGCTGAAAAGAAGAACAGCAACCTTTTCACTCACTGAAAGTGAGCAGAAATGAATTTAGTTTTGAAGAGAAAGGCAGGTGCAAAGCTACTCACGCTCACACTTCATGGAATCCAAATGGTCACCAACAGGGATCTGATGCGTCTGTAAACAGGTATCACACTGTCTGCCTCCCAAACCATTGTTACATGTGCAGTCACCAGTCCGAGGGTTACATGATCCCCCATTACAATTGCACCCTAAAGAAAAAGACATTGAGATAACAATTCTAACAAGTTCAATTGTCGTCACCAGCTTATGGTTTCCCCAACGTTTCTCTGTTTACTATGAGCACAAAGACTAAATGCACAAAATATCTTTAACCAGTAGACATAGTGGTAAATAAAATAACAGAAATAAGCATTATATTCTCCACCAGGTGGAGAAGTAACATTATTGTTTCCTTCCTTTTTATGTATGATCTTTGTTACAAATTGTTGAAACATGTTGAGATCATATAGTCTGCTCCTCAAGAAACACCATCATTGATATGAATTATGGAATGACAGATTATTATGAACATTATTTTTCATTGCTCTCTCTCAAAACTGTCAAAGTGAACTCTTGAAAGAGAATTAAATCTTCTGTTTTGCACTTTCAGCAGACATTTAAAGCATAGCATCAGTTAACAAACCAAACAACCAAATATTCAGGGAAATGAGAAAGTCATTCAGTGTTTCTTGATAGTACATGTCTGCAAGCTAGTAAAATAACCCAACAACTTCAATCAGTATTTAAACTAATTGCAAATACTACAATGTAAAGAATAATAATTAGGGTATCTAACACGTCTTTGAGCTTTGGCATGATATAATTAGTAACAACTCTGTGACATTCTAGTGTTTCTTTACGTTTCACACAGCACAAATAACAAAAGGGGCTAGAATTTCATTTCCCACTACCCTGTTGACAATGGGGTGGAACATGTCCAATACCACCCAAGAATGGGGGGGGGGACAGAGTCATTTCTGAAGTCAGTGTATGCTGTAAGGATGCAGCAGAAATACCTGCCCTAATCCAGCTGCTGGAAGATCAAGTGGTCTGAAACAAGTTTAGGACTTCCTGGGGGGCATCTTAGGCCCCTCACCCAGCTCTCAGCTCCTGAGAATCTTGTTATGGCCTTTGGCATTCTCTAGACATACCCTTTTGCTATGGAACAACGTTTTTCCTTATGGATTCTAATTTAATCATTCACTAATAACCTGGACACAGCATTGAGATTCCAAACAGGTTTGATGGGTTATAGCACTCCATCGAATATCATGCCCATTGTACTGAGAAAGTAACACATTATTTTCTTCTAAGTTTTCAGTCTGTTCAGCAACGTGGGAGAATGATGCAGTTGTAGGTAATTTTCAAAAGGTTCCAATCACTTCTGGCTACAAACCAAATCAGCTTTGAAGAAATTAAATCGTGGCACTCGTTGAAGTGAAAAATAATCCAGACCTTGCATTCCAACTCACTACCTTAATAAGCAATGATAGATGATCCTAGGCGATATCTAACCAAATAAATGCCTGGTCTGTATCCTGCACAAAGCTCAACTCATCCTGTAGACAACACTGCCTCAAAATATCAAGCAGAAACGCTTCAAAAGTCACAGCAATTTTCTAAGCAATGTTTTTTATATGTACAAATCAGAAGTGTTAAACTATTGTCCTTTAAAACTACTTGATGAGTTGGAGATAGAATAGTTGGCAAAAATCATAGTGTATGTTGTAACAGACGTGTGACCCATGCTCGGCAAAGACTAAGAAAAACTATTTTCAGATTTGTGTTATTCTGGAGCTGGTTGAAGGCATTTAAAAACAGAGATTCTCATCTTCCAGGACATGACTGACCCTCTTGTTCAAACTGAAGCACCACAATTTCCTACAGATATGAAATATATTTAGCTCAATTAGCATTTGTACCCTCACTTGGGTAATTGCTCCTCCCTTTGTGCGCAAGTTGTCACAAGAGGTCGCCCAACATTTCACTCCGGATTTCCGTGTGTACTTAATAGAGAACTTAGAATTGGCGTTAGTGGAGAAAATCTGCCTGAATTCTTTTACTTAAAATAAGGAAATTAAATGGTAGTCCAGGATTAGGAAACTGCTGAGAATGAGGAAAGGTGGAGTGGATATCCTAGACGATCCTTGGCTTCACAAGATTCTAAGTTGTAAGGGAAAGCAAAAATCAGAGGAAGGTGGTGAATACTTCTGATCTGGCAGAGAATGAGCGCAGACCAGCAGGTACCCCGGGTTTAAAGCTATACATATTTGCAGCACTGAGGAGAATCCAAATTGTCATGTGAATAGGTGAAGGCTTGCATTTCCCCAATCCCACAATTTACTGTGTCACTTACTTCTGCATCCATGTGAAGAGTAGTTCCAGTACCCTGGTGCACAATGCTGACACCGGAGTCCAGTCACACCAGGCATACAGGGGCACTGGCCAGTCTGAATGTCACAGATTTTGTTCTGAGAAGCAACATCACAGGAACATCTCCGGCAGCCAGCACAGCTGTCATATCCATAATATCCAGCCTACACAGAAAAATGAGAGAAACAGGGATTCCCCCCATCAGTTCCTTGGTCTATCAACAGAACTGTTCAGATATAAGTAAACGCACACGACAGCTCCATGTCACACACGGAGAAACAAAACTGCCAATCTTTCAACAAGGAACAGTTTAGCATGGAAGGACGACACTTTGAATTTCTGGTCTTGACCAAATTTCCTGGAGGACCAACAATAGTCCCTTAATGCAATAAAAATGTCCTGAGGTGCACACCTCATAGGACCATTCTAAAACAAAATATCACACCAAAACACTGAAGGAGATATTAGGACAGATGACCAAATGTTTGGTCAAAGAGATAGGTTTTAAAGAGTGTCTTTAAGGAGGAAAGTGAGGTTGAGATGGTGGAGAAGGCTGGGAAGGAATCGCACACTCCATAGCCTAAGCTGTTGAAAGTCTGGCTGCCACTTGTAGGGTGATTAAAACTGGAGGTGCTCAGGAGGCTAGAATTCAATCAACTCAATTGTCTCAAAGGGTTGTGAGGATAGAGGAGATGAGAGAGATCAGGAAGGGGTGAAGCAGAGGCCATGCAAATTCCAATATCAAGATGTTGCTCAGCCAGGAGTTATGTAATTCTCTGAGTTCACTCTCTAATGTGGCTCCCAAAGTGATCCATCAGTGAGGCATTTCTTGTGTCAGTTCTGGATATGTTGCAGACTAATTTAAGAAAGATTGACTGCTGTGATTATTCATTATTATTTTAATCACGTGACTTCCAGGATGATGAACTCAGGGAACGGAGATGTAAAAAAGTCAATGTTGATACCAGTCATGGACTCTTCGTTCTCTGGAGATTAATTTGTATCATAGGGACAGTACAAACAATCTTTTACTAACTTCAATTTTCCTTTTACTACCTACCCATGCTGCCTTGATTTTTAATTTGCTGTGTGAGGCCTACATGTTACACCATACAGCCTCTACTAAACTACTGTGTGGCTTTGCACGCATATATCTCAAAGGGAACAATCACCTGTTCGACCTGTTTGCTGTGTTTTGTGAATTGCTGTGCAGCCATACAGCTTAGAAGGACCATTTAGCAAGGTTTAAGAAGGAACACTGAACTCCACCCTGCATCCAAGCACACTGTACTTAAACTTTAAAGAACATTTTGAAAGAACAGCACTTTATTTTTAATGTTTCAGTACTGAAGAAATCACTGCTGTCATGATGCAATTCAATAGGGTCAGTCAAATACTGATGATAATAGTGATAAGTATGATATTTTATCAGAGCTAATGAATACTACACGTACCTCACATTGGTCACAGTGTGGTCCTGTCACACCAGGTTTGCACTGACACTCACCAGTCCTATCATCACATGATTCTGTGCCACATGGTGAACAATTACATGCTGTAAAATCATAAAATATAATAAATGGAAGAGTTACTAACTTTATTAACATTGCAAGAGTTAATCTTCAGTTATAACAAATCCAAGATTTAAGGTACTTTTTATTCCAAAATAAAATCATATAAACTACCCCATGCAAAACGGATCCTCGATCGATAACAGATTCAAACATGCTCTGTGCTCACATGCTTATCTCTGTGTCGGAAAGTTTTGGGTTCAAGTCAGTCCAGGAGTTAGGTACGTAAGCCTAGCTGACACATTTATCCCTGTCTGCCCTCTCAGAAAGATACAGAAGTTTTGACAGCACTAATGTCCTGGTCAACATGCATCTGTCAGTCAATCAATACCACCATAAATAGCTTAGGTAGTCATTTGCTGCAGACAGATTGGTTCCCATAACTGCCTACAAAACATTCATAGATCATTCATTGAGTATATGAAAGGCACGATATAAACTGAAATTCTTTTTCTCTCTTTCTTCTGGTCAATGCAAGGTAAAAATGTAGAACATTATATTAGTCATGCAAGTTAAAACCAACAGCTTGTATTTATATCAAACCTTTAAAGTAGGAAATGTGCCAAACTTCATAAGAACTTGTGACTAGAAGTTTCACTTCGAAAACAATGGAAATCTGGTACTCACTCTCTAAAAAGGCTGCGGGCACTGGATCAATTTAAAATTGTCCAAAACCCACATTGATAGGTTTTGTTGGGTGAGGATGTCAAGGGATATAGAGTAAAAATAGCTAAATGTGTTGGGGTACAAAGTGGGCATGATCTAACTGAATAATAGCACAGGTCTGAATGGCTTGAGTGGCTAACTTCTGCTCCCATATCCCAAAGAGAGGCCGTGTACTAAAGGCCAACGTTTCAGATGGAAAATACAACATTTATTTAAAACTGGTCCAGTCCTTCAACAGATGATATATTGAAAGAAAGACTGCAGTCATGAAGGGAAATGGAGTAAGAAGCAAGAGTTTATCCAACTTTCTCACAGTCCTTGAAACGGATACCATTTGTCATTCTGCAGTTTGATACAGACACATGGCAGGACCCCAGGAAGCATTAACACAACCTCCGCATTAACTGTGCTGATATTTTTGGAGAACTGGTGTAGATTTTAAGTATATTTTTTTGGATCCACATTGAATGGACAAAGGAAAAAGTACAAAAACAGAAGTTGCTGGAAAAGCTGTGAAGTAAAATCAGAGTTAACGTTTTGGGTCGAATGACCCTTCCTCAGAACTCACCAGACCTGATACGTTAATTCTGACCTTTTCTTCACAGATGCTGCCAGACCTACTGAGCTTTTCCAGCAAGTTCTGTTTTTGTTCCCGATTTACAGCATCTGTAGTTCTTTCGGTCTTTATAAAGTAAAAAGTACCGAAGATTGAAAATATTTAAAAGTTGAACATAAAAATAAAGATGTTTCCACTCAACAGGAATCTTCCAAAATTACTTCTACAGACTTGTCTTGTATTATATCACTATATTACGGTGTGAAACATGATCACATTTTCAAAATGACTCTGCTTAGACGATAGATCATTTTCTTAATTGGGTCAGGTCTGAAAAGCTGGAACTAGGCAAGTCAGAAAAGCTAGGCCAAGTAGCACATAGTGTTGTCAAGAGGCAGGTCCATGGCTAGCAGCTCAAGAAGTGAGCTACATGCAGCATGTGCTAGTTTGTGCATCCTTGGCTTGGGTCAGGAGCTTCTAGGAATACAGGATTAAAGCCCTGTTTAAGGTTTTACTGTTTTCACTGGCAACATGCTCTAAGTCCAATGTACTGAACAGATGTAAAAATCCAAGTAGTTCTGGCACAGTCTTCATTTCGGCATGTGTAACACAGACTGACATACAAATACAGAGACACACAGAATTGTGTTGCATCTGGTCATGATTTTTCAAAGCTTTCAGTAACACTTGGCATCATGAGCCAAAATGTCAGTTTATTTAATTTATTTACGATGTTCAGGTTTGCAGCCTTTTGGCTGCACTCGCTCAAGGTGAATGTTTCATTAGATATAGGTTAGAGCAGCATTTCTGCCCAGAACCCTTAACCCAATTAATTTCTCCAGCCAGTAGCTCACACTGAAGCATGGTTGCCCACCTCAATCTCTTCCACGCAGGCTGAGGTTACCTCGAGAATGGACATTTTGGCTCTGTAGAAAATGATTGGTCTGATGCAAATCAAAAACAATTAATCTTTCATAACTGGACACGATTTGCAATTCAATGAACTTAACATAGTTTCCTTTCCTATAATAACAATGGAAAGTGCTGGAGAAACTGAGCAAGTCTGGCAGCATCTGTGGAGAGAGAAACAGTTAACAATGACAGCCCAGTATAACACTGCTGCTTGGGTTCTGAGAAATCATATAGAACTCAAAACGTAACTCTGGTGTTTCTCTCTGGCAGCATTTGTGCAGACCTGCTAATTTTCTCCAGTAATTTCTATTTCTATTTCAGATTTCCAGCAGAATTATCCACAGAATTTTACTTTTATTTTCCTTTCCTGTGGAATTTTTTTTTAAAAAGAAATCATTATCTGATCAGATTTCATATGCAAGTAAATTGGTAAATATAACATACGAGCACAGTCCTTGGCTACCACTGCATCGCCATAGAAACCTGGTGCGCAGAGTTCACAATGAGGCCCAGCAGTGTTATGCATGCAGCCCAGGCAAATACCAGTCAGCGAATCACAATTACTGAAAAGCATATTAGAATCTGTATTGCCGTTACAGTTGCATGGTTGACATTCACTGCCCAATACCATTGGATTTCCAAAGTAACCTGGGGCACACCTACAAAGGAAAGGAGAAAGCCATTAATAGGGCTAGTCAGCAAGAAATAAAACAATACAAACATACTGCCCAAGTTTTACTGATACAAGATTAAAATACTCGAGAATTTGGATACTGGAATGATAGAAATTTACAGCATGGAAACAGGCCGTTTGGTTCACTGTGTCCATGCTGATCATCAAGCACCTATCTAGTCTAGACCCACTGTCCAGCACTTAGCCAATAGCTTTCCACGTTATAGCACTTCAAGTGAGCATCTAAATACCACTTAAATGTTGTGATGGTTCCTACCTCCACTATTCTTTCAGGCACGGAGTTTCAGATACCCACCCACACCGAGTGGAAAAAAAAATTCTTCCTTAAATGCCTTCTAAACCTCCTGGCCTTTACCTTAAATCTATGTCCCCTTACCCTTTTACTAAGTGGACAGGTTTCTTCCTACCTACCATAAGATCATAACAGAGGAGCAGAATTAGGCCATTCAGCCCATGGAGTCTGCTCCCCCATTCAATTATGGCTGACATGTTTCTCAACCGAATTCTCCTGCCTACTCCCTGTAATCTTTGATCCCTTTATTAATCAAGAACCTATCTTTGTCTTAAATGTGCTCGATGACTTGGCCTCCACAGCCACAAGCTCCACGTATTCACCACCCCCTGGTTAAAAAAAGGTCCTCCTCACTTCAATTATAGAGTCATAGTGTCAGAGCACCCTTCGGTCCAACCAGTCCATGCTGAACATGTTCCCAAACAAAACCAGTCCCACTTGTATGCATTTGGCCCATATCCCTCTAAACCTTTCCCATTCACATATCTGTCCAAATATCTTTTAAATTGTAACTGTACCTGCACCCAACACTTCCACTGGCAGGTGTTTTCACACGTGCACCACCCTCTGTGTGAAAATGTTGCCCCTTGGGGCCCTTTTAAATCTTTCTCCTCTCACCTTAAAATAATGCCCTCTAGTTTTGAGCTCCCCTACTCTAGGTAAACGGCCTTGGTTATTCACCTTATCTATGCGCCTCATGATTTTATATACCTCTATAAGGTCACTCCTTAACATCCTGTGCTGAAAAAACTCCCAGAATATCCAGCCTCGCCTTATAACTCAAACCCTCAGTTCCAGTAACATCCTTGTAAATCTTTTCTGCACCCTCTCCAATTTAATAATATCCTTCCTAAAACAGGGCAACCAGAACTGTACACAGTACTCCAAAAGTGGTCTCACCAATATTATGTACAATCGCAACATGACATCCCAATTCCAATTCTCAAATATCTGAGCAATGAAGTCAAGCGTGCCAAATGCCTTTGTAACCATCTTGTCTATCTGTGATACAACTTTCAATGAGCTATGTACCTGAACTCCTTGTTCTCTCTGTTTGACAACACTACCCAGGGCCCAACCGTTAACTCTAAGTCCTGCCCTTGTTCGTCTTACCAAAACGCAACACCTCACATTTATCTAGATTAAACTCCATCCGCCACTCCTCAGTCCATTGTCCCAACTGATCAAGATCTCTTTGTAATCTTAGATAACCTTCTTCACTGTCCACTATACCACCAACTTTGTGTCATCTGCAAACTTACTAACCATGCTTCCTAAATTCTCACCCAAATCATTTATATAAATGACAAACATCAATGGACTCAATGCCAATCCCTGCAGAACACTGCTGGTCACATGCCTCCAGTCTACAAGGTCATCCCTTCACTCTGAGGCTGTGCTCGTGGGACCTAGTCTCTCCTACTGACCCTTCTACCTTTTCTATACCACTTAATTTTGTGGAAGTCAGTTAGGTCCCCTCGCCCCCTCTTGGTCTTCTCTGCTCCAAGGATAACAAGCCCAGCTTGTCTCTTCTCTCTTCTCTCTCCATAGTTGAAATGCTCTAGCCCAGATGACATTCTGATGAATTTCCTCTGCAGTGCAATCACATCCTTCTTACAGTGTGACGGCCAGAACAGCACCCAGTATGCCATCTGTTGATTCTGCTGTGGGATGCAATACATGCACCTTTTATACATCCGAGGCTGACTTGAGCACTACTATCCACAGTTCTCCGGGAGAAAGAACTCTTACGGTTTCACCACTGTTCAAGTGAAGGAATTTATCTTTATTTCAGCCCTAAAAGACTGGCCTCTTATCCTGAGATTATGCCACCCATTTCTAAACTCTGCAGTGAAGCTGTGAAGTTCTAGGAACTTTATTGTTCAGCAAAATCGTTTCAGTTTCTGGAGTTTAGAAAAATAAGCCCATTCCAACTGATCCCTCTTCACAGTTCAGCCTTTCACCTCAGGTATTAATCTAGTGAACCTTCGCTGCACTGGACATGTGCTGTTTGTCAGGTAAATGAACAACGTTGCACACAACACTCCAGTTGTGGCCTCACAAAAGCCCGGAAAAAAAAAAAAAAAAAAAAAAAAAAAAAAAAAAAAAAAAAAAAAAATCGCAGCCAAAAATGACACTGAATATCTACTTTTATTACTCATTACCCTCTTGCTTAACCTCCCAACACATAGTTCTGCTGTTCCACAGTTTACAATTATTGACTAAGTTGATACCCTGTACTTTGCTCTGAGTTAATCTCAAAAGGAAAACAGCCTGCAAATTTTCTCCTACTAAGTAGGAAGATCCAACTACTACAAACATAAATGATAAACATCAGATTTAAATAAATTGTTTTTAAATTATTGGTCAAATGATCAAATAGACTCCATAAAGCCTCCACCTCTATTATTGATAAATAATGCAGCTTAATAATACACTGTGCGCTGCCCTCAATCACACATAAATACTGACCTTTCACATTTTAAACCAGCATAGCCTGGCTTACAGAGGCACTGTGTACGATCTCCATGATTGATACAATCCTTCGCAAAGCTAAAACAGATGTTCGAGAAAAGAACAGAAAAGAAACATTATTTAAATAAATCCTTAATAGAACTCCAAGAAAAATGTTGTGTTTTCTGTTTAAGCACCCTTCCCTCCACATCCCAGCTGACACCTGATGAAATGGAAATACATACTTGTTAGAAGAAACAGTGAGGGGACAGGGACACTGAACACAAAGCGATGCTGCTCCAACTGTCGCATTTTCAACTAAGCCAGTCTTACAGCGCTCACAGTTCTCTCCTTCAGTGTTATGCTGGCAGTTCTAGGAAGAAAAAAGTTTTGTATTTAGAAACATTGCCAGTTAACGTGCTCTCAAAATGTCCTTTGGAAAACAAAAGACAAAAGAAATCAGGTTCTCTGAATGCATACAGGTGCACAGGAGCTTCACCTATGGTAGTACAGCAGAGTCGAAAAGCACCCTTTAAGATCTAACGAGCAATGATTGATGATCACAATCATGATCCACAGAGACAAGATCTGCTCTGCAAAGGATAACCAGAACCTGTGATCTCCCTACACTAAGTGATTCTGTTGAATGGACACAGAAGAATAAGTCACAAGCTTAGCATCCTATCTCCCAATTTATGCCTCGTCGCCTTCATTCAATGCTTAATGGAACATCGATAACACCACACTGTGGAGCTTAGAAATCTTAAGACAATAAAAGCATGCAGATGGCTCAATCATCAAAAGCAAACAATTCTGTCTAACATTGAAATTTCAATGCATTTGATCCATTATTATAGCGTTCTATTATTTATAATCTATTTTTGTCGCAAGTATTGACCTAATGGGTACATTATTACTGCACAACACACTAACGTAAATAAATTTGGCAGTTTTAAAATGTTGTCTTGCTACATCATTAATTTGATCTCAAATCATAAATCTTTCTGTTTTGGGGCACATCTTGTGATATGAATATGTCTCTTTTTGTAATAATTTTTTCTTCGCTTTACAACTTTCCAAAGTCAATGTTGAGTTCAACAATTTTAGATTATAAACATTTTCCCTATTATCAGGTGAATGTAATAGTTTTGTTGTTGCCATTTACACCTCCTCTAGACCTATCTTTTGTTTCTTCATTTGTCCCATTACCACCAGTTTTTGCCTTGTGTCATCATTTCTTTCACCATTCCATCACTTCTCATCTTCACTTATCAAGCATATTCTTTTATGTTTCTTCTACATCTCGCTATCTAAAGAATTGATATACCGTCATCATTTCCCATTTCAGATGAGAAATCAAAGCGAAACATCAGCAGAACCTCCCTGTGGACTCTGAGACCCTGACATCGAGACCAAGCAGAGTTCCCGAACCAGCATTCATCATGAACCAGGTGGTTGGAGCTGTTTCCCCAGATGTGGCCTTTTAGTTGGCCATCTCTGGGAAAATCGCTTCATCTTCCTTCCATCTGCCTCATATTTGGCTACCTTCACACTTGCTGTGCAATTAAAGACAGCCTCCCAAGTCTGATAGGCTGACAGGAAGCCATCCAGCATTTGTAAGATTGACAGTCCCACCACCAGGGGTCAGTGCTGCTGGAGTACGTGGGGAGCTTTGAGGGTATCTCCATTCACATGGGGGATATGACAGGCCAGAATAGTTAGGGCTGTTAGACAAGAGGAAAAACCCTCTGCAGTAATGGGATTTCCATGGTTGCAACCTTTCATTAGCATGGCTTGTTCCCCACTGAATGGAGTGTACAGCACCAGTGGAGCCCCTGAAAACTGCCACAGAAAGACCACCTATATTCTGATGGTGATTTCCACATGACTGACAGCCTTATAAATTGCCCATATTTGTGGCTTTAAACATGCCAACTCTCTGCCCGTCTCTGTGGCAAGTGTATCCAATTCATTTTCAGGCACCATTAGCACTGTAATGAGGACCAGTCCAATGTGACCCCTAACCCTCTATCTTCCCACCTTCCCAGCCCCAAACTGCACCCCCCTGCTCACAATTCATCCCATCAATTCTGTTCCACTTTCTACAAATGGTTTCTGATCTGCTAAGTATTTTGTCTTTTTGGTTATTTTCTTTTACAAGGCCCGCGCATGGATTAGTATTATTATTTTGTCGATTTGCAAAATGAACAGGATAGTTATTTACAACACTTACAACACAAATTCCTGATCCATCGAGGCACTGGTCTGAGTGGCCATTGCAGTTACAAGGCACACATTTACCCAGGAAAAGACCCTTTGTATCTCGATAATAGCCTGGAGAACAGTCCTATTGGATTATTTTTAAAAATAAAGGGGAAAAAGTATGTTTTGAAAACATTAGTGGTAATTCTGGGTAAAATACAAACGATAACCACACAGCTGAACCGCAATGATAAATCACCTACTTTATATATTCAAGTCTCAATGCCAGTCTCACCCCTACACACCCATTAAATCATTCACTCTCTTAAGCCCTCATGAGAAACACATTATAACGAATGGGATGAAATGTTCCTCAGCCACATTTCCTGGTTGATGAATAGTCAATGTGGGTGCAGGCATCAGGGTCAACATGGAGTCGAGGCTGGTAAATGAAGTGGAGGTAAAGACCAGCTTATGTTCTGACTGAATAATGTAGTAGGGTCAAAGGGTAGGATGGTCTACTCTTATTTACACAGTGCAACTTGAATTCAGTTCAAAGTTCAATGGAGGCGAGCTCGATTGGCCAAAATCCATCAGGCATGGTAAATGGAAATATTGCCCCAGTTTGGTGGCCTAGCACAGAAAGCTTGACTTTGCATTTGACATTTGCTCTCCCTGAATTACACAATGCTGACACATTGGGTTTAATTTTTCAATTTGTTCACTTGGTGGGGAGTCTCATGTAGATGAGATTAAATGGACCTGCCAGGACAATGTGTCCAGTAATACTGAGTAGATATCATTTTAAGATGAAAGGCAGGTGGTTTAGAGGGGAGGGTTGGCACGGTAGCTCAGTGGTTAGCACTGGTACCTCAGTTCAATTCCAGCCTTGTGTAACTGTCTGTGTGGCGTTTGCACATTCTCCCCATGTCTGCGTGGGTTTCCAACCACAGTCCAAAGATGTGCAGGTTAGGTGGATTGGCCATGCTACATTGCTCCATACTGTCCAGGGATGTGAAGCTAGGGTGGATTAGCATTGGGAAATGATAGGATAGGGTGGGGGCTGGCTCTGGGTGGGATGCTCTTTGGAGGGTTGGTGCAAACGCAATGGGTGAATGTCCCTTTTCTCCACAGTAGGGATTTGAAGGGATCTGAGGAAAAGCTTTTGCAATCAGAGGATGAATGGGGGTTTGAAATGCACTGTCTGGGAAGGTCGTTGAGCCAGGACACCTCACAATCTTTAAAAAGGTGCTTTGATGAGTACTGGAAATGCCATAACATTCAAGGCTTTGATCAAAGTGCTGCAGATTAGATTTTGTTGGTGCAGACTCGATGGGCAGAAGGGCCTCTTCTGTACTGTATGACTCTATGATAATCAATGACACATTTGCAAGAAAACATTTTGCAATGCATAGGATATATCTCTCTCTTTTAATCTTGTTCTATTATTGACTACCAACAGCTCATGATCCTCAAGATGAAGTATTGGATTTAAACAAAAATCAATTCCAGATTTGAAAAGTTCCACTACACTGTCTAAGTCGACAACTGATAAATGCAACTTTTAAACAAAGAAATGATTGATGCATGTTAATGATCAATGCAGCCAAGTCGCAAAGAATCAACACTTTATTAAATTGACCAAGATATGAATGTGGCCTACCTGACAGGAATCCCCCATATAATTAGCTGGACAGTGACAGATTTCCACATTGCTGGCCACACTCCCTTCTCCAGCGTCAGAAGCTTGCTCAAGTATCACATTCCTCAGTGCAACAAGCTTGGCCAATTGGGAGTGAAGGGCTCGAATCTGAAGACCATCCAGGTTCGCCAACACCATCATCATTTCTTCTCTGGACACAGGATTGTGTGTTTGCGCATGCCTGAAATTACTCTGCACAAAACAAGGAGAACGTACATGTTAGCAGCTGTGCCTGTACCAGAATGACCATAAACAGAATCCAGTCACTGAAGTGAAAGGTGCTGCTGTTTTAATGTCATTGCTTTTTTCAGTATCTAATCAATCCTTGATTAATGAGTAAATTCTTACTTCTATAAAATACTAGGGTGGGGGAGTTCAAAACTAGGGGCATATTTTTAAGGTGAGAGGAGAAATATTTAAAAAGGACATGAGGGGCACTTTCATACACAGAGAGTGGTCGAGTGGTTCGTGTGTGGAGTGAGCCACCAAAGAAAGTGGTGGATGCAGGTACAGTTAAAACTTTTAAAAGACATTTGGATAAGTTCATGAGTAAGAAATGTTTGGAAGAATATGGGTCAAGCGAAGGCAGGTGGAACTAGTTTGGTTTGGGAACATGGTCGGTGTGGGCTGATTGGACCGAAGGGTCTGTTTCTGTGCTTTATGACTATATGATAAACAAAATCATCAAAACGCTCATTGAAGCCACACAAATTCACACTGCTAGGATCAAGATTCCTGTGTGAAACAGAACAAGGTTTCCTTTTTCCAGTAATCTGTATTTTGGTGTCAAGGAACACAATTTCATCTCTGGATTTAGGCTTCACTGTATAAAGCAAACCAATTATAATATATAGTGTGGTCTTTTTAACTCCCAAAAGTTAAAGAGACATAAATTGCTCAAATCTTGAACAAATATAATGACTGGCATACTTGTACACAACAGTATTTTATAATGAACAATTGTATTAAAGTTAGAAAATAATAACTGTGTTATAAATATAAAAAGCAAATAACAAAATGCTTTATCTCCAACCTCCACCAGTTGAAGCCAACTTTCGTGCAGTTCTCCAGGTGCTGGGTAATCCTTTGCCACATACATAATGGTCATTTGGTTGCCCTAGGAGTAATGATCAAATATTGAAACACTCCAGACAGAACAAAATTACTTGCGTATGTCACAATTCTTTATAAGAGACACTTAAAAATCATCAGATCTGACAGCCTACCAAGTCCAGTACTACTTGTGAGCAGACCCGGACTGTGTCATTTGTTCAGATTTTACAAAAACTTACCTTCAAAATCACATCAGGGCGGGATTCAACTGGTAAAGAGATGATGTCACCGCGTTGCACTTCAGACCGAAGCTGATACATCAAGTACCCTCCGTATGACGAAATCTTGGAAGGGGAAAGTTTGTGTTATATTTTTAGCTGGCAAATTAAAAACTGAACACTGAAAAACAGGTTTGCAAACACAATGTCAAAGACATTGAATTGATGTAAGAAAATGGGCACCGAACAATGCAAAACAACATGCAGCGCATTCCCTCTCATTCTGCCCTCGGAGAGTATTCCTGGCCAAATGGTTAGGGCACTGTTGATAAATGGTCTAGAATGCATCTCAGAAACTAGCACTGGATCCATTTCTAATGCAGAGTCTCACAAGCATTTCAGATCCCTTTCCATTCAATTGGACTGACTACAGTGATTGCACTCAGCTTGTTACAGCCAGTTTTCCCCCAGCCAATAAGCTGTTATCCTTCAGCAGGCAACTGGAGACTGCCAAAAAGAACTAACAATTTAGCTGAGAATCTTGAAGAGCACTGCACTCCCCTAGGCTCCGTACTGAAAGGAAGGTCACTGTTAACCAACGCTTTGCCTGATCTCCTCCACCTCTGTCTATCGCCTTGACACTCCATCACCAAAAGATCTCCAGAATCGAAGTGCCAGTGTCTTCTTCAGGACCACAGCATGAATCCACTAGGCAGGACGGGCACGGCAAGCAAGGCAGACATGTCCTGATGGCATTAAAGGACCAATCTTGAATGATTCTCTTGCACATCAGATTTAAGGGACCAGTCATTGCTTTCATGGAACCAATTTCAGATCAATGACATGGTATGACTTTAACAGAAGTTAACACCAGTGACAACTTTTTGACAGACTGCTATCCATTTCTTGGCAGCAAAAGATTTTCAGAAATTTACAAGGGCTTTAACACACAGTTAGCAAAAGCACCAGTTTCTCTTCTGGACTCCTTCTCTGGCCCCATGCCCACCCCTTAACTGATGAGAATCCAGCATTGCCTTTGTAAAAAATAAACTTACCACTGAATGGACAAAAGTACCCAATTAAGTAGTTTCAACATTGCCCGAGAACATGTTTCTTTTCATAGCCCAGTAGCAAATCCAATTACAAACACAGCCCACTGGGGGCAGTGTTATGATAACAAAAGGGAAAATGAAGGGGCTGGGGCAACAAGGGAAGTGCCTAAATGGAAACAGTGTTGGTCGGGAGATAATGAACTCTACCCCTGTCGTGCCACTTCTCTCTAAAAGCTTTGAGGGTGCTGGCAGACAGTGCATCATGGACAAAGGATACGCGGGCATAGGTATAACCTCGGAAGAGAGGTAGGCAGTTGGGAATCATGGCCCACTGCCTTGACCTGTTCATGTCTGCATTAGCCAGTCCAGGAGTAGGTTCTGAGGAGTTCCTCCAATCCAACAGGGGCAGTATAAAAATCGCAATAATCACAAGGTGGGCACGCAAGTGAGGGAGATAAATCAAAATGGTGTTGAATGGAATGTACTCTAGACTATACAAAGCTCACCTCTCTGAGAGCCAAGCTTTTAAGAATAAAATTCTCCAAGGTTCCTTTGCCAGCATCTTTCCAACAAGTGACTATTACTATCTAGAAGAATGAGGGCCTGGGAACACTGCCACCAGCAAACTCCCCTCCAAGCCACTTATCATTCTGACTCAGAGTTGCTAGGTCAAAATCCTTGAACTCTCTGCCTAATGGCATCATGGGTCTGCCTGCTGCATATGGATTGCAGCAGTTCAGGGAGGCAGCTCACCACCTCCTTCTGCAGGACAACTAGGGATAGGCAATAAATGCTAATGTAGCCAGCAATGCCCACATCCCCAATGACATAACTTCTTTAATAGTACAGGCAGCTTGGCCTTCTCCTCCATCTAACTTTTACATATTTTCTAATTTAGCTGTTTTGACATGTTATTACACAATGCTGGAGGAGGTGGGGCTTGAATCTGGGCCTCCTGGCCCTAAGGTAGGGACCTCTGCACCAGAAGATTTTGAGAGTGAATTTCTTCTTCTAATTTAACCTATTTTTCTAATTAACGTGTTCAGAGATGTTATTACATACCTCTGGACCAGGTGGGAACTTGAATCCAGGCCCCCTAGTCCAGGGTAGAGACACTACCACTGTGCCACAAGAGGCACTATGATCCACTATGCATGGATACAATAAGCAATTTCGGTTTTTGTTTCTGATTTCCAGCATCCACAGTGCTTTGGTTTTTATTTGTTTAATGTTCTGGGGATGGTTTGAATCCCGGTGAAATTTACCTGCAATTGATTACGTGAAAATGACTTAAATGCAATTAATTATATTGCAAGTCTGAGTAATGTCATAAAAAAACCCTTCTGGTTCACTAATGCCCTTTAGGGAAGGAAATGTACTATCCTGAATCCACATCCACAGCAAATACAATTGATTTTTAACCGACCTCTGAAATTACTCAATGAATCACTCCATTGGGGGAAGATTTAATATGGGAAAACAATGCTGCCAGTGGCACAACCATCTCACAAAAGAATACAGATGGCGAACGGTATCTGTGATCTGTAAAAGAGGGCAGTAAGCTTATGGAAGTGAATCTGTCTTATTGTACCTGGTCTCCAAGGTAAGGAGGTGGTGCCTGCCAGTATAGCTCCTGGGAGATATCGGCCACATCAGCTGCAACCTCTCTGTCCTCAGGATTGGGAGTTACCAGCAGCTCTTGACGATCACTACTCATCAACTTCCAGCCAATCGTATGTTCCAACTGGAATTGAAAATGACGCAGGATGATCAAACCGAAAACTTTTAAAATCGATTGTTCAGGAACATGCATGCATTCTGCAGTCGGAATGTTTCCTTTCAGTGGAATCCCTACAGTGTGGAAACAGGCCCTTTGGCCCAACAAGTCCACGCTGACCCTCAGAGCACCTCACCCTGACTCATTCCCCTATAACCCACCTAATCTACACATCCCTGAACACTATGGGCAATTTAGCACGGCCAATCCACCTAGCCTGCACATCTTTGGACTGTGGGAGGAAACCAGAGCACCTGGAGAAAACCCATGAAGACACGGGGAGAATGTGCAAACTCCACACAGACAGTTGCCCGAGAGTGGAATTGAACCCAGGTCCCTGATGCTGTGAGGCAGCAGTGCTAACCACTGAGCCACCGTGCCACCCCAAAGATATGCAGGTTAGGTGGATTGGGCCATGCTAAATTTCCTATTGTGTCAAAAAGGATGTGTAGGCTTGGTGGAATTGCCATGGGAAATGCAGCATTACAGGGATAGGATAACCGGGTACATCTGGGTGGGATGCTCTTCAAAGCATTAGTGTGGACTCAATGGGCTGAATAGTCTGCTTTTACGATTCTAAGATATTACTGTCAAGACAAACTGACTGATCAACTATTCTACTGTCACAAATCCATACAGAGATTAGATTCTAAGTTGGTGTGTGAATCTTCATTTCCATCTCGTCTAGACTCTCCTGCAATGACTGATAAATTTCACAACACTACAGCAAATTACATTCTTCTGTGATAGAGATAGCAACCAAAAGCAGCTTCAAGCAACAGCTCACTCAGTGAGAGAAGCAGCCAGGAGCCTGACAATACAGGTTTAAGGCAAAAGGCTCAGAAACTGCAGGAGCAAACCTGTTTTTTGAAAGAAAAGAGAGATCAGAGCAAATTCTGATTTCAAATGCAATGTACAAAAGGCTGGTGGAAGGAAATTAATTCGTAGTCTTTGAACGAAAAGAATTGAGAGGGCAATGGGGAGAAAGGGCAGGAGAGTGCGATTAATACATTGATTGTCAAAAGAGCTGGCATAGGCAAGATGTGCTGAAGGACCTCATTCTGTGGTGTAACATTTTATAAATTCCAAATAAAATCAGGTCACTCAGAGTCTGAAAGTATGGGACAAAGTGGGAAGAGCAGATGGTATATAGCCCTGTGTGGAAACTGGCCATTCGGCCCAACAAACCCACACCAACCATCCAAGGGGAATCCCAACCAGACCCATCCTCCTTCCCCCTTCCCTATCCCTGTAACCCTGCATTGTCCGTCGCTAATGCACCTAACCTACACATCCCTGGACACTATGGGCAATTTAGTATTGACAATCCACCTAGCTTGCACCTGTTTGCACCGTGGGAGGAAATCGGAGCACCCGGAGGAAAGCCACGCAGACACGGGGGGAATGTGCAAACTCCACACAGACAGTCACCTAAGGGTGGTATCGAACCCACGTCGCTGGAGCTGTGAGGCAACAGTGCTAACCACTGAGCCACTTGCTGCCCTAAAAACTGAGTATTTGTTGGTCATCATAGATATGCTGGGCCGAATGGTTTCTACGTTGTGTGACCCTATGGCCAACATAGCAATCCACACAAGACGGGTTTCTCAGGCTGTGCTCTTTCATGGGTGTTAAATCAGAAAATCTGTCCGTATCATCTCATAACCAAGGAGTATGATTTATACTTTATTTGCTTCATTTTCCAGTTTCCTTCAACAGAGCTCGCCTGAGAGTCCGACCACACCTATAAAAGCAGGAACTCGGTTGAATGATACTGTCAACAATGGGGCTTCCTGAGGAAAACGTGACATTGTGGGATCAACGCACGACTCACCGCAGTTCTTCTCTTATTGGAGATCTGGCACCGATCGGTAGCTCCGAAGCAGAAGCAGCTGGTACAACCCTTGGGATTGGCTGGATCCAAGTAGAATGTTCCCAGGCGGCAGGTGTCACACTGTGGACCTTCCACATTTTCCTGAACAGAGGAAAGAGTGCACATCTTGTCATGACTTTTCATTAGAGTGACCTGTAACATTAACAAGGTCAGGGCAGTCCCCTGGACACACAGGAGGATCAGAGAGGAATTGCCCAGGTTTACTCCCAACAATGGGCCTGCGCTTCAAATTGGGTTTCTCACCTTTCTGAGATGATTACAGGTAGAATTTTTCCAATGCCCATTTAAGCATAGTGGGGGAGCTATTAGGTGCCAACTAACACATTATCCCACCCCAGGGAAAACCTATCCAATTGCCCACCAGTTTATTAAGAGCTGACAGACAGGTGTGGGCAAGCCTCTCAGCAAATCACAAGCCCCGACACTGGTGACCCGGCTCATCACAAGCTGCCGGCCAATTAGAAGCAGAGCTTCAGAGAAGTGCTTGTTATCCACTTCGTGGGGGTCATGAGGAGAATGTAACGGGCCCACAGTTGGGGGGTGGGGAGGGGGTTGAAGGTAATGCCAGGGAATGGTTTTCAGAGGCCAACCTGTTGATTCCCATTCTCCCCCATTGAACGACCCTCAAATTGGGGCATTTGAAGATACACCCTCTCCCAACCTGACAAGCAGGTTGCCATTTTTCCCAGTCAGGAAACTCCCTTTCGAAGAAGATAGGTGATGGGGCCAGGTGACATGTTAGGCCATTAATTAACTACTTAGGGACCTGAACCGAAGGGGGATCAAAAAGGTCACCCTTTGACTTTTTTGCTGACAGCATAACTGGTTGGGTGACAAGGTGGGGGTGAGTATTTCCCCTGGGCCAACTCAGCAAGTTATTTCCCCCTCTCTCACCTCTCCATCTCCCACCAACACCAGCGATGGGAAAACTGCACCCTATGGCGCTTTGAGTGTGGCCGAGAGTGTACATTTTCTGAGAAAACATTGTTATTTTGTGGCGCACCCTCTACACACCAGGACCAGTGGATCTTTTTCTTGTCTGATGTTGTTGCAGGATTCCGTATTCATAATGAAGTTAACACTCTACCATTCATTTTATGTGCCTGATCAAAACTGTAACAACCACACAAATTAGACAATGTAATGAATTTAAAACCAAATTCAAGGCCAAACATCACAGCGGCATCCTTAGTTATAGTTATATGTATCCCCTCCCTGCATGACCATACTATATTTTGGATAAATACTGAGCAGCAATTGCACATTAGTGGCTCACCGCTGCATATTGAAGTTAAATTAGTCAATGGATGTACCTCCACTGATGGTTTGGATTCCTCAAAGTGCTATGTCTTCCTCCAGTGAGACCTAACCATTAGTTCTATCTGAATATACAATAGTGAATACCCAATAATTCCTGTACACAGATTGTGAGAGGGGTAGTCAGGACACAGAGGCCAGCAAACCAGAGTGGGGGATAACAGTTTTCCATCCAGATGGATGTGCAATGATCCTGGTGTCTAAATTTTACATTTCTCTTACCCACTGAGATTCTGCTCTTGGAATGCTCACGTTGTGGAAATATTTCCATGCACCTTTAGTTTTGCAGTTTTCAGAAGATTTATAGAAAACCCTAATTCTGGAATTGGCTCCAGCCACGATAAATCCTGTATATAATCGGTACCTACACAATATATGTGAAAAGCCTAACAGGCAGATATTCTTTTAGTTTTGATGCCGTTCCATTCAATCTCAGAAAATATACTGTTCGTTCATTAACATTTTTGGTATCTGTTAGGGCTGCGCACGACAGAGTGGCACAATATGAGACCTAATAGTGTCTAAGAGGCAAGTTTAAAGTAAACACACCGCAACTAGAATTCTTAAATAGTCACTTTGCATTTCAATTTATCTGTCGTAAAGTCATTTACTTACTTTGAGTAGCTGCGTTTTGATAGCACTGACCTTGCAATGACATTGCCCAGTGACAGAGTCACAGATGCTGGCTTGGGTTCCAGCCTCATTACAATTACATGGCATGCAGTCAGGGTAGTGGTAGTATCCAGGAGCACAGCGATCACACCGACGTCCAGTTATATTAGGCTTGCACCTAAGCAAAAAATCAGTTAGGAATTAACAAGGACCCATAAGATTTGGCTCATCTCAATGTTCTCAGCCACAACTCAGAAGTTACAGCTGCAAAAAATAAAGTAAATCCCGAATTGAATTGAATTAGCTTTATTGTGGCATGTACTCAAATGAGTACAGTGAAAAGTTTACAAGTTGCCGCTTACAGTACCATCTTAGGTACAAGGCACCTCGGTACTGATTCTTCAGTACAGGTTGTTAGGGGGAAAAAAGAAATAAAGAGTCCACCATTACAGGTCATAGTAATAAATTAGAAACTGGAGAAATAAAATGTTCAGAACGATAGTCCTTCCGATCCAGTCCACATTGGCACCTAGTTTCCAGTCCATGCCTCCAAATCTTGCACAGAGCTCTATTCAAAGGGAGCCAGAGTTGGAGATTTGGTGCCATAGTATTGGCACCCTAGTTGGGGGTGGGATGCTGAGGGACGCTGGTCAATTGAAATGAATTGAAGAAAAATTGGGTGGGCTTTGTTAAGGTACGCAATCCTCATGCCCACTTGGCAATGCTTTGTGCCCAAGTAACAACTATAAATCTCCCCCCAACAGTGGGAGCCTGACTGAAATTGTGTGTTTCAACACTCACAGAGCTTAGGTGCATTTTCAGTACTTTTTGCATTTTCTCCTGTGTAGCTCATTTACAAAACGCTCACCACTTCACTGATTATCGCTACTCCATCAAGGACGATCTGAAGCAGTAAATGGAGTTCTGCAACTCTCTTGTTTTGACTTCACAAATTCCATGAACTGATGCTATCTCCCCAAAACCAGTGATAGAAAACCACACCAGAACATAAAAGTTCCCGAGCAAAACAGATACTGAATGCTTCACGTAGCTTGACACTAACAGTCAAGAACTACTTTCTCATAATCCTTTAATATTTATGTGAGGGAGGTGCCTACATCAAAGCGTTTGGCACGTGGGCTTCACACAGGTACTGGAAGCTTTAGGTGGGGTTTTCTAGTATAAACCTGTTTGATTCAGCAAGACCAATTGCTCGCTAAGACGTAGATAGTTAGTGACGAGAATTGGGTGGGTGAACAATGAGGCTGCTGGTGGCGAGGCCAGAAGCCCATTTTGTGCATTTCCTGCCATTTTCAGCCCCACGGACATCCAGTTGAAACCAGTAAAAAAAAAGACCCCTTAAAACTGAAATGGGTAACTTGTAAAGTCACAAATTATTAATATCACATTAATATTATCTTTGCCCATCATCTCTCCATTCCTAGGATTACAGGAGAGCAGAGTTTATATTTTCCCCTGTTATTTCCCTTTCAATTTGAGACTGAATTAAAAAGTAGGCACTGAGATAGCTTCTCTATCTACTCCAAATCATGTGAAGGTTATAGTAAAGCTTGCCCGAGATGCTCCTCCTTCTCGCATAGCTTGCTGCCAGAATTCACTATACCATGACTGTCCTGGCATTTGATAACATCTGATCAACAGAGTAGATTAATCAGGACTTAGACAAAACCACGGTGATAATGAACTCAGAGATAGTAGGAACTGTAGATGCTGGAGTCAGAGATAACACAGTGCGGAGCTGGAGGAACACAGCAGGCCAGGCAGTATCAGAGGAACAGGAAAGTTGGTGATTCGGGTTGGGACCCTACTTCAGAAAAGGCTCCCAACCTGAAACGTCAACATTCCTGTTCCGTTGATGCTGCCTGGCCTGCTGTGTTCCTCCAGCTCCACACTGTGTTACCTCATGGTGATAATGAAGTTGTCCTGGAATTTGGCATTAAACTGTTACATTCCTTCCGTTGTGAGGCAAGGTGGGATAGTGTCTCAAACATATCAGCAGGGATCCCTGTGGAGCATTCATAACCAGTCACCTTACCTGCACTGTCCACTCTCACTGTTGCATCCAGGCCTGGTCCTATCTCGAATTCCCGAGTGTGAGCAGTTGCATTCTTCACAGCCAACCAGTGGGTGGCAACCAAACGTCTGTGGCTCACAGACAATGCACTCGGGTTGAATGGTCCGTGGGGGGCAGATGCAGTGACCTGTGGCCTCTTCACACAAACGCTTGCCACAATTACACGCTGGAGAAGTAACAGGAAAAAGAATTGGGAGCCTTGAAGCTTTCAGAATTTCACATGCTTGCACCAAATCTCACATTCCATTTTTAAGAGTTCATTTTTTGCCTCTATCCCATTTTTAACCCACATGTCCTGATTGCTGACCTGTAGAGGAGGATGCTTATCTGTAGTCAAGCCACTAGAAACCGAAGAGGAAATCTATATCATGGACCAATCCTAATGGTAGGCTGAATGGCCTCATTCTATCTCGGACAAAGAATAATACAGCAGAGGAACAGGCCCTTTGGCCCTCCAAGCCTGCACTGACATATTTTTCCCTTCCATATAAAATGCTCTTACTTACAGAATCCATATTCCTCTATTCCCTTCCTCTTCACGTATTTGTCCAGGTGCTTCTTGAATGCTGCCATTGTGTCTGCTTCGAACACCTCCTCTGGCAGTACGTTCCAGGCACTCACCACTCTTTGTGTGAAAAACTTGTCTTGCACATCTCTTTCAAACATCTCCCCTCGCACCTTGAACCTGTGTCCCCCTCTAATTGACCCCTCCATCCTGGGAAAAAGCCTCATACATTCCACTCTATCCATTCCACTCTCAATCTTATAAACTTCTGTCAGGTCACCCCTCAACCTCTTGCGTTCCAGTGAAAGCAAACCCAGTCTAGCCAACATTTCTTCATAGCTAAAATTCCGCTATACCAGGCAACATCCTGGTAAAATTCTTCTGTACCCTCTGCAAAGCATCCACATCCTTCTGGTAGTGTGGTGACCACAACTATATGCAATGTTCCAAGTGGGGCCTAACTAAAGTACTATATAGCTGCAGCATAACTTATCTATCCTAATACTCAATGCCCTATCCAATGACGGCAAGCATGCCATGAGCTTTTTTACTACCTTATCTACCTGCGCTGCCACCTTCAGCGATCTGTGGACTTGCACACCCAGATCCCTTGGCATATCAATACTCCTAAGGGTTCCCTCATTCACTGTATAATTTTCACCTGTACTTGTCCTTCCAAAATGCATCGCCTCACATTTGTCTGGATTAAATTTTTCTGCACATGCCTCCAACTGATCTACATCCTGCTGTATCCTCTGACAATCCTCCTCATTATCCACAACTCCATCAATCTTTGTATCGCCTGCAAACTTATTAATTAGACCAGCCATGTTTTCTTCCAAATCATTTATGTAGATCACGAACAGCAGAAGTCCTAGCCCTGATCCTTGTAGAACACCACTAGTCACAGACCTCCATTCCGAAAAACATCCTTCCGCTTATACCCTCTGTCTCCTATGACTAAGCCAGTTCTGTATCCATCTTGCCAGCTCACCTTGATACCATGTGACCTCACCTTTTATACCAGTCTGCCGTGAGGGACCTTGTCAAAGGCTTTACTGAAGTCCACGTAGACAACATCAACTGCTTTTCCGTCAATCATCTTCGTCACTTCCTCAAAAAAACTTGATCAAGTTAGTGACACATGACCTCCCTGACGCAAAACCATGCTGTTTATCGCTAATAAGTCTATTTGCTTTTAAATGTGTATAGATCTTGTCCCTGAGAATCTTTTCCAATACTTTCTGTACCACTGACGTGAGGCTCACAGGCCTGTAATTTCCAGGATTATCCCGGTTACCCTTCTTAAACAATGGAACAAGATCAGCTATTCTCCAGTTCTCTGGGACCTCAACTGTGGCCAAATAGGATACAAGGATATCTGTCAATGCTCCGGCAATTTGTTCTCTTGCCTTCCTCAATATTCTAGGATAGATCCCATCAGGAGCTAGGGACTTATCTACCTTAATGCTTTTTAAGACACACAACACCTCTTCCTTTTTAATAGTAACTTGGCTTAGAAATTCAACACTCCCTTTCCTGAGATCATCCTCCACCAATTTCTTCTCTTTGGTGGATGCAGATGCAAAGACCTCACCTACCTCTTCTGGGTCCACACATACATTCCCGCCTTTGTCCTTGAGTGGGACAACCCTTTCCCTGGCTACCCTCTTGCTTTTTATGTACGTATAAAAAGCCTTGACAGCTCTTGACAGAGCTTTTCAATTCGTCCTACTTTGCGACTTCTTCCACATTATCCTACACACTTGTTTGCTTCTTGTATATGTCCAGTTTTCTTAATAGATTGAATTTACTTCCATCATTCTACCAGAGTGTGCCTTCCCCTTACCAGTTAAGCTCAAGGAGTTAAACATTTCATGCAAGGTGACACATGGAAATCCAGTAGAGCTATCTGTTTTCTCTGGGGATTTCATGCTGAAATTATATCAGAAGATCACGAAAAGGCCACAGATCTTCCTTACTGCAGTTGCTGCAGATCACAAATGCAATTTTAGCAAGTCTTGCTGCATTTGTACAGGGTCTTGGTGAAACCACACATTATGTACCATATCCAGCAGGGCTTATGTAACACTGGACACTGACAACCGGTAGCATTACAGGATGGGCATTTTGGGTCATGGGTTGCGACACAGCAATGGTGGTTGTGGAGCAAAGATTCAGATTTGGCACTCCTGGAATTGACTGCAAGGCCCCTCTAAAAGTATATAATCTCTTTTGCCTCTGTGCGTAACCTAATCTAATATGTCCTGAGGCATGATCGCAAACACCTACAGAGTTTCCGAAATGGCAAGTATCTTAGTGGTTTTTAATCCCTGCATCCCTAGTGCTTGAAGCCACACCCCACTCAGAAATCGACCCCAATGCCATTCCCAAATTTCTCTCTGGGGTCACACAAAATGTAAAGCTTTAAACTGGGGTCACAGTAGGAAAAAATTTTAGTGAGGCCCTGATGTACAAACTTTGCCTCCTTACCCAAGGATGGGTAGATTAGTCGTGAAGGGAGAGAAATGAACCATTCACCTGATAGATTCCTAGGAAATTGCCCTATGATAGGAGGTTGAGTAAACTGGATCAATATTCCCTGGAATGCAGAAAGGTTAAGGAAATCTAATTGAAAAATATAAAATTCTTAACAGGCTTGATGGCGTAAAAGATGGGAGAATGGTTCTCCCTAGCAGAGGAATCTACAATAGGTATCACCGTCTTAAAATAAATGGCTGGCCATTTGGGACTAAAATGGGGAGATATCTCCTCACTCAAAAAGAGTTGAGAATCTTTGGAATTGTTTCATATAAAAACAGAATACATTACAGAAAATCAGGAGGTCAGGCAGCCCATGGAGAGAGATATAGAGTCAATGTTTTGAGTTTAATAAAATCATCTTCAGAACAAGAGTAGACATATTGGATTGGAAATGTTAACTCTGCTTCTCTCCACAGATGCTGCCAAACCTGCTAAGTTTCTCCTGTACTTTTATGTTTTTATTTCAGATTGCTAACACCTGCAGTACTTTGCTTTTATTTGGAATTCTCTACCCCAAAAGAATCATTAATGCTCAGTCATCGAGTTGCTTGTTGTGTACTCAGGGAATTAAAGTGTACGGGGAAGGTGAACAGGAGCTAGAAAGTCAGCCATGATTGGATTGAACGGCAGAGTAGGATTGAAAATTTGAACAGCCTACCCCTGCTTCTACTTGTTATGTGCTTATAACCTTAGTCATTACAAGCATAAGGTGCTGGCTGTGTATTCCAAGAGGAGAACATACCAGCAGCGAAGGATAAGTGATTTGCTGCCTAATTGTATGAAGTCAGGCTAACTGATATGAGGAATACTATATCTCACAGTTCCTTCACACAGCCTGAGAAATAAGCATTAAAGTGCCCCATTTAGTGGAAAAGAGCTTCTTCAAAACATTTTTTTGGCTGTATATTCCTCATAGGATAATATACCTTTAGATTTAATAAGTTAAAGGTATACTGAAGTTGTCAAAGTATTCAAATCGTACAATCATTTCACAGTTCTTGGTCTGAACATCTTACACTCTGGTTTAACTTAATGTCTTTCTTTTAAAAGCTGGTCCTTACGTCTGCAGTTAGGGAATCCATAATAGCCAGTAGCACAACGGGAACAGTCACGGCCAATCACATTGGGTCGGCAATTGCACTGCCCTCCAAAGGGGTCACAGGATGAGCTGGTAGCACCCACTTCATGGCACATGCAAGGCAGAGCACCGTTATTGTAGAATGCGGCTAGGGACACTGCAGAGTCTTTGCAGAATTTTGAAGCTGTCCTGGGGCTGCAAGAGATTTGGACATTTTTCAATCAAGGCGAAAATAAACCTTCATCCATTCTGTGCCGAAGCTTCCCAGTTTGAACAACATAAAGTAAGTCAAACATCAGCTTTCCCCTCTGCATCAAAGACCAAATTCAAAGTTCATCCTGGCCGTATAAGCTGCACAGGTTCATATATTCACAAACTGAGGCAAGAAATTTATGCACTTTGGATAAAATATGGATGGTATTGCTACAGCAAAAAAAAAACCTTGAACACAAAACCTCAAAATCCCAAGAGGGTTTCATACAAGAAAGCAATCAGAGTGGCACAGAATTCAAGAGAGAGGCGGACTGAGAACTGGAAGATCGATTGGAGAATGGTTGACAGACTGAAAGGTGAAGTAGCAAGTTGAAGAGGTACAAAGGGTGAAATCCAGAAGATTGGGATCAAGATGATTATAGACCCTATGGGAAACTAAGGAACACTGTCTGGGGTAATACTATAATGGTTATGGTACAGGATTGATAATCTGCATGCTTGGAATAATAACCCTGAGGTGTGAGTTCAAATGCTGTGATAGGAGATGTGGAATTTAGGTTTGGTTGATTAAATAATTGTGAAATAAAGAGCTAGAATCAGTCATGGTGATTGCACAATTCCTGGATCGTTGAAATTGGTCCAGTGATTTCTATTATGGAGGGGAATCTGCTACCCTTATTGGGTCTGGCTTGTATGCGACTCCTGACCAATTGCAACGCGATTCATTCTTAACCAGCCTTCGAAATCATCTAGTTCTATTCAAAACAAGAGTTTACCATCACCTTCTCTGTGGGCGATAAACGTTGGCCAGAATAATATTTTCCAAAAAAAGATGCTGGGAAATAACAGGAGCCTCAAAGGAGGCGGCTGACTGATAGGCCATGGGTAGTAGCATTCATTTGAAGGAAGCTGTAGAGGTGGCATGTGGTGAAATCTACAGGGAGTTGTTAGGTAACAATAATTGTCCTTTCCGAGTGTGCTCCCTCAGGATGTAAGAATGCAGTGGAAATCAGTGAAGGCAAGTGAGCTGGAGGAGTGTGACTTACTGTGGACAAGACATGGGTGACAGACCAAGATGGAGTTTGGAAGGTCAGCAGGAAAACATTAAGCTTGCATCTCAGGACAAACCTACAAATAAGGGTGTCAGCAGTGGGGAAGAGGAGGTAGGGAAAAATATCAGGCAATACCGCAGAGACGGAAGCTGTCGTAGGGATGGACAGTACACTGGTCTGGAAATGCAACTGACATACAAAAACCTGAACTGGCACAATATTTGTTTTGGCCTCAGTGGGCAACCTGGAGAGAAATGTAATGGGGAACAAGGGTATGGAAATTCTGGCAGGAGCTAACATGCATTTATAGACGTCTTTGTAACATTTTTAAGTGCCTCATACAGGAGCAGGTTGGAAGTGTCATGACTGGTCTTGCATTGGCACTTACTTCTTACTCAGTAAGGTTCCAAAATCAGCACAAGCAAGAGCCAGCAAGTGCAGAGATTTGTTACAATATAGGCAAAGGCCAACTGACCCATTCAATTAGTGTTGCTGTCTTTGGAGCAATCCTACTCCCCTGTTCTATCCCTGTAGCCATGCAATTTTATTTACTTTTGTCAAATACAGGCTGTGGCATCATGATAATATGACTGAATGAGTAATGCAGAGCCACAATGGGTTTGGAGACATGGGTTTGAATCCCACCATGGAAGATGATGAAATTTGAATTCAATAAAAACCTGGAATTAAAAGTTCATCTAATGGTGACCATGTAACCATTGTCAACTGTTGTAAAAACTCATCTGATTCTTTAATGCGCTTTAAAGGAAGAAATTGCACCATCCTTATCTGGTCTAGCTTACATGTGACTTCAGACTCTCAACTCTGAAATAGTCTAGCAAGCTGCTCAGTTATATCAAACTGTGACAAAGCCTAAAGGAAAGAATAAAACTATATGGACCACCCGGGATTGACTCAGAAAATTATAACGGTCAACTGGAAGACCCTACAAAGTCCTCTTACTAACATGGAGGGGCCTGTGACAAAATTAGGAGAACTTTCCCACAGATAGTCAAGCATGACTCATCTCCCAAATGTGATCTGGCCCATTACTGTATTCACCAAGATTACGTGTAAAGGTCTTGGGTCAATTCTCTAAAGCTGAAGTAAGGCTGCTACCATGAAGCCAAAGTGAAGGGGGATTCAACACCAAAACAGAGAAAATAGGAGCAGGACTAGGCTATTTGGCCCTTTAAGCTTGGTCCACCATTCATTATGATCATCCAACTCAATAGTTTGGTTCTTACTTTAATCCCATCTCCTTTGATCCTTTAGCCTCAACTTTTTTTTAAACTCATTGGATGAGTGTGTTGCTGCCTAGGCACCCTAATTGATCAGAGGGCAGTTAAGAGTCAACTATATTGCTGTGGTCCAGGAGTCACATGTAGACCAGACCAGGTAAGGATGGCAGATTTCCTTTCCTGAAGGCCTTTAGTGAAACAGATGGGCTTTTCCAATTGACAATGGATTCATGGTCATCATTCGACTCTTCTTTCCAGATTTTATTGAATTTAAATTCCACCATCTGCCGTGGTGGGATTTGCACCCAGGTCCCTGGAACAATAGCTGGGTCTCTGGATTAACAGTCCAGCAATAATACCAGCAAGCCGTCACCTCCCCAAGTACTATATCCAACTCCTCTTTGCAAATAGCTTTTGCAGATGGATTACTCAGTTACATCAAAACAAACTATTGAAAGGTAATATAAAAGATCTGAAGGAGACTCATATTTGCACATGAAAACATGCCAAGGACCTATTGCGCCACTTCCCCATGACATGTAGCCACGCTTGAAGCTCAAACTTACTTGATATAGAAACTGTTTCCTCCACAGGTGCTTATGAAATCATAAGATTTGTCTAAAGGTTCTTCGACGAGGTAGTTTGAATTGTAACTGGCTTCTGGTATGATCAAAATGTAGGCCTAAAGGAGAGAGATTTACAGATTTACCAATGGTTCAATTGTGTGCTCGGCAGAGCTAAGATGTTCAAACAATAAAAATGATTAATTGTCAGGCAGCTGAAATTAGAGTTGTACAGCATGGACTTGTTCACGCCAATCAGATATCCTAAATAAATAGAGTGCCATTTGCTAGCATTTGGCCCAAATCGCTCTAAACCCTTCCTATTCATATAACCATCCAGATGCCTTTTAAATGATGTAATTGTACCAGCCTCCACCACTTCTCCTGGCAGCTCATTCCATACACGCACCACCCTCTACATGAAAAAATTGCTCCTTAGGTCCGTTTTAAATTTTTCCCCTCTCACCTTAAACCTATGCCCTCTAGTTTTAGACTCTGCTACCCTGGGGAAACGACCTTGTCTATTCACCCCATGTAATTGCACAACTGTTTGACAGACTCTCACCATTACTCTGGTGAAATTACTCAAGAAGACGACAGAACTTAGGAGTGCTGGGTACTGATCAAATACAGGTTTCCTGCTGGGTTTTATCAAGACTCCACTCAACCTTGACAAACCCAAGATGTGAGGAATAGTTACAAGTTACTCTTTATCCTGGATATTCCCACTTGTACCACACAATCGGGACCTGACGAAGTTCAGGAGGCCAGGACATTGTCGGGTGAGGCATAGTGATCTATAGGTGGGATGTAACTGGATCCTACTCAGGGAACTGAGCATCAGATCAGAACACAGGCAGAAAATATTTGTTTGGAGGTGAGGGTCTGGGGCAGGTTTATTGTGAGGTAAAGAGACACAAACAAGCTTCTAATGGGTAGATAGTCAATCTCTGGTTGACAAACAGGCACCAGTTGTGCCGGCAGATTAAGATCAACATTTGACAAAATCCCACGGTGAAATGGACATAGTCTAACCTCGCAGGTCCTGCAGACCTGACTCGATCAGCAAAGGAAAGAACTAGCTGGCACAGTAGCAGAGTAACTCTCAGGATTATGTCCTGCGGACATTCAGGCCTCATTTGATTTGTACATTGAGTTCTAGTCATTCTCACACTTCCTTCACAGGAACTTAAGAACTTGAGCAGAAATCAACCAATGGGATGTGAGATTACTGTAGATTCAGCTCTCTTCCACAGAACATCCTGACTAAACTCTGCCCCATTGGAGATTAGCATCTAAAGCCTTACAGCTGTGAGACTTGAACTCTCAATCTCTTGGCTATTGGAATATGTTCTTTATAAAGGTTCAGTTTTAGCGCTTTGAAATATTTCCTGTGTATTCTGAAAAACGATATTTTTATGAGAACCGGCTGTTCTTACATTCCTGGGCGGAATGCCCATGGTTTTGCTTTTTTTAAAATTGTGCTCTAATGTCATCGCTTACCAACCACAGAGTCTTGCCATCAGGCACGCGAATGATAATGGACACATCGTTGTCAGTTATATCCAGGATAATCTTATTTTCAGAAAGGACTGAACTACGGCAACCATAACCATGGGGACAGAATGAAGTGTTGACATGACCTTGAAGGAAAGAAACGAAACTCAAGTTGATGCTGGGTCAATAAAGTACATGGAAGGAACATAGACTTTGGATCAGAGTTAATTAAACTTACAACATGTGGACGAGCTGCAAAGCTGGTTTTATTTTATTAAAAAAATTACTCCCAAGATGTAGGCAATAAATATTGCCTTTGCAGCATTGCCTATCTTTAACTGCCCATTTTGAGGGCACTTCAGAGACACTGCAACAACAGAGTCGGTTAGATGAGTCAGGCATAACATATGAACGAGAGACAAGAAGAGGCCACTCCATCCTCCAAGCCTGCTCTGCTATTGACTGATTTTGACCTCAAATCTACATCCTTGCAAATCACCGATAATCCTTCATTCCCTTGGTAATCAAGAATCTATCTCCCGCTGACATAGAAATATTTGAAGCGCCTGCATCTACCGAGCTTTGGGGCAGGGAATTCCATAGACTCCCAACCTATAGAGACAGCAATGGGTCGTGAACTCCCTTCACTGGGCGGGGGTTTCATTTATAGTTACTTTTCTGCTGCCAACCCACAGCATAAATAGCGTTGTGGTGGCATGAATCGAACTCTCAGCTTCTCAGAAGCTTGTCCTAAGAATGGCTCAGTGGTTAGCACTGCTGCCTCACAGCGCCAGGTTCAATTCCAGCCTTGGGTAAATGTCTGTGAGAGTTTGCACAGGCTTGCGGGTACAGGGTAGGGGGGCTGGGTCTGGGTGGGATAGTCTTTGGAGGTCGGTTCACACTCGACGGGCCAAACGGTCTCTTTCTGCACTGTTGGGATCCTATGATTCTAAAGAGCTACTGTGCAATACGGTGGAAGGAATTATGCAATTGTATAGTAAGGAGACAAAATGCTTGAAAAAAACGTCGTAGATTGTTACTGCCCAGAACTGAACTGGATACAAATAGGCTAATACCCATTGGTTAGGATTAAGGCAAAGTCGCCATAGTCTTACGAGGCCATGGGACTGTTCTCTTATGACAGACAGGGGGACGATTGATGATGGCTTAACCTGAAAGTCACCACACCTCAAGTAAGGGGATCAATTGAGAAGGAGGACCCTTCATGGTAACCTCAGCTAGCCCAGGAGTTGTACTCACGCTGCTGGCATCAGTCTGTGGTTAGGAGTACGCTGCCACCAATCAGTTACTGTGCTGCGTTTTGTGCTTCCTGAATTAGCGGTATAAACTATATCCTATTTCACCCTCATGGTCCAAGACATTCTCAAGAAGTATCTGACTGGTTCTAATTCCAAAACCCTTTAGGTGCAGACTGAGCAGTCCAACGAAAGGTCAGCTTCATTGCATGTCAGCAGGAAATAAGCACAGAACCCAATTCTCCAAATCACCGTTTCCTTCAACAGTTTCAGCTGATAATTTCAAGTCTCACATGCCTTTGTTTTGGAAAGGTTTTCCAGTCTTGAAGATGGCTGAATTTAGCAGCTCTGTTTAGTTCACATCAGCAGTGCTGCCAACTGTGCGAAACCTAAACAAAAGGAACAGCCACAGATCCAGGGCTACCTTCAAAAGTACATCATGGTTTTATTTTGGCCTCTAAAGAAGTCAGTCTGGACTCAAAACATTAGGTCTGTTTTTCTCTCTGCAGATGTTACCAGATCTGCTGAGTTTCTCCAGCACTCACTGTGCTTGTTTCAGATTTCCAGAAACTTCAGTGTTTATTCATGATTTTATTTGGATTGGTTCTTATCCATCATTATTGCAAACTCGGTTCTGAAGTTAAGATGTTACTAAATTTAAAAGGGACTTCCATGTGGTGTGTCAGGAACTACAATGTGGTGAAAATGAATACAGCGCTTAAACAGTCATTATCCATTATGATATGTGCAGGAACAACAATATTACATATAACCGCCAATTTCTCATCAGCTTCACGTAGACATTACATAATCTGATAAAATGGAATCAGCAAAGATTGATCAAAAGAAACCACAGCCTTGCTTGAGTAAACACAGCCTACTTAAATCAAACATACATACTAGACCTTGCAGTCACTGCAGGTGACTCTAGTACTTCACTTGGATTACCTTGCCAAATCCGGCCTCCATTAATCAGCACCTCAGTGGGGTAGGAAGGGTGCTCTGGTTGATAGAAGTGAATCACAAAGGCGTATCGCCCCAGAGTTGGAATACGGCTGCTGAAGGTGGCAACAGTCTGCAAAAGCACAAGGACACGCATTTCTGGAGCTGTTTCCTTTAAATGTGGCTTTCATAGTATAAGAGTGTTGCATTCCCAAAGTCTTTCGATGCGAGCTAGTTTGCAACAAAAAGCTCTCTCTCACTTTTCAATTAAATCTGAATTTAGTCTTTTGCTGCTTCCCTGAATCTCCTCTCCACATACTCTCTAAAAACAATGATTTGATCAGGATTTCATTCTGTTCTCTAGTGTCTCTCCCAAATAGTTTGTTCCTTACTAGGAGGTAGACGTGGAAGGGAGCATTTTAACACCTCCAGGCAAGACTAGAGAGGGGTGTTTAAATTGTTAAAAATTCATTCACGTGATGCGGACGTCACTGGCCAGGCTGGCATTTATTGCCATTCCTAATTGCCCAGAGGTCAGTTATGTTTCATGTGTGTGGAGTCGCATGGAGGCCAGGCCAGGTAAAGATGGCAGTTTCCTTCCCTAAAGGACATTGGTGAACCAGATGGGTTTTCCTGATAATCAACAATGGTTTCATGGTCATTATTAGAGCATTATTTATTTAATTCAATTTCCACTATCTAGGATTTGCACCTAGGTCCCTGGGACATTACCAGAGTCTCCTGATTGATAGTTTAGTGACAATACCACTTGGCCATCACCTCCCATTTCCATTTGCAGCTCAACCGGATGCAAGTGCTTTAGTGAGGTGGATCAGTCATTGAAATATGTTAATAAGGCCATATGGCTCAGATTTTAAGCAAACATTTTGATTTTAATAATCGCAAGCCTGGACTCGCAAGGCTGGAAGCACTCGGCAGCTGTAGGGAAGCTCAGAGAGCCGGATTCAGTAGTTATGTGATTTTTGTAGAAGTGCTGGAGTCACTTATTCTCCACTCAAGAACCCCAGATAATTTACCACCATTGGCCTCTTCCTAAAAGTGCTTTCCCTTTTCCATTGATCTCCCAGCTGTTCCGCGTTCTCTTTCCTCCCTATTTCACTCCACCCCACTCCAACCCGTTCTGAGGAAGGGTCTCCGGACCCGAAACGTTAACTCTGATCTTTTCTTGAAAGATGCTGCCAGACCTGCTGAGCTTTTCCAGCAACTTCTGTTTTTGTTCAAGATGATCTTGGACTTGATTTCCAATTTGTGCAGAGTCAACTGATTTCTGCCAGGAAAATAGGAGGAGGAGCGACACAAATAATTCAGTTTCAGAAAGAATTCCCCAGGAATCCATCTCATGGCACGTCTCTAGAGGCTTCAGATGGACAGTCAAGTGCGTGGACACGAAGGGAGAATGAGATTAGACTGAGAAGCCTCATGCATTTGGATCATAACAGAGTAACATATTTGGCAATAGGCCACTTGGGTATAATCACCACCTTCAAATGACAGGAGATAGGAAAATTGGTGAGCAAAAACAAACTGACAGAGTACCGGCTGTGTGCAAATTCTGGTGTTCACTGACGTATCAATAGCACCTTGAATTTGCAGGAAATTGATCGGATATAATGATGCAGCCCAGACATATAAATGGAAGCTGTTCCCTGTACTTTTTACAGATCAAAGGCATGTTTTCACAATTGTCGCTTTATGTTCTTGCTAAAATCTCCCTAAATTTCTAAGCACAAGAAAATAAAACCCATTATTACAAGAAAGCAACAGTCTGGAGCCAATGACTATAGATGGAGGATAATATGTAAAATCTTATACAAAGTCAATAAATGGCTCTAAGCTTTACCATCGTGATTCTATCAAATTAAACTGTACAGCTAGATTTTTCACTACTCTATGCCAAGTTAACAATTACCAAATTGACCTAACCTTCAAAGTGTCGTGTAGTCGGGCTTCAAAAGTCTAACTTTTAAATGCCTAACTCTGAATTTATTTTCATCTCTCTACATCAATCTTGCTGCTCTGGTAGTTCCAAACGTGTGGTGCGATTTACCTGAGGGGACCGAAGTAAGATCAAGTCAGCTGTCTCCACAATGGTACGTGGTTGAATGGGAGGCTGTTGTGGTCGGTCAAGGGTTCTGACTGGATAGAGGTGCAGCAATGTCGAGGGAGAGGAAATTTTGCCTTCTGTCAGGATGATCGACTGAGAAGGCTTCTGGAACCTGGAGGTGGTGCAGGAGCCACTGCAAGGCAGACAGTAAAACAAAAGTATTAAACATTAACGCAAGCTAAACTTTCCAAGTTTGTTGACAGTATGGACCTCAGAAATGCGGTAAAAAAATGAGCAAGCTAGTCAGAGAAGATACAGACAATGGCGAAATGGTAAAGGCATAACAGATCAAATGTTAATATAGAGAAGCAGGAAGTGATCCATTGCAGTTGGAAGAAAGAGGAGAGGCAATATGAACTAAATGTTACAATTCTAAATGGGGAGCAGAGTAGAGAGATTTGGGGGTGCATGTATACCAACCATTGAAAATATCAGAACTAGTTCAGAAGGTATTCAAAAAGCATTCGAAGTCCTTGGTTTTATTAGTAGAAGCTCATGGAGTAAAAGGGACAGTGGCTACATGGATACAAAGTTGACGTGAGTGACAGGAAACATATCAGTGGTGAGCAACTGTTTATTCAACTGGAAGACAGGATATAGAGAGGGACCCCAACAGTTGGTACCGGAACAATGCTTTTCTTGCTCTGTATTAATAACATAGATTTGGGTGTGCAGCGCACAACTTCCAAAACTTGCAGATTTTACAAAACTTGGAAGCATTGTGCACCATGAGAAGGATAGTATAGAACTTCACAAGGGCATAGACAAGTTGGTGAAATGGGCAATTCTAAAGGACATGGAGGAACAAAGAGACCAGAGGATCTTTGTGCATAAAATCAGTGAGGGAGGCAGAACCAGTTGAGAAAAGGTTTAAAAAAAAGGATCCTACGTTTTATAAATAGCAGCAAAGTGGAAATGGTGGCACAGTTATTTTAAATGGCATCTAGATGAGTACATGAACAGGAAGGGTTTAGAGGGATAGGGGGCAAATGGGACTAGATTAATTTAGGATAGCTGGTTGGCATGGACGAGTTGGACCAAAGGCTCTGTTTCTGTACTGTACAACTCCATGAACGTTTGTAAAAGAATAGTTTGGCATCAAGAGGCGTAGCGGGCTGAATTGCCTACTCCTGTCCCTATTTCTATGGTCTATTTCTGGGCATCACACTTTAGGAAGGGCGTGAAAATTTGATAGAGAGCACAGTAAAGTTTCATGGGGATGGTTCCAGGATTGGCACAGTTCAGTCACAGAGAGATTGGAGAAGCAGAGGTTGTTCTCCTTGGAGAAGAGGAGGCTGTCAGGAGATTTGATAGAGCTGCTCAAAATAGTGTGCTGTTTTGAAAAAAATGGGAAGAAACTGTTTCCAGAGGCACAAGCATCAATAATCACACAAAACAAATTATTCATGGTTGGCAAAAGATCTAAAGGTGACATGAGGATATAACTTTTTTTTTCTTTTTGCACAATGAGTTATGACAATCTGAAATCCATTATGGAAAGGCTTGTGGAAGCAGATTCAACAGTAACTTTAACCAATTTTTTTTAATACATGAAGGGTAAATATTTACAGGGCTGTAAATAAAATATAGGAGAGTACGGGAATAATGGACTGAATGGCCACCTTCTGTGTTTTCTGATTCTAAAATCTTAGCCATTTCCTGACTGCCAGGAGTCTACACAGATCATATGTGATGATTTCTTGAAAAATAACGAGAATAGGGAAAATATTTAGAAAGTTATGTTTAGTTATTGTCTAGATCTTGGATGTTTGTATTCTGTTTGTGCTTTGTGTTCATTTTTGAACTATTGTGTGTCTCAGGCTGTGGTCAAGATCACCTACAGCTCTGGTTACTTGGGTAGAAGTTCATCCAAATAAAGTCAAAATATGCAGATTGAAAGAATTATTAAACAAACCTGCTTTCATCAGCGCTTACTACTGGACACTTCAATAGCATATCTGTCAACAGGAGTGGTAATTATCAACAGTCACTTCCATATGACTATAAATAAACATGAATCAGCATCGATACAGGATGTATTGAGAGAGTACATGTGTTAATGGAAAATAATTTTATTATAGAGTTATAAAGTCCCAGCTTGCAAACAACCCTTCATCCTGATCCAATGTTCTCAGATTACTATTACAATAAATTATAGTAATTTAGGGCTTCTTGTAAGACCTGCCAAAAGAGGCAGCTGTATTCAAGGATCATTCGGCAATGAGACATCTGGTGGTTTTGGAAAATAACAACCTATTTAAGGTACTTGTATTGTGTTTAGCAGAGCAGGTGAAAGTCAGAGTTAAACGTTTGTAATGTCGTAACGGCCAGGCACTCAATACCAACTGATCTTTTTCTGTGGTGTAAATTTTATGGCATGAACTTGTATGAAGATTTTCCTTAGCGCCTCCAGTCACTTCAACACAAGACTTGGCAAAATCTCAAAGAAACTATGGGCTGGATCTTCACACAGGAGTTACTCTCATTTCCCAGTTGCAAACCCAGCCCTGACAGAGGCTATGTGCAGGTCGAGATTTTTATCAAGGCACAAGCCGAATTGGTGAGAGATCAGAAGAAGTGGCTAATTAGGATTGCGGAAGCAGTAACAAAGGCAGGGATTCAGCCATTGTTGCAACTGCTGCCTATCTCTAATTTTAGAAATTAAAAGAATTAGCATCTCCAAACTGAACAGGGCAGATGGAAAACTTGAACCCAAACCCAGAGTGGATTAAGGAAATTGTAAAATTATTAAACTTTAGTTATTTTCCAAAAGACTTTTGTCAAAACTTTCACTCTTCTTTGGAAAACCACCAACAACCTTTTCAATGTTATATTCCTTCTTCCAGACAGGCAAGAGCTGTTCAGCTTTGAACAACTTCCAAAGGGCAGTGGTACCTCTTAAAATCAGAGAAGTTTAGGTGATGAGTTTGTAACAAACTCCTTAGTTACATAAATGCGCCTGATTAACAGCGGCAGTAACTTGACTTTCTAGCCCTCTCAAAAGCCATCAGGGTCAAGAGCTAAAGCAACAGACTGGCACAGAAGCTATTAATGCCATTTTTTTGGTTCACCACTTCTATGTCAATTTGATTTGGCACACGAAAATCCCAGTTCCATGTCTCTAATGGGTGGCCCGCAGACAGCCCAAAGTTATGGGGAGTCCAAAACTAGAGGGTATAGGGTTTAAGGTGAGAGAGGAAAGATTTAAAAAGGGACCTAAGGGGCAACTTTTTCACGCAGAGGGTGGTGTGTGTAAGGAATGAGCTGCCAGAGGAAGTGGTGGAGGCTGGTGCAATTACAACAGTCAGAAGGCATCTGGATGGGTATATGAATAGAAAGGGTTTAGAGGGATAAGGGCAAAATGCTAGCAAATGGCACCAGAATGGAACAGTTGGACTAAAGGGTCTGTTTCTGTGCTGTGGATCTCTATGACTGTGTTCTGCCTGTGCTATGTCTGCAAGAAGGAAGAATCTTAAATCTGAGTAGTGTTAAGGATTTATTGAAATATACAAAACAATTAAATGTTAAATGTTGATCTTCAAATTATGGCCAACTCTCACTTCAGCAAGCATGTAGGTCAAATGGATAAATTTCCACTTAATCTGTAACTAATGGAGTGGTGCAGGGATTGGTGCTGGGTTCAGTTATTTACGATATATATTCATAACTGGGATGAGGAAAATGAATGTAGTATAGCCAAGTTTGTGAATGATACAAACAAAAAGTGGGAAGGCAAGTGGTGAAGATAACAGAGTTTGAAAAGGGACATCGACAGGTTAAAGTGAGTTGGCAAAAATTTGGCAAATGGAATATAATGTGAGGTTACGCACTCTGACAGAAAGAATATCAAAGCTGAATTTTTTTTTAAACTGGAGAAAGACTGCTAAAAGCTAGACCACAGAGGAATTTGGGAATCCTCGTGCATAAATCACAAAAAGGTAATATCCAGGTTCAGCAGGTAGTAGGGACAGCAAATGGAATGTTGGCCTTTATTTCAAGGGGAATTGAATATGAAAATAGAGATGTCTTGCTAAAACTATACAGGGCACTGGTCAAACTACAGTTGAAACACCATGGAGCATTTTGTACTCCTTATCTCAGGAAAGGTATACTGGTGTTGGAGGCAATCCAGAGGAGGTTCACGATCGAGGTACTATCTTATGAGGATAGGTCAAATAGGTTGATCATGTACCATTGGAGTTCAGGAAAACGAGAGGCAATCTAAATAAAAATACAAGATTCTCAGGGGATTTGATGGGGTAGATGCAGATGGACTCTTCCACAAAAGGAAACAACCTAAGACCAGTGAACATAATCTCAGAAAAAGGAGTCACCCATTTCAGACAGGGATGAGGTAGAATTTCTTCTCTGAGGGTAGTGAATCTGTAGAATTCTTTAGTGCAGAAGGAATAGAGGCTGGGCCCTTAAGCATATTTGAGGCTGAGAAGGACAGATTTTCAATCAGGAAGGGAATCAAGGGTTATGAGGAAAAGCAGTGAAAGTAGAGTTGAGGATTATCAGATCAACCATGATCTCTCTGAATGGCACAGCAGATGTGACGGATCAAATGGCTTATGTTTTGTGGCCTTAATCGTGACTGCTGTTGTCTTCTTCCAAATGTGACATCATTCTCTTTCAGGAAATGTTTCAAATTGCAAGAACCACATTGAGCTCATGCAAAATTACTGATGATAAAAGAATAATTTTAACACTGTCAATTGTTTGAGTTAAAAATCTAATATCACGTTCTCTCTTCCTGCAAGATGTAGCTGCTAAGAGGTTGGCTCGCCAGGAGGAAGCACTTAGAAAGGTTTAAAAAAAACATACCACGCAGTACAATCACCTGTCTGGTGCAAATGTTCCATGAGTACTGATGCAATGTACTCCTGGCAGTATGTATTCCATGGTGAACTGTTCATGGGGTATGAGATATACTTTGTTCTGCAAACAAATAACAGAAATCAGTAACAGCTTGATCCTGTCGTTATTAAATCACGTTTGAAATCAGAGTGCTTATTCTTTCACTAAATTTGCCATCAGTCGTTGCTAAGAATCACTAATTTCTAATGCGTGCAATGACAGTAAAATCTGTGATCACATATCAGCACACAGTGATACCAGTGTCCAGTGAAGATAGGTCATAACTCTTCTTTCAAAAAGAGAGTTCCTACGTCTTCAAGTGTACAGGAAATACTGTTCATCTGTTATATGATTTTAAATAAAATTTTCAGAAGATAAACACAGAGTACTATAACAGAGAGCTATTAACACAAAAGTAATGTGTTAAAGCTCAGTACTATGGAATGTTTTTAACGAACAACTGTATGATTAGATGTTCCGAGTGGGGTACACTGCTAAGAGGGAGAAAAAGCCAGGAAATAACGGGCCTGCAGGAGTTGTATTTAACACTAAGTGCAATGAATTCTGAGGCTTCTTTGACTGGCACTGCCTGATCTGTGGGATCTAATGACCAAAAGATGGTACTGGGAGAATGGTCGGGCAGGAGTTTCTGCTTTTTTTAAACCACAAGTTTAATTCAGCAGGAGATTGACTTAAAGTCAGTCAAGCTAGTGCAAAGGGTTGAGGAATTTTAAGCACAAATTATATCCAACAAATCAAGTTTTTGTGACCTTCTGTGCTGGTTTAAAATAAAATTTGCACCAGAAGCCCACGCTTCCTCAGTTGATTCTATCATGGTGTGGAGGTGCCAGTGTTGGACTGGGGCAGACAAGGTCAGAAATCACACGTCACAGATTACAATCCAACAGGTTTTTTGAAAACACAAGCTTTCGGAGCCTCAGTCTAACACGTGAAGGAGGAGCGAGGCTCCGAAAGCTAGTGTTTTTAAATAAACCTGTCGGACTGTAATCTGGTGTCATGTGATTTCTGACCTGATTCTAACACTGTAGTGAGTTCCTGCTAAATTGAGCCCCCTTGCTTCTAAACTTAAACAAGTTCTTCACTAAATTTTAAAGGAGCTTTTAAAGTTTTGGTTTAATTTGCTAGGAAAATAGTTACTGCACACTAATGTCACTGGTAAATGGTTCTGGGTTGCGTTTTAAAATTATGTACAATTAGATAAAATCAGGACAGAAAGTGCTGGAGAAACTTAGTCGATCTGATGACTTTCTTACCGCAGATGCTAACATTTCATGTCCAATGACTCTTCTTCAGTTCCAAAGAATCATCTTTGGACTTGAACCATTAACTCGGTTTCTCTCTCCACAGATGCTTTCAGACCTGCTGAGTTTCTCCTGCACCATTGTTTTCCAAATTTCAGATTTCCAGCATCCACAGTGCATTTTTTTTAAAATTTAAAATCAGCTGTTGGACTAGAAACTGCAGCAATGATGGCCCAGCAAATTGGTCACAAATGCCCATTTTCAGTCTTTGCTACTGTAGAAGCTCAGAGGCAGTGGCTGGCTAATCCCTTTCACGTAGTAGTGGGAAGAAGAGGAGAAGAGTGCATTTATCTTTACATATCTCACATTTCCCAGTGATGGGGTTAAGCAATGTGCTTGAAGAAGCTCGATTGCCTGTCCCACAGAATGATGCATGTATACTCTGACAAGAATGAACAGTATTAACTGTCTACGAGTAGAGACCCAAAATAAATTTGACATATAATCTTAACAAACTTGAAGGAATTCATATGAAAAAGAAAAGAGAAAATATCTTATTTTCTGGCATGTATAGCAACATGCAATGTTTTTTTTAAATGCAACAATTAATACAAATACAGGAATAGAGTAGTAACAATATTGAATGTGTAATTAGTGATTTAAATACAATACTAGCCTTTGATTTATACCCTAGCATAGCATCTGCCATTAGGTTTCGGCAACTCCTGTCACAGAAAAAGCAGTAACTGCTCCACAATATTGTTACCTTTCTCTCCTAAAAATCTAGCAATTGTGTTAAGGATTTGGTTCCACAGGCATTGAACGCCAACTGGTATGTCACAGAAGTGACTTCTGGCCTTGTGCAAATCTGAACAGTTTACAATAACCTATTCAAGTGTCCAGGTCATAGAATCATAGAATCCCTACAGTGCGGAAGCAGCCATTCAGCCCAGAGTCCACACTGATGCTAAAAAGAGCATCCCAACCACCACCCTATCCCTGTAATCCCACATTTCCCATGGCCAATCCACCTAAACCTAAACATCTTTGGACTGTGGGAGGAAACCAGAGCACCCAGAGGAAAGCCACAGAGACACGGGGAGAATGTGTAAACTTCACACAGACAGCTGTCCGAGGGTGGAATTGAACCCAGGTCCCCTGGTGAAGTAGGGCAGCAGTGCTAACCACTGAGCCACCGTGCTGGTCCTCAAAGTTGAACCAGATCCTGACCTTCTTGGCTAGTAGGAATCAACGGCTTCGTTGTTGGCAGGGACAGAGTTTGCAAGGGAATACAGTGAAACATTCTCCTTATTGTAAAACTCCCTCATGTTAGGATTTTCAGGTCACTGTAACCGTCCAAATGTGCACAAAATTACTAAATATCAATTGCAATTAACTCCTTTCCAAATCATGGAGGTAGCCTCTAGTGCTAACTTTTAACATATTTGTTCTCCGATTGCGTTCTGTGAAAACTAACTGGACAGGCATAAGCAGAGAGAAAATTATTAGGTTTGATCTTATTACACAATCTCCTACCAGAAGGATGTTGGCTGAGTCAGCAATGATCTGCAGTTCAACGTTGGTTGGTAATTCATACACAGCGACACGGTTCAAAGAGTCGATTGCAACCCCATGACACAGAAAACTGGAATTAAAAATAAGCTTTAAATTACAGGTGGTGGACAGCAAACCAAAAATTCATTCAAGCAGTATTTGTTCCACAAGCTTGGAGTATAACCCAAAGTCTTTACTGCTTATAATGTAGTGCTCCATTAGCTCAGTTCATCATCACTCATAATGGAATGTTAAAATCTCACAGAAACACTTCCAATTCTTTGCCTATTTAATTTGCCATGCAGTAGGGGAGAGGTAGGGAAGGCCATGGCATGACATAACCTGAAATATCCAGGTTCAGGCTACGGTGAGAAGCTCTTGTAAGGGATTGAGACTATAGACAATGAGGAAATAACAAACATAGACGCAGCTCCCAGTTCTCAGTGATTCTGTGCTTGAGAACTCCAAATCTTTTCTTACTCATGGAATGTGAGTGTCACTGGTTCAGCCAGCATTTATTTCCTAGCCCCAACAGTCTACCAACATGTTGCATCAACTCCGTGCAGTTTGAAAATCCTTGATGGTTGTCCAAAGACACATATCGTTCACTGATTTATTATCAACACACTTTTCGCAGCTTCTTGGGATCTTTCAAGCAAAATTGCAGTTTTCACCAGGAATATTATACAATATGTGCCAAACATGAGAAATTATGGTGGTGTTGCATTGCACCAAATTAGAACATTTGTATTTAAGAGCATTTTTCTCCCATGACATGAGTCTATCTCCCCAAATGATACGCCACCACCTGGCTAAAAGTATGTCACATATCTAGGCTTCTGCAGTGCAGCGTCAGGAAGATTCAAAGAGTTAAATGGGATCCCACTTCCTCTGTGGAACAGTATTTGGGTTCTGCTTTATACCTCCCATTGAAGACACGTTCCATTAAAACAAACGACATTTCTGGGGTTCACATTATATCTCAAAGCAACACCTAGTTTCATGTGAAGTATCTTTAATACGGACCTCAAGATTTAAGTCCTTACAAACTATTACACTGGCAGTTAATCTCCTTGATGTCTTTCTCAGTTCACATTAGCGTTAAAGTTTTCTTTCTTGCTGCTCTGAGAGACATTGACAGAACTGATGAAAGATCTCTACCCAAAATGTTAATCGACGTTTCTTTTTCTTATTCAATTCCCTGGCCAAACTATCTGGATTACTACACATAGCTCATGTTGCTATGGTGCAAGAAATCCTCAAAAAGGTGCCAGGGAGAGCTACAAGACTAATCCTTAATAATGAACTAAAAGGAGCAATTAGAAAAAAAACAGGGCTTTTCAGTCTCACCAGAGATCTGACCAAAGTATATGAACCAGTTACTTAAACAAGAAAATAAACATTTATTCAGTGCACCAGTGTTCTTGGGTAAGAGGGCCTAGGTTGAAGGTGTGAAGGACAAGGTTAGGGTAGACAAACCAAGAGCTGTTCTTAGAAAGCAATTCAAATATATCACCACATAAATTGATTGAGACTAGAATGTCTTCGAGAAACAGTTGTGTAATGAAAGAACATTAGGGTTGATATTCCTGGAGAGTTAGCTAATTTTGCTGAAGTAACTTCCTCATTCCATTGAAGCACTTTTTTCAGCATTTTTGTATGCTTAATTTCAGATTCCAGTCTCGAAGGATTTTCTTTTTCTATCTCATGTGTAGATGGCTTGGTGCAGTGCCTCATCAATCAGTAAAAATCCTCACATGGCTTTAATAAACTACCAGTGGCACAGCAGATATTCTAAAATTAATCGCAATTTCCAAATGCGGTGCAGGACTGGGCAATTTCTAATGAAAACATTGGTTTGGCCAGTGGAAACAATGACTGCTCTTCTTCTGTTGATAGACTGACGCACTATTTATGGTTCTGTCTACAGGGACCAATTTCTCCCCATCCCAGAGCGTCGCACTACTAAAAACAGTCTTAGCAGCAGAATTCTTCGTAGCTTCATAAGGGCAACTGAATAGACACAGGAAACCCTTAAAAGGCTACGGGGGTAAAAGGGTAGGTGGGATTCAACCTTTTTCAGGGATCCAGCAGAGATATGATGGACTGATAAGCTTCCTTTAGTCAGTGTTAAACTCTGCAACTGTAGAAGATTTAATTTTATAGTAGGGCCAAGAAAAGAAATTGCTAGCAAAACTCAGCAGATCTGGCAGCATCTGTGGAGAGAAAGCAGAATTAATATTTTGGCTCCAGTGACCTTTCATAACCCTTCTGCTTTCTCTCCACAGATGCTGCCAGATCTGCTGAGTTTTGCCAGCAATTTCTTTTCTTGGCCCTACTATAAAATTAAATCTCCAGCAATTTCTAGTTTTGGTTCTGATTTCCAGCATCCACAGTTCTTTGCTTACTTTTTTGACTTGGAAGATGTGTTTGGAGTCCTGAATGGTATGAAGGGAGGAGGGAAAAGAGCAGAGAAGGTGTTGTATCTCATATGTTTGCATGGAAAGCTGGCAAACAGAAGACAGCGGCTGTTGAGGAGAACGAGGGGTGAACCAGAGCAGCACAGAGGGAACAATCCGTTTGGAATACTGAAAGCATTGAGCACGGAAAGACATTTAGTGCTGGCTTCATGCTGGAGCTGGTGAAAATGGGAGAGGATGATCAATCGAATATGGAGGCTGGTGAGGTGTGAAGTCAGGATAACGGCAACCGTATCATGGTTCTGGAAGAGAGAAGCGGCGAGAGCATAAGTGTATGAAATAGACTGGACACAGTGGATGACTCAGTCTACCCTGGGAATCCTCAGTATTTTTTTTTAAATTCACTCGTGGAATGAGGGTGTTGCTCGCTAGGCCAGCATTTAGTGCCCATCCTAATTACCCTGCGAGCAGTCAAAAATCAACAACATTGCTGTGGTTCTGGAGTCACATGAATGCCAGGCCAGGTAAGGATGGCACATTTCCCTCCCTAAAGGACATTAGTGAACCAGATGGGTTTCTCCTGACAATCGTTTCATGGTCATCATTAGACACTTAATTCCAGGCTTTTTAAAACTGTAATTCAAATTCTATCATCTGCCATGGTGGGATTTGAACCCTGGTCCCCAGAACATGAGGTGAATTAATAGTCCAGTGAAAATATCACACGGCCATCGCCTCCCAGTGAGAAAAAGGAAGACAAAATAGAAACTCTACAATGAAAGGTTATGTTGTCAGAACAAATGTGACTGAGACAGAGAAACCAGGAGAATACAATGGAATCTTCACAGGAAGCGGATATCATCATCATCATCGAATCCCTAGTGTGGAAACAGGCCATTCAGCCCAACGGGTCCACACTGACCCTCCGAAGGGCATCCTACCCAAACCCATACCCCCACCCTATTTTTTCCATGGCTGACACACCTTAACTACACATTCCTAGGCCCTACGGGTCAATTTAGCTTGGCCAATCCACCTAACTTTGGACCATGGGAGGAAACCGGAGCACCTGGAGGAAACCCACACAGACATGGGGAGAATGTACAAACTCCACACAGACAATTGCTGGAGGGTGCAATTGAACCTGCTGCTGTGAGGCAACAGTGCTCATCACTGAACCACCATGCTGCCCTGAGGTGTGAGCAAATACAGGGTAGATGTGGGCATTTGTGGATGTGGTGATAATCTATCTTCAGAAATGCAGACAAGGAATTGAACAAAAGGTCAGAGATGGACCAGGTAAAAATCACAGAGGGCTGCAAACAATGATATTTTCTCGTTCCAAGTGATAGCAGGACGTGGCACAAATAAGAGGCATCAATGTACTGGAGAAATGAAATGGGGGCTGGTGAATAGGACTATAGACAGGAACGCTCCAAAACTGCTACAAAAAAAAAAGATATTTTGGGATAATAACAATCAATTTTTACACGAACGAAATGAGCAGAGTTGAAGGTGAAAACAATCACAGCCAGGCTGAGGTTGGGGACTGGTTTAGCTTCCTACCAAGGAAGAAGCAGTGAGCTGTTAGGCCGGCTTGGTGGAAGATGGTGATGCTGAGAGATTGGACTCTTCCATGGGGGAACGAGGAAAAGGTTAGGGCCAGGAAACTGAAGTGCGGTAGGGCATCTGAAGAGTCTTTTTCTCTCCTTGCTTCTCCCTTTACCTGCAAAAGCAGGCTGTAGCTCCTGTTGTGCTGGAGAACCTGCCAGTGGCTCTCCAGTTTTGGAAGTTTTCCCAACCTTCTTAATTAAATGAGGAGCATCAAGGCCAAATCCAAAAGCTAAATGATGCCTCACATTTCATCATTTGCCCCAACTAATATCCACAATACAGATTGTGATTGCAAAGTTGTGCTTATCCATTATTTTCAAAGCACAATAATTGATGTGGATTACTTCTGCATGACTGTTACTTATGCTTTCCCACGCATGTGAACACATCTCTGCACATCTGGCTAACTGCCAACTGTTATCTGTAATTTTCAGTATGGACACAAGTATGTTAATGTTGACTTTAGAAATGAGTGGTTCAAATTCCTTTTACGTTCCATCCAAACTCATGACAGATTTGTTCAGCCCGAGAACTGAAAATCAAAACTCTGCAGATTACCAGGTCGCTCTTTGTAAATCTGTGTCACAGCTTCTTACCCTTTAGCTTCCAGCCTCCCAATTAGGATTGCTCGGAAAGGATTACCCTAACTCATGGCTTTAAGACACAAGAGTTGGATTTTTCCCACGCTTTGTAGACAATGGAAGAAAATTTGATCCAAAAGTCTGAAAAGAATATCTAATGTCTGCTGCATTAAATGGAGGATTAATGCATTGGGATCAGTACTACCAGTGAAATTAGCCATATAGTTAATTGTGAAAGTAATGTTACTCATGTCATCCAGTTTGATGATAGGGTTTTCTATTAAAAGACACAAGGATGATTTAATCCCAACTGCTTAGTTGAAACAAGCTAGCTGGCCAAGAAAAGTACCCAGCTCACCCACCCACCCTACAACCACTGGAAATTGATTTGTTATGACTCCCTATAGAGCAGGTAGTGAGGATGTGGCCAAAGTGTGACGCATTTTAAAGTATGTGCACATTAGACCCCAAACATGAAAGACGATTTTCGGTTTAAATGCCTGAGTGAGAAATGACAGTGTGTTTTCTGCCAAGTGAATCTAACAATTTGATTTGATTTGATTTAATATTGTCACATATATCCAAGTACAGTGAAAAGTTTTGTTTTGCATGCAAGTCCAGGCAGATCATAATGTACAACAAGGATGGCAGCCAGAAGGGAGGCAGAAAAGTTCAGTTTAAAAATCCTAATTTCCTTACATGGGATGGCCTGGCTGTCATTCATTGAGACTGAGCACCACTTTCCATCAGCTTCAGCTGGAATGAGGCTCACGTGTTAAAATGGGATCTTTTGTTTAGCTGCACCGCATGAGTATTGAGGTGACACCAAAACTTGCTCAATCAAAACTGCCCATCAGTCAAAGTCCCAGCCTAAACATCTGCATAGGAATGCAGATTAGTCTGCAATTATAAACCGCAGACAGCAACAGCATCAGAACATGATGCAGACCTCTCAAGGAGAAAGTTCAGCATTTGGGAAATATTTTCAGAGGGTAGTTAGTAGCCAGCATCAAACATCTGATCTATCTATCAACCAATTCAAAACACAGACTTAACAGTGTGCAAATAATGAAGTTATAAACTTTTATAAAACATTTAGTCTAGACATTCTAGTGGAGCAGTGGTAGTGCCCCTACCTCTGAGCCAGGAAGTCTGGATTCAAGGTTCACCTGCTTCAGGTGGTGCATAATAACATTTCTGAACGGTCTGATTTGGGAAATATTGAATCTAACAGGGATTCAGTGCTGACCACTTTTGATGTGCAGACAGTTTAAATAGCAAGGGATGAAATGATCCTATTTTTGTTTATAACTCAGCACGGATATTCCTCTGACCTGAGGAATTAGGTCTTTCGGCGCAAGTCCAACAACTTGTCCTGATGTGGGACCATCCTGCCTCTCTCAAGTTCCAAGAAGTTTTGGTTTCTTTTTCTCTTTGTGAATCCCAGAATTGAAGATTTGTTGTGGCACGGAAGGAAGCCATTTGGCCCATTGTGTTTGCACTGGCTCTCCAAGGAGTATTATAACATACTGCCACTCGCCTGCCTTTTTCTCATCTCTTTGAACATTAGATCTTTTCAAATAAACCTCCAATGTCCTCTTGAATGACTCAGTTGACCCTGCCGCTACCACATTTCCAGGCGGTGGACTCTAGACCCGAACCACTCGTGTGAAAATGTCTTTTTCTCACATCGCATTTACTATGTTTGCAAATTACTTTAAATCTATGCCCTTTTGCCATCATACTTTTACCCCTTCAAAACTATCCTTATAATCAAAGTTTCTCATCCCCGGAACCATTTTATAAATTCCCTGTGCTCTCTCTCCAATGTGTTCACATCCTTTCGATGGTTGGTGCCCAGACTGGACACAATATTCCAAATGAGCAGTAACTAGTCTCTTGTATTCGTTTAGCATAAACTCCTTGTTCTTGTACTCCATGCCCCTATCAATAAAGCCAACGATACAGTGGACTTTAATGACTGCCCTGTCCATCTGTCCTGCTATCTGCATTGATCTGCTCATATATGCACCAAGGTCACTCTGTTTCTGCCTTCAACCCAATTACTGTACCCCTATTTTACATCGCCTCTCCAATTTCTGCATCACATTTGAAGAATGCATCAACCTTACAGTTCTTCGCATCGAATTCATCTGCCACCTAAATGCCCGCTCCATCAACTTTTCAACTTGTTTATGTTGCTTTGGTTTGTGTTGTTTTCATCTTCAGAGTGTACAATGCTTCTTGCATCACCTGCAAACTTTGAAATTACTCCCTGCACACCAAGGTTCAGATCAACCCTATAAAATTCCCTCCAGCCCGAAAATATCCAATGACCACAACACTATTTCCTATCACCCAGCCTGTTTTGTATCCACGAAAATCAGCCTCCACCTAATTGACAAGAGAGCTGTGGATTGGATGCTGAGGGTGAAGTAATCATAGAATCACCTACAGTGTGCAGGAGACCATTAGGCCCATCAAGTCCACACTAACCCTCCAAAGAACAGCCTCCCCAGACCCATCCTATCCTCATAACCCTGCATTTCCAATGGCTAATCCACCCAATCTGCACATCTTTGGACTGTGGGAGGAAACTGGAGCACCCAGAGGAAACTCACACAGACACAGGGAGAATGTGCAAACTCCACACAGACAGTCACCCGAGGATGGAAGTGAACCTGGGTCCCTGGAGCTGTGAGGCAGCAGTGCTACCCACTGAGCCACCGTGTCACTCTAAGGTATAAGTTAACTATTTCTAGCATTGAGCTTCTTAAAGTCGGTTGCAATGGTGTGTGACAATTTTCTCATTTCTCTTTCCCGCATTCTTTGGCATTTGTTTCACAGCATAGCCATTTGTTTTCGATATCGTAAAAGTCAATATTTACTCAAAGCCAATTACACTCACGTTTCTGACTAAAATTTAGATGAAACCACACCTTGAAAATCACAAGGTGTAAGCATGTTCTTAAGATATTTTCTGTAGTTTCCATAAGTTACATTCTGTGTGATTTTCCTGAGAAGGCTTTTCAAGTATTAAGGGTCCTCAGCTCCAACAACTTATAGCTACCAATGTCCCTCTGGGATCCTTCTTCTGCTTCCCTTCTCTCTGACCCCAGTTCATCTTCCATTTGCACCTCTCCACAGTATATTCACTATAACCTCTGACCTTTCACTCTCCCAGGCTGAATGATCTGTGCTTAGCAAAGGACCCAGTGGTATTCCTTTAAACTCCCACTTCAATTAACTTTGGGCTCAGCAAGACATCAAAATCTTCTTCCATTGCCTTAGAAGTCCTCTCCAACCCCCATGTACACCAACCCCACCCCAACTCAATGGGCTCTTTCGTCCATCTACAATACTCTCCCACCGGCTTCCTATCCACTGCTCCCTGGCATATATGTTGTTTCAGCCAGTTTCTGTCCCACTGAAAACATTTCTTCCTTTCTTGACCATCTTCTGCCCCATCCCACCCCTAATGTCCAGTAGCTTTCCACCTTTATTTCTTCTGCAGTTTTATGTTTATCAATTTCCGGTTCCCTGACCACCACCTCACTATGAACGTCTAACCCCTCTACACCTCTTCTTCCATGAGGATGGTCTAAGGGCTATCTGTATCTTCCTTTGTTGGGGGCCAGAACAGTTCCCGTCAACCACCACCCTCCTGAGCTAGCTCTCATTGAATAATTTCTTCTTTAACTTGTCTCACTTCCTTGACAGGAAGTGTAGCTGTGGGTATCCACAGGAGCACTGGGTATGCCCATTAGGGTACATTTCAATTTCAATTGTAATTTCCACCCTCCTCTCACCTTTACATAGCTAATTTCTGACACTTCCTTTAACCTTTATTTCCCTGTTCTCATTTCTGGTGGATGATTCCGTACTAACATTCTTTCCAATTGCACTGACTCCCACAGCTACTTTGACTATACTTCTGCATATCCTGCTCCCTATAAGGACTCCACTTGATCCTCTAATTTCTCAATCTCTATTCTGATGTAGCTATCTTCCACAATTCAGACAGGTCTTCCTTTTTCCTCAACTAACGAAACCCCGCCCAATGGGGTTGGCAGGGATAACAATTTTCTGAACTTCTGTCCTACCCATTCATTTCTTCACAGAATGCTTAACCTTTGTCCTCACTTTCCACCTCACCTGCTTCCTTATTCTCAAATCCTTTCTGCCCCACAACATCTTGCATTTAACCTTCCCCCAACCTCTAACCCATTCCTCACCTATCCTTGTGCTCCACGGCCTTCCTCAATTTATCACCAGCTTAAAATCCACCTTTCAACCTCTTTTCAGTTCGAGGAAGACAGCAGGAATGTGAAATGTTAGCTGCATATTTTTCCACAGGTTTGAAGTTTTCCATCAATTTCTGTTTTTATTTCAAATCTCCAGCATCCGTGGTATTTTGCAATTATGGAACAAATGGAACTGTTTTTGTCAGGTCTCAAATATTCCGACCACTTTACCTGTATTTGCAATAATTCAGCCTGATGGTGTCTGGCTGCTCTTGGCCTCCTAGAGCATTCACATGGACACTGATGCTTTGGCCTGGATCTGTCTCAGTTGCGTATTCAATCAGCACCACATAGGTTCCTGAATGTGGAACTCTCATCACCATCTGGACATTAACCTTACAAAATAAAGACAGTAGATGATGATGTCTGTTGCAGATCTAAAGGGTTTTACTTTCAGATTAATTGCAGGAAATTGAATAAGGATGCATTTAAAAGGAGAAGTCGGGAAATAGGAAAAAACACCGTACTCCACAGGCAGAAAGGTTCATAATCAAGAAAGACACAGTGTGAAGGTGATAGGCAAAAGAATGAGAGGAACAAAATGAACAATTGATTTTTGAAAACCTAAGTGTATTCAAGGGTGACATGAACAGCTTCTAGGTTCTGGAAACAATGGTACTGGTATAAAAAGCCAGCTGATAAAACCACAGCTAAATGACATGATGGCATGGGAAAGTATCACAGTGACATAATCCTTTAGCACAGAGACTGCAAAGTGTTAGTCAGAGGCACACAATGGGGGAGAGGAGTCTCCCACCACTGTTCTGCCAATGAAAGAGTCACTTGTTAAATTTGTCCATCCGTGCAAGTGATACAAATGCTAAGTAGGCCAACACAGGGGAAAACAGGTAGAAGGGATGAGCTTTAAAATATCACGATGGTTAATATTATTGAAATTATTCTGTGTCATATTAGCAGATGAATGATATCCTGTTTGTCTACAGTTTCTCTCTGCTCGAGTTATGAGAAGTTGTTAACTGGTTTAGTTAAACTTGATTTCATCGCTCTGAAACTGCGCAGAGAAACATTTCAGACATACGCATGTGGGTTTTCACTTGCATCCCATGCTATTCCTTTCAGTGTTCTACAAACCTGCTCAGCATTGAGAAGAACCATTGATGGATGCCTTGGAGTGGGCTGCACCACATGACACTGGCTATGGAGATAGTTGTCAAGGGCACACATGCCTTCGGTAGCCATGATTGAGGGGAAGCCATCCAGGGGTAGGTGCCTGTACATCAAACAACTGGGGAAAAATAGACAAATCCCATCAGGTAAAATCCACAATTAAGCCATTCTTCAAAAGCAAAGTAAATATCACATTTGACACTTCAATTTCCCTAAAGAGTATTTTCCATTTTGTGCCAATACACAAAGTAACAGGATTAAATGTTTGAGTACACAGTAGAGCAAATATTCCTTTTTCAATGTAAATCCTTTGGCAGAAGAAATCTCAAACTTAAGTTGTATCTGAATGTACAGGGTGAAGCTTTGCAATGGCTCGTGAAGAAGATTGAAGTGGCTATGATAGCACAGTGTATATCTTACTGGATTAATAATCCCAAAGTCTAGACCACGAATCCAGAGGCATGAGCTCAAATCCCACTGCAGCAGCTTGAGAATTAAACTTCAATTAATTAAATTTGAAACAAAAAGCTCAAAAAGTAACGATGGCCATAGGATTACCAGATTGTTGTAAAAACCCAACAGGTTCACTAATCACAGTAAGAAACAGAAATATGCCATCCTTACTCAGTCTGCCATTTATGTAACTCCAGGCCCACAGCAATAAGATGCAGTTGATTCTCAACTGCTCTCTGAAATTGCCTAACAAGCCATCATTTGCAAGAAGGCAGTTCACTATCTCCCGAAAAGCAATTAAGGTTGAGCAATAAATGTTGGCCTTTGCGTGGGTGCCCACATCCCATCAATAAGGAAGGCAAAAATATTGGCAATGTCAGAAATGCAACTTCAAGGGATTGGATCTTCCTAATGTGAGGCAGTTGCGAGTATTAACTTGGGAGGATCCTGCAATCTATGCACTTTTTGCCTGTATAAGCCTGAAGTAATGGCCGTGGACTGTATTAATGCTGGAAATGCATCGTTCACTTCCTGCTGCTTAGAAAATCTAAGCCAAAACAATTGTTTCAAAATGCCATGAAGTAAACATAACTTTTCTCAAAGTGTAAGGGCAGTGAAGGGGAGTGCTTTGTGCTCAACGTAGAAGTAAGACACTATACCTGGACGTTTTTGGAGAATGTGACTTTTATTCACTATTGAGATCATCATGTTGTTCATCCTATGCCTCCAGAATGGTTCTGCTGCTAAACACAGGCAGCTGGTTTGACAACCGTGAAGGTGCTGCAGAACCATTCTGGAGGGTTCAATTCCAGGAAATCTGAATTCTATTTCCGGGAGACAAGTACCCAGAGTTCCAACCCTTACTGATCGCAAAGTACCTGATCCACAACATTGTGTCAATCTTGCAAGGAGGGAAATCTAATTCGCAGCATATCTTTTCCAATAAATGTCAACAAACTTGAGTTAAAAGGATCATTCCCTTCAAGAAAAAGTATATATCTCAGTCTTTCCTATCTGTTTAAGCATTAAACTAATGATATCCAGTCCATACAGCCAATGCATTGGATGTTGAATGCTTGGTTGCAGAAGTTGCAAGATCATTTTAGAGGTGAAATGGGCATGATTCAGTAATTGCCTACAAAGCCTGCCACTTGAGAGATTTGGTCAGCTGAATCAGCAGCACAATTTTACTTTCTAAGTACATAATTGCTCTGAAAATTATTCTCACCTGGACAGTAACCACAGCAGCTAAACCTTTTGTTACTCCTCTCCTCTCTATACCTACCTATATACCTCTATACCTACATCACGGAATTCAGAGGTATCTCTGCAGAATCCTATACTACATCTCTTATGCACTGCCAGAAAGACCCAAGTTCATCAATTTTACAGCTTACCCAGCCCAAACTTGTGACAATTCCACTCCAAGCCCAGCCCAGGAGAGTGGCAGTCTTATTTTGCCAACCTACTATGACTAGCTTTTCTACCTTACTTTCAAAAAATGAAAGGATGTAGGCAAAACCAATACATGTTACTATGAACTCCAGAAAAAATGATACACTTTAGCCTAGCAATAATAACGGACAATAATTCATAGAGAGATGGTAACAGTTTGAAATAAACGGGTTAGTGCCAGTGTTAAAAAGCAGGTTAAAGAACATCATACAAAAGACAAAGATACATCTACTAATTTCAGAAAGTAATTTCTAAACTTTAAATGAAGAAGTAAAGGTGTATTATGAAATCCATTGTAAATATATTTAATTCCCAATATTTTTATACCAATTATTGTTCGACACTCAGGATTGAAGCTAGATAATTGGATCTTGCTGTGCACAAAACAGGGACAGAGGAACCAGGTCACAGAAAGTGCCAAAAAGTTTCACATCAGCAGGAGAGTAATTACAAGTCGTTCAACAAAAAACCCATCAGTTTTCGTGACGTACTAACTTTTGAGTGGTGTCCTGAGGAGTTATTGTATAGGTGCAGGGTTCAGTCACTTTGAGCTGGAGGATTGGTGCTTCATAGTAAGCACTTGGTAGAAGGACCAGGTAATCCTGCAAAATAAAGCAAGTGTGAGCCCCTGCACAACAGTAACATTGCATTTTGTGTTTGGTTTTTCTTCAATAATAATATTGCATGTCTTCTAAACAATTACGTATTAATTTTCAAAACACTTCTCTTTCCATCTGAAGCAATTTTCACAAGTGCATCTGTGACATTTTTTTTGCAACGTCCCTATAGAAGAAAATGAACGCTATTTCCAAAGGTTAACAAATCCCAATATAGATTGGCAACTTTTTGTTTCTTTCCATCTTGGGCCCTTTCCAAGGCTCTGTACGAATTTATGGCAAATTTTAACAAGCCTATGTCTGCTGGGCAGATCAAGCGAGTTCCTGAGTAACATTCCCAAACATTCCAACAAAGTTTAATGTAAAAGTCTGGAGACATACCGAAGACTTATCAGCCGTTTTCTCCACCATGTCACACACTGGGATTTGGGACACTTCTTACATGAGGCATGGAAAGCAGTGACTCTCAAATTCCTGGATTCCCCTGGTCAACTGGCCCCGGTGATATGTTCTCCTGACTTAGAAACTTTGACTTCTTGGAACATTCATACAAAACAGAAGCAGACGTAGGCTATTCAGCCCCTTGAGTCTGCTTGGCCATTCAATAAGATCATGGCTGATCTGTTAATGTTTCAAATTCCACATTGGGAGATACAGGGTTACAAGGTAGGGGGCTGGGCCTGGGTGGGATGCTATTTGGAGGGTTGATGTAGGCTCAATGGGCCAAATGGACTGCTTCCATACTGTAGGGATTCTGTGATCCATCTTATTGAGGTCGTTTAGGATCGATTTTATTTCAGTCAGTGTCATCCCCTCACTCAGCTAAACTTCAGTGAAAAACAGCCCAGTCTGTCCATCTTCTATGTTAATTTAAAATTAATTCAGTAAGGATGATTGAAAGTAATTTCTTTTCCTCCTTCAGAAAATATTGCCAAATAAACTTTTTCATGAAGAGAGTAGTCTTTCGTGTCATGCATGTTCACGTAGCTAATAGAAAAAAGATTACAATTGTTAAATTGTTAATTGGTTAACCCGGATTTTCTTTAATTGCTTCTGTCTCCAGATTGTCATCCCAGACAGAAAAAGAAGACAATCTGCGATTTTAAGGGGGCCACTTTGTCACAGGATTCAGTTGAATGTCTTTTTTGTGACTTTCGGAGCCGAATCTGCAACAAAGGCCCCACTTAACAATGCCATGTTTTCGTCTTAAAGCATGGGAGAAAAACTTTGATTTTATTCATTAATACAAGCCAGCACTTAATTGCCAACAGTCCTAAGACGATTCTAAACAGGGTTAAAGAGAAGCAGAACAGTTCTGACTGCAATAGGGTTAATGCCAGTGTAAATTATGCAATAGTAAAACAGTTATTCTGCCCAATACAGGACCACAAATGCAGCATCAAAAACCCCCAAAAAATGACATTTAACTGTTAAAGAGCTAAAGACAGTTAAATGGCACTTCAACGAGAGCAAGTGATGCCAGGTTTAAAATTCAGGCTTTTAGCCAAACAGAGGCTCAAGTCAAATTTTGCACTCTACTGGCAAGGAAAATTTTCTTAAATTTTGATGTTCTTAATTTGTTTTTGTTGAGAGATTGTGTGTGCCAGTATTTTATGATTTGTACCTGAAATCTCTAACCGCTGGATTTTGAACATAAGTCCATCCCAAAGCTATTTATGAACTAATTAGTAAATTCTGAATGTGTAACAGAGTTGTAACTAAAGCAGCAAGTAATTACAAACAGGAGATAATCAAGTTTTGGAAAGGAATATTTTCTGCAACTAACCTCAAAGCAAACAATTAATTGAAACTGGATGCTGTAACAGCTCAGATCTAAATGTAACAGTCAATTTGGCATAAGACAAAATGGCGCCATCCAAGATTGAAGGAGAATGTGTGGTGGCTACAATGTGTTAATATGAACACTTTCAACTTGAAATCTTGGCTTTGGAACCCTGCCCGAACTGGCACAGAGCCTTTATTGTCCCATAAGTGAAGCAAGCTGGCAAGCTTTGACCATTTGAGAAAGTTAGTGTTTAACTGTCATCCCTTGGCAGATCAACAGAGAGTCTTCATTTGATGTTGCTATGGATTTGTCTGAAAGCCAAACCATTATAGGCTCCTAACCAAGGATATGGCCAGTGTAGGAACCCATAAGTAAACCAGTAAGATTGGAAGTGGAATCATTAAAGTATCTTTTTAATCAAAACATCTGATCGTGGTGTTAAAGATTTTCACAGGTACAAGTTCAGCCATGTGGTACACATTTCCTAAATCCCAAATTGTTTCCGGAGTCTTGACTGTAACATCACCATACTGTTACACCACTCAGGAAAGAGCATTCATCCTCAAGCCCCATGCCTCCTGGAGTCACTACTAAAGATTTAATGAAAGCACACAAAGTCCCTAGTTTACTGATCCGTTGGAATCAATTTAAAAGAAAACACTTACCAGGCTCCTGTTCTTAACAAGAACTACTATTTATGACAAATAAGTCATTTCTAATCACAAGTAAACAGCAATCAACTATCATCATACATCTCCACTAGTAAAACTCTAACCCCTGTTTAAAACCCCCACACATACATACATACAGCCAAGGACAAACAGAAGAAATCATTGGCTTTATGGGGGAGAAATAGTAGGAAACACAGTTTAATGGTACTAGTCCACAGCTTTTGTTGAAATGTTCCTCTTGCTTGTCAGGGCTTTCTGGTCTTTGGTCTGCTTTCTCTGGATTATTTCACTTCTTTGAAGGAGGCACAGGGTGATTGGAACACTAACTACAAAGTCTCTTATTTACTGGTTAAAGATAGCTGTTTACAACAACTGGTTGGAGAAAATGACAGGCCTCCTTCTGGCATTTTTACTACAGAGTAAGAGACACATAATCTGCCCTACCAGCAGTTCAAAGACTACTCCCGGTATTGTTCACACCCACAACCTGTTCAGCAGCGCAGGAAGTGATCGTAGAGCTGGTGCCAGGCTGACGACCTCTGGCTTCATCGAATGGTCGCAATTGCACAAACCCATTAGTTACTTGTTACTGGCCAAATTTCACTTTGCACATATCCCCCGTTTGCCATGCATCTACAAACATCTTCCCCTGCTGCTTGAACAAAGTAGCAGTATCAACACTGCATAAAATGAGTTTCAGTAACTTAGTGCCTTTTTTTTAAAAAACATGCAACAATTTCTTCCACATCCTCAGTTTCAAAACAGTCCTTTTTCCATTTTAGTCCAAAGTACAGAAAATAAAGTGATAATGTCTTTATGAAACTGCAAAGGGCTTATTTCGTAACATCTGGTCAAACACAAAGTCAGAGCCCCGGTGCACATTTGAAGATCCCAACTGCAGACTCACCAGCACAAAGCAAAGGATGCACCAAGCAGCAGTTTGCTCAAGGTTAGCCGTTTGATTTGTAATCTAACCAGCCATGCAGTCCCTTTAAGGGACTGTAAGGAGCTCCAGCAGAAGGGTAAGGTTTTTTTTTAATATTTATGTCAGGTGTAGACAGGAGTTCATTATTGTAGCCCACTGCCAGCTCACAATGGCCTTTTGCTATTCACCTACCCCTGCACTCACCACATGCTCCACTGAAAAGCCAAATAATGTAACCTGAATCAAAGAGAGAATCCTGGAGAAACTCAGCAGGTCTGGCAACTCCAGTGAGAAGAAAGCAGAGTTAATGTTTCAAATCCAGTAATTCTCTTCACAGCATTCTCGGTGCTTGTTTCAGATTGCCAGTATTGATCAAGTAACTTAAATTGGATATTCATACGCCAATATGTTGTCTCAGGAGCCATCTCCAGGTAAAACGTAAAGTGTCTTGACATGTGACCTCTGGCCCAAGCAGAGGGTGATTTTATGTGCAAAAATGCCTTTATATAATTTGTTTTAAACTTTGTTTCTCTTTGTCACTACCTCCTCTCCCCAATAAATTTGTAATACTAGTTTAACACATAATGAAGGTTCTGACACCGCAGCAATGACAATTGTTTTACACCTGAAATGTTAGAACTGATGGTCCTGTTGTAAAGTTTCAATGTTTTTCTTTGTTATCTCTCAAGGTTTGACTATCACTAATTTGCCTAGTAAAGGATTCCTTAAATGATCATCATGAACTCAGAATCCATGGACAAAATACAAACCTACAAGACATAGGAGAAGGATTGGCCATTCAGTCCCTCCAGCCTTTCTGCCTTTTAATGAGAACAGGGCTGCTCTGTGCTCTAATTCCATATATCCCGATCTTTGACCCATAATCCTGAATACTTTTGTTGAACAAAATTTATCTATCTCAGGTTTAAAATTAACAACTGATCCTGCACCGGCTGCCATTTGTGGAAGAGTTCCAAGCCTCTATCACTGTTTGTGCGTAGAAGTGCTTCCTAACGTTGCTCCTGCATGTTCTGACCCTAATTCTCAGACTATGTCCCCTAGCTCTATTTCCCAACCAGTGGAAATAGTTTGTCTTTATCTACCCTGTTTTTTTTTTCCCTGCTAATATCTTGAAGACTTCAATCAGATTTCCCCTTAAACTTCTAAATTCTGGAGAAATCTGGCCTAATTTATATAATCGCTCCTCATAAAATTGTTCTGTGAAGCCTAGGTATCATTCTCGTAAACCTACACAGTACTCCCTCCAACCCCAATATATCTTTCCTAAAGTGTGGTGCCCCAATCTTCTCACTGTATTCCAAGTGGTAGGAACATAGCAGCAAGTGTAGGTCCCTCAGTTCCTTGGGCTTGCACTACGTCAAGATCATCCACCTCAATGCTATTGTCTCTTGTTATCCCCATATCAGAATATTTTCCTTTGATTTTCCAGAATTACACAACTGCCGAAAATATTTACTGAATTAATATGGATTGAATAGTGTGCACTGTAGAGTAGCAAAATTACTTGTTAACATCAAGAAGTACATGATGAAAATCTAACCACGTGCACCAGTCACTACCCGTTATTTTCCCAAAGTCATTCAGCAGCGTATCCCACAGTGTCTGTTCCTATATGTGAAGCTCAGCGCAAATGATTCTTACCAAGAGGATTCCCTCTACTTCGATGACCACAGACCATGCCCCAGGATTAAGCACAAATGGTTCCACAAATGTATTCTGTGGCACGGTAACAAAAGTTGGCTCCGTGCTGGGGGCAAAAATGATCTGCTTTGTCTGTTCAGAACCTGGACACCAAGACACAAAATGTAACGTTATTTTCCATTATATACAGAAATATCATTCACTACAAGTGGGACAAGGCTGGAGTAATAATTTTATATAACAAAAGGCTGGTATAACCATGGGGAGCTTTTACAACAGTTGAACTGCACAGCTGCTGAGTTTAGCAAGGACATGGTTGTTGGAAGCTCCTGTGTTCTTTCATGTTTGGTGTGATGCATTACGTTACAGTACTGTTAGCTATTTGTTTTGGTTCCTACATCATACAGCTACAGATAAGGGAAACCATTTTGGCCATCACACCATATCATCTACAAGCCTCTCAGATTATTACCCTCATTATGCTATCTCAAAGTCCTCTGTATCTGTTGCTCATTCATCCTGTGAAGAGGACTTCCTGATGTCAATGCTACATTTTTCTTTTACTAGTTTGAACCCATACGTCCATCTCCTGTTGTCATAACTTAAAGTAATGTTTCAAATTTACCTTGCTTGTAATGCTGACATAAGTCTCAAACACTTCTTTGCAAGATAATGGAGTGTTTAAATACTAGGATCAATAATTAAAAGCTCTTCTTTGCACTGCACCTAAAGTTGAATATTTTGCATTTACCCTAATATCCAGAATTGGATATAATATCGAGGCGTTTTAGTAAAATATTTATGGTAAAATCAGGACATCTTCCTATGTACATTATTATACAGCATCAAACAGTAATAACACATTTCTGTAATGACCTTAAATGTAGAAGGTACGTTTCAAGGTACTTCATAGAAATGTAACAAAATGAAACAAATGTTAAATTTAAACAAGTGATATTAGGAGGGGTGACCAAAACTTTGATAAAGTGGACCAGAGTCCATAAGCAGAAAGCTGGAGGTTGGAATCAAACATATCAATCAGAACGTATCAGAGACTTGATGAAAAACTTAAACTTGAGAATGCGCATTCAAATTTGAGATATTGGGAGCCAATGACAGTCAGTGAGCACAGGGCTGATGGGTAAGGGGCGCCTACTGGGGCACAGACAGCAGATTATAGACCACACAACCTAAAGGATGGGATACCAGCCAGGACATAGTTTGACATTTTATTTTGTTCATTACATTATTATATGGGAAGTGCAAATCAGTTTCAAACCTGCATTTCCACCATAATCTAAAACACTAGAATTCAAGATAACACAGATAAACTATCCAACCCTAGGCTCCAATCCAAAACTACATTGAGCTAACTCATTTTGCAGCAATAATGTCCTTAGCTAGTCTGACTTGACAGGTGTAAATCAGAGTGTGATGCTCGTAATTGCAAGCCCAACTGCAAATGTACAGGATTGGAGTTTCCTTTGTGGGTCTGACCCAAACATTCTGTACTGAAGTAACTTTGTACATAAGATGGCACCACAAGTGGCAATTTTATATATAAGCTTTTCACTGTACTCACGTGAGTGCATGTAATAATAATACTAATTCCATTCAATTCATCTGGCACCAAGATGATCCCACCGTGAAGTCACTTTGTGTTGAGATTTCCAGTCAATTGGTAGCAATGCCTTTTGTACACAGGGATCGACAGCAGATTACAAACAACCACAATCCCGACATGTAGGTCTGTGCATGGTTTGCACACACAAACTGCCTTTTGGGGTAAATACCCAGGAATATCCAGGCTATGTTGGACCAAATCAGGTGAATCACTAAAGACGCTATAAAGCTTCAAACAAGAGTTCCCACTTTCAGAAAATTCTTTACCGCTAGTTCTCAGGGCAGTTTTTAAGATTTTAATCTTTTAAAAGAGACCAGACGAAGCATCAGCAGCTCCCATTCCAAGGCTGTGTTCCCATTAGGAAATCTCATGCACAGCTCGAACTCAACAAAATGAGCCCTATTGTACTGTTTCTCAACAATGTTAATTCATTAGGAAGGTTCACAAATTCCTACTCAAGAGCTTTAGCATTTGATACTAAATTGTTAATTATTATTGTTATATGTAATAACATAAAGTCAGAGGTACAAATCCGTGCAGATTTTTATTAACAGCAAAGGAAATGCTCACAATTGTGACACACTGACTATTGCAACCTGTGTTAATTGAGTGCTGGCCCTTCAGCAGCACCATCCTCCCAATCCCACCGTGAAATCAGAGGTTAATTAGCACAAATGGGATTTTGGTTTTAATGTTGCACTTTTGCAAATTGGTCATGAAGCTATGGACAGGTCGATTTGGTATCCGTATCTTCCAAATTGCCAGTTGAGTGGGAGGTGGAGGATAAATAGGAGAATAAAAGAAGGTTCCAATATCAGCTTTTTAGACCCTAAATATGGTGCAAAAGGAATGTCTGGTACAACATCTACAAATGGAGGGGAGGGAAGAGGATTACAGAGAATCTGGCAGCAGTCTGTGTGTTTGGAGACAGGAGATTCCAACAGGTTTGTCTGTTGTGACAGAATTCAGTATTGCCTAATAAATTAGCTACATAGTTCACAGCACAGTTGAGCTTTTATTTGCTGATTACTTTGAGCAACAGGATTGGTTTCACTGCACTGCACTCACTTTAACCACCACCTTGTAGAGGCTTATACACATGGGGTTTAAACCTTACCTGGTCTTTGTCCCTGATAAGCTGTAACTTTGCCAAACACAGTGGCAGATCCTGCATTAATATACCTCAAGATGAAACGAAACAAATAAAGCTCCGAATCCATCACATGCATCATTATTTTGACTCTATTCTGTAAAAATGAAAAGGAATTTGACAATGGCACATAGGTGTGACTAGGACTACAATTAGCAAAGGAGATTTAATATGATAGATGCAAAATCTCCCTTTAGTTGTGGGAAACAAATCCAGCTGCAAAGCATGTTAGCCTCATTCACACCTACAAGCAATGCCAACTGTATACTGGAGCAAATCATGAGACTTGCAGAAAGGGGTGAATCATAAGCAAGGATATGTAATGTAAAGATAGGTCTAAAAGCCACTTACAGTTCCCACATTCAAGACTTATTTCGCTGACCATGACCATTCCTTTCACATCAGTAGATCCGCGGTTCACATAGCGGAAGACAATGCGAAACAGGTCAGGAGAAGTCACATTGACAGTCACAACTACCTTAGGCTGGTGAGGAAGAGAAGCGGATGGGAAGCATGATACTTAAATCCACCACCTCAGCAAGCAAAAATTCTACAAGCCAGCAGCCCAAAGTACACAAAGCATGCCGTTAATAAAACAAGTTTAAAAAAAAAATTAAATTCCAATTCTGCATCAATATCACATTGTGAAGTAGCCTCTAGGGCAGATTAATTTAGCACATCTTAAGCAAAAATAACAAACGTAAATGGACACACATCAACACATTTGATACATGTTCAAAGAACTTATAGCATAAATGTTCTTCCTCAAAAATCTCGTTCAGAATAAATCTTGAATAACATTAATATTTAAATATTACAGCATAGAAATATCTTATCATTCAAGTGATGTTTCACAAATACAATAAAATAGACAAAGGAATAATATTATAGGCCAAACTCTTGTCCCCATTGTTTTTCCTATTTATAGTAGTAAAGGATTATGACAAGACACAACAGCTCAGAGATTTAAGACTGAAGGTCTGGACAGCAACTCAGAACTAATAGCTAAGTTAACACAAAATGTTTTTGTCTCTCACTTGTACCAAGAATTTTTCTAATGACTTGCATTTTTTTTCATTTCCTTTTTGCTCATTTAGACAAGGTGTGTCAGTGCTGAGTGATGAAATTGACCTTCTACCTTCCAAAAATAAAACAGCATCAACATCAAGTATTCCTTTGCCCACTGGGTGATTCAGAGATTCCAAAATCGATTTTAAAGTGACTCATGGGATAATCATGTTTTCAACCACTCCCCAGTGTTTTAACGTAAATTGCTCTATGTCAAATCTCTGTTATAGTGGGTGGTAGAGAGTTTCAAAAGATATGAATGAAAACATGCACAGTTTCTTACCCCATCGAAAACCGCTTTTGAAATGGTAAACATTCTCAATGAACAAAAGAGACATGAAACTTAGAAGATGGCAGCTAGTGAAAAACAGTAGCATCCTAATCCAAGTGCTAACTGCTCAATCAAGTCTAAATTCTTCTCATTTACCTGAATTGGAGACATCTGCGCATACCCCCGCCAGCTAAAGTTTTCAAACTCAAGTGGATTAAAGCCAAAACGAACGGCCCTCCCATCAGGGGTCGTACCATCCTCAATCTCAAACCCCAGATGATGCAGATCAGGGAAGTAATGATCAGGCCTTGCTCTGAAAACAGAATGCATCAAGACAGTCTGAACTGAAAACCTGTTACTGACATTGTCTCAGATCTAGGTTACTGAAGAATTAGAATCATAGAATCCCTACAGTGTGGAAGCAGGCCATTCAGCCTATTGAGTTGCACCTACCCTCTGAAGATCATCCTACCCTATTCCTTGTTACCGTGCATTTCCCATAGCTAATCCATCTAGCCTGCACACCTCTGGACATTTTTCCATGGCCAATCCACCTAACCTGCACATCTTTGGACTGTGGGAGGAAACCCACGTATAGATGGGGAGAATGTGCAAACTGTACACAGACAGCCGCTTGAGGGTGGAATCGAACCTGAGTCCTTGGCGCTGTGAGGCAGCAGTGCTAACCACTGAGCCACCGTGCCACCTCCAAGGTTAAAAGATTTTCCTACTTCTGGCTATTTGTTTCCACTTTTCCCTCTTTTTAAGGCCTACTTTTCCTACAGCATCAGCCTGTATTTTAAGGGGAAAATTGGAAAAACAATTTTTAAATGTTTGAAAAGCCAACAAATGGAGAAAAAAATCAAATGTGAAGATAAATACATCAAGGTGGGCTCCCAAACTCCACTTGAAGGGACAGACCAATAAACAATTTGATTTAAAAAAGGCAATGATTGCAGAATAGAACACATCCCAGAACAAGAATACCACAAAGGCTTTTGAACGTAGGGGCTAAATGATGAGGGCAGGCTGTATTTCCTGGAGTTTATAAATGTTGGTAGGTGGTGTAAATCAAGATTTTTAACACAAAGGGGATTTGTGGCTGTGAAAAATACTGACTCTCTTGTACAGTAATGGGGGTGGGTGGGGGCTGCATGGTTGGAGGTGCCAGCTTTCAGATGAAAACTTAAATAAAGGGTCCATCTACCCTCTCAGGTCATGGATTTTAGGACACTATTTGAAGCAGAGGGGAAGTATCCTCATTTCTGGATGATCAGTCCCTCAATCAATATCCCAAATAAAATAAAAATCATCTAGCAAAAATTACACTACTGTTTATGGGAGCTTGCGGTGTACAATTGGTGCTGTCCTTCCTACAACAGTGTCCATATTTTAAAAAGTATCTGATTAGCTCTAAAGCACTGGAAGGTGATTAGTCATTATGAAAAATCAAATACAAGAGCAAATCTTTGTTTCTTGCAATCCAAATTTTCTGTGACCTCATCTTACCCTTTCCTGTGTGATTGATCAGATCAAGGGGTTCAAGACATTAGATATTGCACAGCACTTATTCCATGTTGATTATTAATAGTAATTTGCAGAATAGCTTTAAGAACATGAATTAATGCATCGTAGGGCTCAAATAGAACATCATCACTTCCAGTGAAAGAGGGGAGTGAACATAAACACAAATAGTAAAAGAAAATACCTCATTAATAAATTGTGGCAGTATGTTACCAAGATTGAGATGTAGTTAAATTGTCTTTGTGGCATTATTCATTTGACAAGATGTGAAGACAACTGGCTCACAGATTGAGTGATGATTATAAGCAACACCAGCGTGCAGAGTATCTGGTAGAAGCTCCAGTTAAAACATGCATCCAATAATTTACCATTAAAACATAAATTGTAATTCAACATCAAAAGGAGATGGTTAGACAGCCATTGGAACATAGCAGCTACGGTTCTGGTTCTTACTGGTTGCATGTACGTCCTTCGATGTTCTGTCTGCATTGACAACTTCCTGAACGGTCAGCACATGCACTACCCACGGAGCCTCCTATATCACACTGACAGCCTACAGGCACAAAAACAATTAAGATGCTTACGTTTGCAAAGCTTGAAATTGATACTCAGAAACAAAACAGAATGCTTGTTGACAAGCATGTCTGACAATCACAATTTCAAGTCTATCTTTTATAATGGTACCTGTTACAAAGTTTTAGCTCCCATCTCTTCTACTTTCCCAGGTTTAATGAAGTTATAGAATACTGAATGTGACTGTCACAAGATGTGTTAGTCAGAATAGATCACGTTTTGGTGTTCAAAAGTTGGCAACACATACAAAGAGGGTCGTAAGCAAATTTACCACAAAAAACCGGGGCTCTAGAATTTTGGATTATTCAGTTAAAGTAAATTATCGATTGGAGACACTCAAGATATGTTGTAGGCAACTTCTTCCCCCCCCCCCCCACTAGATATGATCGAGTGATGTCTGCTGAGGAGCAGAATGGAGAAGGGAAATAACGGCTGGCACGTTGAGATGAAATTTAAGGAGTTACTTATCACAGAACTGAAGGATGTTGAGAAATTTCACCCACCTACTTCAAAACCATAGCAACTGAAAGTCTACTCAAGTACACTATTGTGAATCCTCAGAACCTGTGTGAAAAACCTGGGGGAATCTGCCCTCTTAATGTGGCTTTGGTTTTCTCGAAGTCATCATAAAGTACTCAAACCTGCAATAGGCAGAAGAAACTGCAGACATGTTGATAATGCAGGAGAGCCAATAGCCAGACTTCTTGATTTGCTTTTCTTCCCCACAGTAAGATGGGCATCCATTTTGAAGGGTGTCCAAAATAAATACCCCTTTTTCAAAATACTGGAGCTAAGCAGGCTTTTTCTGGATGTCTTTGTGACAAGTGAAACAGGAATTGGCAAAGGCTACTTTGTGACTACTATTTTATTTGGCATCTTCTGGCAGCAGTTTCAAAGACATTGGTCATTCCCATCGCAGAGCTCACAGAACTTCAGTGACAAAGTAGTTCCTTCTCCCACTTCTTTCTCTCTCTCAAAACTTTTGGGTGCAAGCGGGAAATGTAATATGGCCTGCATCCACATATTTGGATAAAGTTGAGTAAAGTGTACATCTGCCTAGCCTATCAAGCAAGAGGTGGTGAATGGACCTCATAATGTGACGTAATTTGACACTGATGGACATGCAGTTTCTCAATGAACTAGAAATATAGAACGTGGGGGAAATCAGAAGGGCTTGCCCAGTTACTATTTGGGAGATTTCCTTAAATTCATGAGGGTAGCTGAATTGTGAAGAGATAGTGCTTGACCACGATGCCTATCCTACCGAGCTGACTGAAGATGCATAGTGCAGCAGCTTAGCACTGTCAGTTGCTCCATGCTGTCTTTTCCATCAACACAAGCTGTCTTTTTTAATCCTTTTATCTGTCAGGTAATAACTCACTTCGAAATCCAAACAAACCAATCTTCGCAGCTGCCAAAGTTTATTTAGAGCTTTATTACTGGAGCTTCAGAAGGTCAACAGAAACCACAGGCAAGAGACCCCAGTCTGTCATAACCAAATAAAAAGTGAAAAAAAAAGGTCATGCACCTCAGACTCTGGCTTGCAATTCTTGGTGCTCGTTCAGCGCTGTATAAATGTAAAGCTGTCACAAGCTGGGCAACAGGTAACTTACCTTGACAGCCAAAATAATTCCCACGGTTGAGGTTATAGTACCCTGCTTTACAAGTTGTACAATGGTGAGTGCAGACATTCGGCTTACAGAAACATTGGCCATCACTCTAGAAAGCAAAGAAGCAGCAGCATTACAGAGACCGTCTGAAACAAAAAAAAAAGCCTCCCAGATTTTGGTGAACAATCATACATAATACACTTCCACACGTTAATGTCAAGTCCACAGATGATGCAAAAATAGACTTCTTTTCAAAGTATACACTATGAAGGGAATGGGAAGAAGGTGTAAGGTACTTGTGAACGAGACCCTCACATAAAACCTTCATGCCGAATTTGTAAAGGCCCAACATTTAGGCTTGTGGTTGAAATATTTATCTGCTATGTCTTTGATTTTATGACTGCCTTCTGCAACCTCATAACCTTGGCTTTGACTGGATTTATCAACCTCTCTTTGTATTTAATTATACAGCCTAGTATCACCATGAAGATGGATAAGACAACTTTATCTAGTTTTTGCTTGTTGGTTTTAAATCTGGTCGTAAAACTCCAATTCGTGGGAGTTTGCTGGAATTGGATAATTTTTTGCTGTGGATGCCAGAAAATGGACCAACCTGGTTGCACTGGGATTCAGCCCTATATGTGCCCCAAAAGGAAGATGCGGTAACAGGAAAGGCACAAGGTGAATCTTCTTCCTATTTTCACTGCCCTGCATGGATCATGGGGGCCTATCTGAAGCGTTCCTTGGAATTTCAGACCAGTTTTTCCATCTACGGACACTATGGAATTCTCAGCATCTGGCCCGAGTGCTTCTGAGGGTTGCAAAGGCACCAAGACTTAAGGAAATGACGATTAATGCCTTTATCAGGAAGCTCACAGATAGAGGATTTTTTTTTGGGAAGGTCCGGAGGTTCTTATCACCGTTACTGGAACAGTACCATACTTCTGAATTCTTTGCGGGAAGATGGGAGCATTGTGGTAACAGATCATAGGATATAGGAGCAGAATCAGCCATTCAGCCCACTGGGTCTGCTCTGCTATTCGATCACGGTTCATATGTTTCTCAATCCCATTCTGCTGCCTTCTCCCCATAACACTTGATTGGACAAATGCTCAAGGGGGCACACGTTCAGATCTCACCACCTCACTCAGAGAAACTTATTTTAAATTAATTAACAAATCTGGAATTAAATGCTGTTCCTTTTAACAATAATCATGAAAATACTGGATTGTTGTGGTGGGGGGAGAAAAGAGCCTTCCATGGAAGAATTCTGCTGTTGTTATCTGATTTGGTCTATGTGTGACTGCAGACTCTAAGCAATGTGCTTCACCATTAATTGGCTTCTCAAGTGACTTAGCAAGGCATTCAGTTGACTACAAGAAGCACCAAGTGTGTACTTAGACCACAGGCCTGCAGTGATTGACAAGACTGCCCACAGCACCTTCTCAAATACAACCAGCAATTGGCAATGAATGTCGGCTTTGCCAGTGACATTTATATAGTCAAGAATAACTGCTTAAAGACCACAGGAATGAAAGCATTCCAAATCTTTGGGGTCACACCGAAGGACTCATTAGAGTTTAAGTCTGAAAATGGCTTGAATTGAGCCTAGGGAGGTAGACGATTCTGCAAATTTGCCAGTTTTGAGAAGAGATGATGGCATTATGGTATTATCACTGGACTAGTAATCCAGAACCCAGTTAATGTTCTTAAGACATGGGTTCAAATCCCACCATGGCAGGTTGTGAAATTTGGAGTCAATAAAACAACCTTAGTCTTTTGGTGACCGTGTAACCATTGGTCAATCATTATTAAAAACCAATGTGGTTGACTGTTAGCTGCCCTCCGGGCAATTAGGGTTGGACAATAAATGGTGGCCTTGTCAGTGAAATCTACATCCCATCAACAAATAGGTGGATTCATGGTGGGGAGAGAGAGAGGGGTTGGAGTCTCGCAGTCCCTGGTAACTTATTTAGCGGTTCGGTGATTTGCAAAGAAAAGTTGTTGAACTGCAAATTTCTTTGACTAACCTGCTGGCACTCTGCAACACCACTTAATGTACCTTCAATATGGCACTGACAACCTGAAAAGTGATATATTTAAAAAAGACAGTTAGTGACTGACGACTACTATTCTGCAAGAATATATTTAATCATGGCATACATTAGGTTCTGTGCATGAGAAAGTAAATTAGAACAGTAAATCAACAAAATCAACAAAAGTAATTGGAAAAGAGGCCACTTGTATTAAGCAAGACATATGAAGTAATTTCTTACTGGTACATCCCCATGGGTTTTCTATTGAAAGATTCCAATAAAGAGGCTTGCACTTATCGCATGCTGAACCTTCAACATTTTCCCGACATTGACAGGATTCCTGTTTGAACAAGATGCACAAATATCTCTGATCATTTCTACCACACTCAAGAACTATCGGTAAAATTTGTGTTTGAGTAACAGTTTTCTTTAAACTTTGCAGCATTTCCGTACCCACGCTCACTCACTGGAAGTGTGCCACTGGATTAACTGCACGTAAGGCCAATGCGGCATTGCCAGTGAGTTTCTGATTTTCCGCTATTTCAAATGCTTCAATGACTGTGGGACCCTTTTCCTTCATTCAAAATGGATTACAAATGCTACTCATGGACTAAATCTCAAGATATGTCGGGTGTTTTTGGCCGTGATGGATAATGAATTCTAAATAGTTGTCACACTTCTTTGTCCATCTTTGACATGAGACGTTAACACTTACTTATAGATGAAAACCACTGCGACAAAACAGTTGTCTTGGGAATGTCATAGTGATTTCCAGGGAAAACCTGGAAGTGCATGACAATATCATTGGACATTTTCCACAAATTACTGAAATGCTTCAGCTCTGCAAGACAAGCAACAGCTTGTTAGCAAGGGGCAAAGTTGCAATTGACAATGTCTGAGACAGACTGATCCTTCAAAACTGGGGAGGAAGCATCTATGTAATATGCCACATGAAGTCAGTTCCATTTAAGCCCTTAAAATTCAAAAAGAACCACCTAATCCCATTTGGAAGACAGTGTTAAATAATGATTACTATGAAACATTAGCTCAGAGCTTTTCTATATCAATGTTTGGGTACAACTGGTGTCCCTAAGGATATAGAAAACAGGATTGGGCCCATCTTGCTGGCTAAGGATATCTGCATGTGGGCAGTTACATTATCTCAATACAGAAAAATATTTTGGTTTACATTTAAGCTTCACAGACAAGCCAGAGCAAATGGGCTATACAGCAGTAGCAGACATTGAGGTTTCTTCATCATTGGCCTTCATCCCAATTAATGATAATGTCCTTGGCAGGTGCTAAAGTACCCCACAAAATTATTTAAATTGCAGATAATATTGCACAACAAATAATAAACCAATAATGCATATCTTACCATTTTACTGGTTTGTGGTTTCTGGAGTTAAGAACAAATTCACACACACACCCTCTTTCTCTCTCCCCTTCCCACCCATACTAACTTGTGCAAAGTATAATAAAACAATGTAAATGATGTTTGAAAAGAAAGATATACAATTTTATTATGCTTCAGGAAATGCCAGCTATAAAAGCAAGCAAACAAAACATTTGTGAGAACTACAATCCTGTTTACAAAACAGAAAATAATTCCAATGTTTAACGTGTAACAAATGTATATTACTTACAATGTCAGAGGAGAGAGATGTAGAGCCAGCTGGGTCACAGGAAGTCACTACGTATAAATAAAAAGTGAAGGACAGCATTAGACCATGAAAATGCATTAATTTACCAGCAAATTTGTCTACCTAATAACAGTATTTACACTTTGTTGACTACGAATCACTTAGTGGATGTGCCAAGTGCTTTATAAAGACAAGCTCCTTGCTTTCTTTCTATGTTGATTATATGTGAATGATGCAAGTTAGATCTGTCTGTATATAATTAAACGATAACAACGATAAGAACTTATAATTACTTTGCAAAGGAAAACAGATGGTGCTGTGAATGAAGAGTTACAACAACAATATTTGAAACACAGAACAAAAAGAATCGGCAGGGGGTGGAATTGAGAAATGTTTAGACCCTTGTGGATATCTGGAACACACTGCCTGATAGTAGATGCAGAAACCTTCACAGATCACACGAACACGTTAAAGTACACTGCTACTGAGCAAGAGCTGGAAATCTGATTAAAAACAAATTGCTGGGAAAAGCTCATGCGATCTTTGCAGTATCTTTGAAGGTAGCAATAAAAAGCTAACATTTCAAACTGTGAGCTTCAATCAAAACTATTTGTAGCTGGCAAGATATGACTGGCCAAATAGTTTCTATCTGCGCCAGTAATGTTCCAGCCTTCTAAAATCTGCTGAGCCCTTAAGTGTTTTGACAGCCATGAAGTGAGCACCTCATGGAGTTTACTGCAAAAGCAACTGGAATGGAGGAAGGCCGTCACAGAACATTTCAATGTAGAAGTGGTTTCTTCTCTATATAAAGTTTGCTTAACATTCTTCACTTTAATATCACAATAGTGTGGGCACTGGTCCTCAGCACCTGCGGCAGGGTGGATTGCCTGCCTATTATCAAACCCTTCAGAATTTCATTCTTTTGAGCACCTTGGCATTGAAGTCGAATTTGTTCCGTAAGAGCTGACAGAATCAATTCACCAAATTATTGCCCGGGAAGTGAAGACAAAATCCATTCCACATATCATGGGTTTTGGGAACCTTTAGTCCAGCTCCATCATTTAGTCAGCCATGCCAGTTCCTTTGCTTAAACCTTAATTTTATGCCCTCTCACATTTTTCAAGTAAAACCTTAATTTTCCTCATAAACACCTTAATCACTTCTTTGTATAAGTTGTCATTCCATGTAGCTTGTCTATCAAGCGGCCAAACTGCGTTCCAACTCATCCAGAAAGGATAACTCCCAAATATCTCATGGTGTGACCCCCAACCCACCAGTGGCTAGTATACTGGGCAGACACAACAGGCATGTCCCACATTGCTGAATAAAGTCACTGCTTCAGTGTCTACTACAACCCCTACAATTGTGTCAATGCAGCATAGGTTTCCACTGTATTAGGTATTTAGATACATAGCTGCAAAATTTGAGAGGGCACAAAATCAAGATTTAAGACAAAGAATTGGCATGGCCAACAAAATGATGGAGCTAAGACAGAAATTGCTGTAAAAGCTCAGCAGGTCCGGCAGCATCTATGGAGAGAAATCAGAGTTAACCCTTCAAACGAAGGGTCTTCCTCATTCTGAGGAAGGGTCACTCGACCTTAAATGTTAACTCTGATTTCTCTCCACAGGTGCTGCCAGACCCGCTGAGCTTTTACAGCAATTTCTGTTTGTGTTTCTGATTTACAGCATCAGCAGTTCTTTTGGCCTTTAAAATGATGGAGCTGGGCTGAATGTTCCCAAAACCCATGAGCATTGGAATGGATTTTGTCTTCACCTCCTTGGGGATAACTCAGTGAATGTTCTGTAATGACTGACAGAATCCATATTTGACTTCCACGCCAGAGAGTTCAGAAGACAAATCACATTAAAAACAAGTGTATAGAAGATCAAACTCCCTGACATCTCAAATGAGTAATGCATCTACTGTACCTACAGACTTTATTCCAGCAGCTGGCATTTCACTAAAGAAACCTACCACCACATTTCCATATGATGTTGGTGGGTAAGGAGGGAGAGCGTGACAGTGCGAGAGGATAAGGGACAGTAGGATTGCAGGTGCAGCAAGTAATTAAAAAGGCAAATGGAATTTTGTCTGCCATTGCTAGAAGGATGCAGGTTAAAAACAGGGAGGCTATGCTGCAGCTGTATAGGGTCCTGGTGAGGCCACACTTGGAGTACTGTGTGCAGTTTTGGTCTCCTTACTTGAGAAGAGATATACTAGCACTGGAGGGGGTGCAGAGGAGATTCACTCGGTTGATTCCAGAGTTGAGAGGGTTGGATTATGAGGAGAGACCGAGTAGACTGGGATTATACTCATTGGAATTCAGAAGAATGAGGGGAGATCTTATAGAAACATATAAGATTATGAAGGGAATAGATAAGGTGGAGGCAGGGAGGTTGTTTCCGCTAGCAGGTGAAACTAGGACTAGAGGGCATCGCCTCAAAATAAAGGGAAGCAGATGTAGGACTGAGGTCAGGAGGAACTTCTTCACCCAAAGGGTTGTGAATCTGTGGAATTCCCTGCCCAGTGAAGCAGTTGAAGCTACCTCGCTGAATGTTTTTAAGGCAAGGCTAGATAAATTTTTGAACAGTAAAGGAATTAAGGGTTATGGTGAGTGGGCGGGTAAGTGGAGCTGAGTCTCAAAAAGATCAGCCATGATCTTATTAAATGGCAGGGCAGGCTCGAGGGGCCAGATGGCCTACTCCTGCTCCTAGTTCTTATGTTCTAGTGCAAGCGCGTGCACGAAAAAAAGAGAGATAGCGAGCAAGCAAGCACGTGAACGAGAGTGCAAGCACACGCAAATGGGGAAAGAGAGCGAGAGACGGAGGGACAGAGCGAGGGACAGAGCGAGAGACGGCTGGCGAGAAAGCGTGAGAGAGAGAGAGAGAGAGCGAGTGAGCAAGCGGGAAAGAGAGAGAGTGAGAAAGCAGGAGAGACAGCGAGAAAGCGAAAGAGAGTACAAGAAAGCGAGGGAGCGAGCAAGCCAGAAAGTGAGAGAGCGAGAGCAGGAGAAACTCTGGGTTATGTTTTGCCTGCCACCTCTGTATAACAAACACAGTAGACAGGCAAACCTGTCCCCATTTACAGAGATAGTAGGAACTGCAGATGTTGGAGAATCTGAGATAACAAGGTATAGAGCTGGATGAACACAGCAGGCCAAGCAGCGTCAGAGGAGCAGGAAGGCGGACGATTCGGGCCTAGACCCTTCTTCAGAAATGGGCAATTTCCTGCTCCTCTGTTGCTGCTTGGCCTGCTGTGTTCATCCAGCTCTACACCTTGTTATCCCATTTACAGAGACATCAGCACAACTACACTGATCAATGTCAAGCCCTCAGAGCCTCACATTCCACTTGCCTCCTCATATCTTCCATTCCATCATTGCCCCTTTCTTAATTATGAATTTACTACTTCAGTGAAACCTTACTTCAATGAAACAACTGTGAAATAGAGTGTGCAGCAGAATGCAACAAAAGCCTTTACCTCGACAATCAGGAAACCCATAAGCTCCTTCGACACATGTGTCACAGTGCAGCCCTGTCACACGTGGGCGACAGCTACACCCCCCAGTTTCTTGGTCACAAGAGTTAATATATGAGCCTTCCAAGGTACAGCGGCAAGCTGCAATAAACAAACCACTGGTTAATGATAAGAATTTGTTTCATGCACGTTGTGCTATATCTTGCTGAAGATCGAGAACTCTCTCCACTTTACAATATAGACACCCAACTTTCAGTACTACAGTACATAGACTGTGATAGAGGACAGTCAGTTACCAAATACATCAGGAAGAAACTCTCTCATAGCAACAAAGGGACTATGTTTGAAATATCCACTGTCAAATAATAAGCCAACATTATAAAACAGAAATTGAAACAAAGTGTACTTATCTGAGAATGGACAACTGTATTCCTGCTGTTTAGGAATATTAACCTTGGTTACAACTGAGCTAGTGTCACTCTAGAACTGTTTTACCAAATTGGGAATGTGTTCTTAGATGTTTCTGATGAGAATCTGCCCTCTGCCATTTTGCTGTGACCTTACACCCCAGCAAGCACCATTCATTCATCCTATTCTGATCTACTGTGTGCTATAGATATGTTTACCTCATCAAGCACATTAGACTCCATCATTGGAGTCTTCAGTCAAGGCCTGATACTATTGTACCTTTAGGCTTTATTAACACTATCTCCTCTCCTTGCAACCTACTTCTTTAACTTCAACTCTTTCATCACCTCTCCCTCTCCCTCTCCCACTATCCCCCTTCTCATTTACCACTCTCCTTGTAAAGTGACAATGGTTTATAATTTGAAAGACACAATACTGATGCGAATCAGAGATTGTGCTGTGAACAGGGCAATACTGCCTCCATTACAGAAGCTGTTGGAAAATTATAACTTTGTAAAATATATTAATCTTTCTAACTAGAGGAGTTCAAACCATCTCCTCAATGGCATTAACATCACTGAAACCCTCACCATCAACACCCTGTGGGTCACCATTGGGCATAAATGTAACTGGGCCAGCCACCATCAATACTGTGGTTATAAGAGCAGGTCAGAAACTGAATGCTGCAACAGACAACTGACCTCCTGACTTCTCAAATCCTGTCCACTATCGACAAGGCTCAAGTCAGGAGTGCGAATGGAATGCTCCCCACTTGCCTGGATGAATGTGGCTCCAGAAACACTCAGGAAGCTCAACACCATCCAGGACAAGACAGCCTGCTTGGCCAGCACCCCATCCACTTCGTAAAAATGCACTCTCTCCACCACTGATGGACGCGATAGCAATTCACCAAGGCTTCTTCAATAGCACCTTCTGCCTTGAAGAACAACGATGGCAGATGTACAGAATATCACCATCTTCAGTTTGCTTTCCCAGTCTCACATCATCCTCACTGGGAACTTTATCCAGGGTGACCAACTGTCCTGAAATTCCGAGCCTGTCCTGCAATTTGATGTTCCCACCCATATCGCAGAATGATTTATCCTGTATTGTTTCTACCTGCTTGCCTCTATGGTAGCTTGGGATCTAAGCTCTGGGCGTTTCAGATCCAGAGTGGGTCATTAAACTGCAATGGCACCTCCACCTCATCCCACCAACTCTGCTCTCAACGTCTCCCTGACTGCCCCTCCGCTGAATTTTCCCTCTTTTTGTACCTCCAGAGTTGACTGCCCTGACTGTATAGAGTTCATCGATATTTTAAATCAACCTGCTTAGACAGGCTATGACACGCCTCTGCAGCAGGTGGGACTTGGACCCGGGTCTCCTGGTCAAGAGGTAGGGACACTACTACGCCACAAGAGCCTCAAAGGAAGGTCACGTGAAAGTTCTGCATACCCCCTCTCACATTTAGCAGCGTTTACCACACTCTGCTAACCAGACCTAAAATGCAATCATGAGTTTTAGATTTCTAAAATGGCGCTTTGGAAGTTCTGCTTTTGAGCTAAGAGGTTTGGTTCACATGGTGTGGACTGAACAACATTTAACAACTAAGTTTCTCACCTGTACAGCTGGGGTATCCATAGAAACCAGGTGCACACTGGTTGCACGTGGGGCCCGCGTAACTGGGATGACACTGGCACTGGCCTGTAGACCCACAGAAATTGTCCACTGACCCACGAACATCACAGGAACAAGCTGGTGAAAAGAAGGCAAGTCAGTCCAAAGCCACTTGAGCTACAGCAACACAATGGATTTTGGTCAAAGGAATTTGGGCAGAAATCTTCCAGGAATGGCAAAAGCTGTTGGACCACTGCTTCTGCTTCGACTTATACCCTGCCCCAATGGAGCCCTGCAGTTCAGGCTGAGACCACCCCTGTCAGCCTTCTCAAAAACATGGACCTTGGGTCAAATAGACATTCCCTTCCTTGTAGCACTGGATTGTTGGGAGGAAAGCCTTAGCTGTTGCATTCTGGTAAGTTCATTCACTAACACTGAATGAAAAACTCTATAAATGCTGCACTGCCAATGTGTTACTGAGTGTGGATGATATAACTGGGTAAGGGAGTTTTGTGGAAGCTGGGCAGGTGCCAGGCTTGGGGGGAGGAGAAAAAGGGGGCATGTACACAGGGTGGCAGTCGAGGTGGTGGCTTGGTAGGGCATCGGGTGGGTAGGGAGTGTACGTGGGTGAGTAAGGTGGGGAGGCAGGTAGTCAGGGTGTGTCAGAAGCGATCAGTCATCACATCGCAGGATTTAGTTAGCTCAAGTCCAGAGAGGCAAATCAGAATATGTCAATCAGCTGGGAGCCTGGGTCGGGCCAGATTGGGGACAGCGGCTCAGGAAGGAGTCAGAGGGTTGGGGTGTTTTGGTTTTGTCAGGTCGGAGAGTTGGAAGTTTGGAGAAGAGATGAGTCTGGGAATTAGGGTTATCGAGTTAACTGCTACATTGTGAATGAGGCTGTGCCCAAACTAGTATCTAAAGGGAGGTGAGAAATGCCTGATCCAGCAGGAGAGTGCAATTTCTATCAGCATTCGTGGGCCAAGAGGAGGATGTGCTTCTCCCCTCAGCTCCCCTACGTTCACCTGCTGTGACTGGCTTCCATCCCATGATTTCTCCTGCTACCGTGATCCAGTGCCCCCAGTACTGACCCCAACCTCCACCACTTAGGTCAAGCCTTGACTCTACCCCTACTCTCCCTTTCCCTTTCCCGCTCCCAGGCATGGCCTCATAACTTTAACCTTCCCATCAGATGGCCAGTGAGCCGCCTTGTCAGGGAAACAAGAGAATTACTGTTGTAAAGCTATCCCTCTGTTACATTCGGGAGCACTTTTACGCTTCCCTTGCCTCTAGATGTCCACCCTGCTACAAGTCCACCTCCAACTCCCTCACTATGAATATCAGGGGTTGGTGTTTTGGTCAATACAGTATTTAGCCAAGATCCATTGCATGAAAATTCCTAACCATGGCAGCGAGGGTAGGAATGGAATCCAGTAGCACATTGGTCACAGCGAGCTCCATCGAATTCGGGCTTGCACAGGCAACGGCCAGAGTGATCACAAACCTCAGGCAAGCTACCAGCAATGCTGCAGCTACACACTGCAGGAAAACATAGGAAAGAAAAAGACATAAAGTCAGACTTTGAAACTGCCCTCTTGGGAGCTCTCTCTGCTCTCCTCAGTTTCTAGCTAGCATTGGTATCTGGGAGTTAAGTAGAAAAGGGACTGAAGTTCATATTTCTCAGCAGATTGAAACTCAAAAACCTTTTTCAGAGGTAACTTAAAACCAAGCTGATGGAAAAGAGCTTTCTATGTAAGTACCCGTTAATAAGGTAAGAAAACAAACTTCAAAAAAAGGAGTTGTATTTATATATCATTTTACCGCTACATGTCACAGGAGAGCCTGAAAGTGCTTCACACACAATGCATTACTTTGAAATGCCATAATTGTTGTTATGTAAGCAAACACAACAGCCAAAAAAGTGGAATTCAAAAATACTGCAGTTACAGAGAAGAAAGGGAGAGATGGAACAAAGTGTAAGGGATCTGACAGTTTCCCAATCATCTGTTTGAACTCTCAATATTATTGAGCAGAGCAAAATTGACCTACTGCATTTAAAGTCAAGGATGAATTGAGCCACTGAAATGATTTTGGCCAACGTCTGGTGTTGGAAGGCATGGTAAGCCTCCAAAAGACAGTGTGAATTCCACCAGATTAAAAATTCACTTTAAAACCAGAAAGTACAGCTCCTGCTTTTAGACGTACTTAATAAGACTAAGTCTATCTGTTGAGTAAAGCTCTGTTTAGGGTTTTGACTTTGGTTGGTAATTGAATACAAGGTAAGACTGACAGATCCCCTGCTACTAAATTAGTAGAATCTTTGTCAAACATCCAGTACCGGATGAAATTTACTCCAATTAAATAATGGGGAAAATGACCCATTGTCCACTGCTGAATGCCAACTCTATCCTTCTTACTGGTTACAGTTTGAAGCTAAGGCAGTCTGTTCACAACCTTGCTCTCCCAAGATAAACTGCAAACCTCACATTTATACAATCACTAAGACCACCTATTTCTACTTCTGTACCATCAATCAGCTTCTCCGGCTGAAGCCCTCATCCTTCCCTTATTACCTTGAGACTCGGTCATTCCGATGCATTGCTGGGCGGCCTGCCAAATCCTTCTGTCTATAAACAGGAGGTCATGCAAACATCTGCAGTCCATGTCTTAATTTACAGCAAGACCTATTTCCCTATCATCCCTGATCTCCACGAGTTCCTGGTTAAGAAGCAGCTCAATTTAAGATTTACATCCGTGTTTTCACCATGTTCCTCCACCGCCTTGTCTCTGTCCCTATCTCTGTATTTCTGTTATCTCCTCCAAACCCACAACTCTCCAAGATATCTGTACTCATACAATTCCAGTCTCTTGTGCAGCCCTGATTTTAACTGGTCTATCGTTGGTGGTTGTGTTTTTAGTTATTATAGCCCCAAACTGCTTCCCTCTGCCACTCCATCTCCCCTCCCTTCTCTCAGACACTCATTAAAGCCTGCCTTTTTGACAAAGTGTTTGGTTATCTGACCTAATGTCTCCTCATTCAGCTCAGTGTCATACTCTTTTTAATAATCCTGTGAAGCACCTTGGGATGTTCCAAAATGTTAAAGGTGCTACTTAAGTATAAGTTGTTGCTGTTAAATAATTATTACACTCTGGAAATGATGAAATGTCGGGAGTGACAGAACTAGAAACTCAGGTAGTTACTAGAGCAGAATTGTAAAACTTAAAAATCACTTATTAATCAATTATATCAATTATTAATTCTATTCTGAACATATTTAGCAATTACCCTATATAATCTCCCACTGGAAGCTATGGTCAATTGAAGTCAGCAATTTTCTTGTAGATTCGTTTGCTGATAGCAGTATATATTTTTAGTTTTCCTTAACATTATCTTAATGTTTTTGGTCTACTAATGTTTGAAGAGAATTCTAAAACTTAACCAGTGGAGGTTTTAGTTCATTTATGCTCTGTATACTTCCATCTGTAACAAATTATACAGGTTGTAAATGAAAACTGACTCACGTTGACAGAGTGGATAGTTAAAGTAGCCAGGGGCACACTGGTCACAGTAGAAACCTTCAAACCCCTGACGACAAATGCACTGTCCAGTCTCTTCATTGCAGCTCCCACCGGTAACGCCTGGGCCCAAACAACGACATGCTGCAATCATACAACAATTATACCGACAGTGAGCATGGGATAATTTAACAGTCACACAGCAAAGAAGCTTAAACTCATCCACACCACCAACAACATGTTAGGTCTTCCACGCTACTGTCCTCGTTAACATTTTGCTATGGGTCAGCTGACTAGGTAGTACATTACACTGGAGTGAACTATACCCTCCCCAGCAATGTCATAATGGACTACAAGTTAATATTCTCACTGCAGTTTGCAAGTACCTTCGCGATCACATTCCTCCCTCACTCTAATTTTCTGCAGCCCTAAAACTCTTGCAATTGCTGCACACCTCCAGTTCAAGGCTCTTACCCACTTCTGCTTTCCTTTGTTCCACCATCAGTGCCTGTGTCTCAGCTGCCTTGCCTCCAGTTTTGGAATTCTCAACCTAAAACTTTCTGCCTCTTTCCCCTCCATCGTCTACTCTAATGTAAAATGTTATTCCAAAGGGCTTCTCCAAAGCAAGATATTGTGGTAAGTTTGACAACAAGACAAATTCCCGTTTAGATACAACTGCCCCCCCAAATCCCAGACACCTACTAGGTGGCATCTTAAGTGGCAGCATTGTGACAGATGGTTGACTCGCCCCTGAGCGTAGGGTTAACTTACGCTGGCAGTTTGCACCGAAGTGATGGGGCATGCACTGTTTACAGAAGCGACCTGTAAAGTTTGGCTTGCAGTTACAGTGCCCCGTGCTCGGGTCTGGCTGGCAGTCATTGTTCTGGGTTCCCGCTGCACTGCAGTCACAGTCTAAGGTAAAGAGAAGCACAGCAGCACAACTAAGTGTACAAGAGGATACTATCAGAACATCCAAAATCTCCACTTCACTCCCTCTTACAGAATCGTTACTCGGACATGCTGAGTGACAAATTTCACACTTAATGTTGTACGTACATGTGATTAATTTCTCTACAATTGTCCAGCATATGCTACAAGTAATCGTAGAGTTATAGAAACCTTACAGTGTGGAAGCAGACCCTTTGGCCCATCAAATCCACACCGACCCTCTGAACAGTATCCCACCCAGACCCACCCCCTCCCCCAAAGAGCATTCCACCCAGATCCACATCCCTCCCCTATCCATGTAACCCTGCATTTCCCATGGCTAATCCACTTAGCTCTGCACATCCCTTAGCTTGGCCAATCCACCTAACCTTTGGAAGGTGAGAGGAAACTGCAGTATCTGCAGGAAACCCATGCAGACACGGGGAGAATGTGCAAACTCCACACAGACAGTTGCCTGAGGCTGGAATCGAACCTGGGTCCTTGGCGCAGAGACGCAGCATTGCTAACCACTGAGCCACCGTGCCACCCAAATAATGTCAAATGAAATACTGCCCTTATGAAAATCTTCTCTTAAAATTAAACTGGATCCTCCACAATAGTTAACAGATATTGTTCATTGTCTTACTGAGATAAACCCAAGAGCTGCCAAAATTTGCTGAGTTTCACATTAGTTATAGTGGGGCAACAGGACATTTTGACTAACATTTTGAAGACAGACGGAACCCTTGAAGAATATAAAGAAAGCGTGGAAGAATTTAACAAGGATTTAGGAGGGCTAAAAAGGGCCATGAAATATCCTTGGCAAACAGGATAAAGAAAAATCCTAAGGTGTTTTCTTCATATATCAGGAGCAAAAAGATGACTAGGGAAAGGGTAGGTCCACTCAAGAACAAAGGAGGGAATTTATGTGTGGAGCCAGAGGAAGTTTACTGAAAGAGGCGGCACAGTGACTCAGTGGTTAGTACTGCTGCCTCTCAGCACCAGGGGCCCCGGGTTCGACTCCCCCTCGGGCAACTGTCTGTGTGAAGTTGGCACATTCTCCCCGTGTCTGCGCTGACTTCCTCCCACAGTCCAAAGATGTGCAGGTGAAATGGATTGCCCATAGTGTTCAGGGATGTGTAGATTAGGTGGATTATCGGGGAATGGGTCTAGGTGGGTTGCTCTGAGGTGGACTTGTTGGGCCGATGGGCCTGTTTCCACACTTTAGGGATTCTATGAATATTCTATAAAGTGGTTGGGGCTCTTAACAAACACTTTGCATTGATATTCACAAAGGAGAACGACATTGTGGTTGGTGAGTCTCAGGAGGGTTATGTTGATATTCCAGGGTGTGTAGACATTAGGAAAGGAGGTGGGGTTGGGTGTTTTAAAAAGATTTAAAGCAGATAAGTCCCCAGGACCTGATGGGATCTATGCCAGAAATGCTCAGGAAGGCTTGTGAGGAAGTTGCTGGGGACTCACACAAAATCCTTGTGTCCTATTTAGTCACAGGATAGGTCCCAGAGGACTGGAGAACAGGCAATGTAGTTCCTTTGTTTACGAAGGGCAAAGGGAATAATGTGGGTAATTACAGGTGAGTGAGCCTAACATCAATGGTAAGGAAATTATTGGAGAAGATTCTTTGGGATAAGACTTACTCACATTTGGAAAAATATGGACTTATTAACGATCAGCAGCATGGTTTTGTGCGGGAAAGGTCATGTTTCACAAACTTGATTTAGGTTTTTGAGGTAGTGAAAAAGATGATTGATGAAGGCAAAGGTTAGATGTTGTCTATGTGGACCTTAGCAAAGCCTTTGACAGGTCCCTCATGCAGGCTGATATAAAAGGTGAAGCCACATGGGATCTGTGGCGAGCTGGTAAGATGGATACAAGGGTGTTTTTCTAACTGGAGACCTGTGACCATTGGTGCTCTGCAGAGATCAGTCCTGGGATCCCTGTTGTTGTGATATATATATAAACATATAAATGATTTCAAGGAGAATGTAAGTGGCCTGATTAGTAAATTTGTGGATGACAAAAAGATTGGGGGACCAGCGGATAGTGAGGAGAATTTCCAGAGGTTACAGCAGAATATAGATAGGCTGGAGACCTGGGTGACAGATGGAGTTTAATCTGGACAAGTGCAAGGTGATGCATTTTGTAAGGTCTAACACACGAGGGAAGTATACAGAAAATGGCAGAACCCTTCGAAGTATGAATAGACAGAGGGATCTAGGAATACAGGTCTACAGTTCCCTGAAAGTAGGAACACAAATGGAGAAGGTGGTCAAGAAGGCATATGGCATTCTTGCCTTTAATCGGTCAGGACACAAAGTATAAAAGTTGGCAAGTTATGTTGCAGTTGTACAGACTTTAGTTAGGCTGTATCTGGAATACTGCATATAGTCCTGGTTGCCAGTCTAAGAACATGGGGGTTTTGGACAGGGTGCAGAAATGGTTTGTCAGGATGTTGCCTGGTTTGGCGGGTATTAGTTATGGGGAGAGATTGGACAAATTTGATTTGTTTTTACTTGAATGTCAGAGACTTTGGTGGGCGTATTCGAGACCTGTTGGCATTTACAAAATTATGACAGGCATGGATAGACATGACCTTTTCCGCACAAAACAATGCTGCCGATCATTAATAAGTCCACATTTTTCCAAATGTGAGTAAATCTTATCTGACAGAATCTTCTCCAATAATTTCCCTACCATTGATGTTAGGCTCACTCGCCTGTAATAGTCTTTTTCCCAGGGTAGAAATGTCAATTTGTAGGGCACATAGGTTTAAGATAAAAGGGTGTTAAGTTTAAAGGAGATGTGAAAAGGAAGATTTGTTTTTTTACACAGGGTGCCTGGGCTGCACTTCCAGAGGAGGTGGTGGAAGCAGAGACAATAGCAATGATTAAGAGACATCTTGACATAACCGAATAGACAGGCAATAGAGTGATATGGACTGCACGGAAGCAATGGGTTTTTAAGTTTAGAAAGGTGTCATGCGTTGGCATGGGCTTGGTGAATCGAAGGGCCTGTCCATGATGTAGTATTCTTTGTTAGGTCCAAGCCAGTGTTTATGCCACATATGGGTTCCTCTCAATCTGCTGCATTTAACCCGGCCTACATATGCTTGCATCCCTTTCTCTGTTGTGCTTTTATTCACCTCAGCTAGTTACTGTGGTAGGAACCTAGGGCTTCGCAAAAGTAGAGGAGTCAACAGCTCAGTATTTACGGATGTGAGCCTCTGAGGCAACAATGGTCATCATGGAACTTAGACCGAACTGTACCACCTGTGCCCTTCTCTCACAGGTCACCCCCTTCTCAGCGTTCTAACTGAGGAGACCATATCAACCATTCAGGCCTTGAATGGGGTCAAAGTGCAAAAGACATTCTAACAAATCAAAAACATGAATTGCTGCAAAAACTCAACAAGTCTGGCAGCAACTGTGAAGAGAAAACAGCATTAAAATGTCAAGTCCAATGACCCTTCTTCACTGCCATTCTAACCACATTGGGTATAGCAGATCCTCTGGAAATTCCTATTGGAATTACTAGTGGTGATATACTTATTTAAACAGCCTTGTTCTAGACTCATCTGAAGATAGAAACACATTCTTTACCCTATCAAACCCTTGAATTATCTTAGTGACCTCTACCAGGTCATCCCCGGATTCAATTTTCATCCTGAACAGAATAATTCTTGTTCAGCCAAAAGAAAAAAAAGTGGCTTCTTCAAATTCCCTCAACCATTCCTTTGTTAGGAAAACAAGACCATCAAGGGATCCTGCTCCTTATCACAATTCAGCTATAAAAATGCAAGTCTTTATGCAGGTATCAGTGAGAACAGGTTTAGATGGACTGCAAGGTCAGCTCAAGGTCTACAAAAGAAGAATAATTGCTTGGTTCAGGTACTGGCAATACTTTGTCAAGGTCAAGAAAGGAGAAGAATCTGATGGAAATTCAGTCCATTCTTCCATGCAAATTGGAAATTAATGGCTGGAATTATGGAATACTGGTTAAAAAAACTCCTTGGAAAATTACTACAATCCAGACCTCAACAATTTCACTAAGACTTTCTAATTACAAACAGATGGAATTGTGGAACAAGGTGCCCAAAACATCCCTAAAAGTACCACATAGCAAAAGCAGAGCAGGCTTTATAAAGCAACATTAATCATTGAACATTCCTCAATTACTTGTCCATCAACTCCTGATAAGCAAATAAATAGTTACAGTAAACAAAGGTGGCAATGTTGAATTTTAAGCTTTGGTTGAAACTCCCTGCTCGATACAAACAAACATCAGGTGACTCATTTACTTCTGCTCCTGCTCACTGGGTAGAGGAGATACCAGTGCTTGGAAGTCAAACAATCTTAATTGTTCTTAATTTGGCTTGCTCTGTTCATCCAGCTCTACACCTTGTTACCTCTCAATTGTTCTACTGTCCCCTCAGAGGTGCAGCACAGTGGCTCAGTGGTTAGCACTGCTGTCTCACAGCGCCAGGGACCTGGGTTCGATTCCAGCCTTGGGTGACTGTATGGAGTTTGAACGTTCTCCCTATGTCTGCATGGGTTTCCTCCCACAGGTTAAATGGACTAATCTAAATTGTCTGTAGTGTATAGGGATGTGCAGGCTAGGTGGATTACTTGTGGTAAATACAGGGTTATAAGAATCGGGTAGGGGACTGGGATGTCAAATGAGATACCCTTCACAGGTTGTGCAGACTCAATGGGCTGAATGGCCTCTTCCTGCACTGTAGGGATTCTATGATTTGTGATGTACCTCTTAACAATACTTTTCCCCCACTGGCACGTCTCAAGATGTCAATACACCAGTTAGTTTTCCCACTCTCTTCCCCAAAACTCTTATGCTGTGCTCACAAACAACATGACACACACCCAAAACATATTACACCCACACAGTAACGATTAGAGCAGTTCAGATGAAACTCTTTGGCTGTGCAAGAGACCTTTGAGTTTAGGGTAGAGATGAATGATAAAGAATTAACATCCTCATTGACTGTCTGAAACAAAAAGGATGACGATTTTGTCTATCTTTCCAGTCATCATCATATTAGTCATGTTGAGATGTATTTGAAGCTGCAATACCACATGGAAATCAAAAGAAAACAGCATCAACCATTTTACACTTTTAAAGTCCAGTGACTTACTTATTATTTTCCCAACGTGAATGAGAGCCCCTGTCGATTGTGTGGGATCCACTGGTAAAGCTATGGAACAAGATACACAAGATGAGTGGAACACAATAATTTGAGAATCATCAAATCAGCTATCTTCTGATCAAACAAATTCTCAGCTTTTAAATTGCAGGCCAAAAGCCAAGCTTCCGAAAAACCTTTTCCTTTAAACTTAGTAAAAAGTTCCTTTTCTTTTGAAGAAGGTCTATAGAACTAAAGTCTGCCCTCAGGGAGAGTTAGATAAAAAGAAAGATTACAGTAAGCAGTAGAGCCAAACTCTTTGTGCGTGTTCCTTTTAAAACCTGGCTATAAATTGTCATTTCCCAAGGTTCACGAATAGATCAAACTTGAATTCTTGGTGGGATAGATACATGGAGCAAGGAAAAATTTGAAATAACTAACAGCTATTTTTGCTTTCAATCAGTCTGAGTGTACAAAAAGGAAAACTTGCAGTTCTAACACCTTTCATAACATCAGAATGTCTAAAAGCACTGATTCAGCCAGTTTAAAGTGCAACTTCTGTAAAGTAGGAAGTATGGCAACAAATGTGTACATAGCAAGCTCCCACAAACAAAATATCATTTTTCAAAGTGATTTTGATTGAAGGATAGCTATTGGCCAAGAGACAACAAAAACAACGTTGCTGGAAAAGCTCAGCAAGTCTGGCAGCATCTGTGAAGAAACAATCAGAGTTAACGTTTCGGGTCCGATGACCTTTCCTGAGTTCTGAGGAATCAATGACAATTCCCCTATTTTTCATTGAAATAGTTTTCTTCATTCATTTGGAATATATCGATATATTATGGGATGTGGGCATTGATGGCTGAGCCAGCATTTGTTCTCCATCCCAAACTGTCCTTGAGAACAGGGTGTGTGGTGAGTTGCCTTTTTGAACCACCTGGTCCAGCTGGTAGAGGTTCACACACAGTGCTGTTAGGAGTGAGATTACCCCCACATTTATGCTGCGGTGCCTTGCAACTGTTCATGCCCACGTGAGTGAAGACACGTAGACAAGGCCTCAGTTTAATAGCTCTTCAAATGCAGCACTCTCTCTTCCCAGTACTGCACTAGAATGTCAACATAGATTTCTGTCCAAGAGTCAGAGGTGAGAGTGCTACCAACTGAACCATACCTAACAGTAGAAATAAGAGGTCTCCTGTCATCGATCTTTGCAAAGTGTGTCACATCAGTAACACTGTGCTGATGCAGCAACACAACACATTATGAATGCCACTCTTTCATCCTTACAACACACATATATTTGTGACCCTTCTATGTCAAAGAACAGCATCCATTAGAATTTCTTGATTAAGCTGTGTTGATTTCCACTGGTATTAAACCTGCTTAACTTACATTAAGAGCGACTCAAATTCTGCATATGTTTGTTATATTTAAGTCACATCGGATCCACAGTGAGTTGTTAAGTTAGACATAAAATTGGTTAGTTGTGGAAAGGTGTTTTTCCGACTGGAGGTCTGTGACCAGTGGTGTTCTGCAAGGATCAGTGCCGGGATCTCTGTTTTTGTAATTTATAAAAATTCTTTGGATGAAAACGTAGGTGGTCTGATTAGTAAGTTTGCAGACAACACAAAAATTGGAGGAGTTTTGGATAGTGTGGAAGATTGTCAAAGGATAGAGCAGGAAAGCCGGGCAGAAAATGGCTGATGGAGTTTAATCCGAACAAGTGTAAGGTGATGCATTTTGGGAAGTCAAATGCAAGAGAAAATGTACAGTAAATGGTAGGACCCTGAGCAGCACTGACATAACAATGGACCTGGGGGTGCATGTCATGGCTCTCGAAAAGTGGCAACACATGGACAACATGGTAAAGAAGACATTTGCTTGCATTCATTGGTCAAGGCACCGTGTATGAAAGCTTGCAAGTCATGCTGCAGGTATATAAACCTTTAGGCCACATTTGGAGTATTGTGTGCAGTTCTGGTGGCAACACTAGAGAAAGGATGTGGAGGCTTTGGAGAGGATGCAAAAGAGGTTTACCAGGATGTTGACTGGATTGGAGGGTATTAGCATAAAGAGAGGCTGGACAATCTTGGAATGTTTTTGCTAGAACGAAGGCTAAGGAGCAACCTGACAGAAGTATATAAAATTATGAGGGGCATGGGTACGGTGGAGTGTCAACCTGTTTCCCAGTGTGGAAATGTCAAATAGTAGGGGGCATAGGTTTAAGGTGAGAGGGGAAAGTTTAAAGGAGATGTGCAAAGTGAGTGTTTTTTTTTAAAAACAGTTGACTGGAACATGTTGCCAGGGGAGGTGGTAGAAGCAGCTATGATAAAGTTTAAGAGGCATTTAGATAAACACATGAACAGGAGATATGAACCTGTTTAGATTAGTTTAGAATGGCATCATAATTGGCACAGACACGATGGGCCAGGAGGGCTTGTTCCTGTGCTGTACTGTTCTATAATCTACATGCAGAGTCGCAATCAGTCAGTCAGTCTGCATGCAGAACCAAAAGTATATAAACTGAACCAGAATCACTGCTGCAGTTTTTGGGAAGGAGCAGGAGATGAAATCACTGCTCCAGAGGGTGGTATACAGCCATCAGATGTCAGTGATGGCTCATATGTAGCATTGTCAGCTGAATCAGAAGGCCATGGGTTGGAGCTGCATTCCAGTCTATGACCCTGTTGTGAAGTACTGAGGGACTGCCGTACTGTTGGAGATACTATTTTTTTTTAGGTGAGATAGTAAAGCTACAGCGCACCCCCCTCTCCCCCACAACACACATGGTCTCTGTTTTTATTCATCCAGCCAGCATTTATTGCCTGTTCCTAATTGCACTTGCAGATGTATATAAAAGATCAAATGGCACTTTGTGAAAAGCAGAGGTTTGCTAATCAACATCAATCCTTCAACCAACACTATGAAAGCCATAAATTTAAAAAAAGAAACTCAGCAGGTCTGACACCATCTGTGGGGAGAGAAACAGAGTTAACATTTTGAGTTCAACAAAACAAGAATCAGGTTGGACCCAAAACACTAACCTCTTTTCCTCTACACAGATGCTGACAGACCTGCTGTGTTTCTGCAGCATTTGGTCTTTTTATTTCAGATTTCTGGCATCTGCAATATTTTGCTCTAAGAAAACCAGATTGTCAGGTCACTCTCCTATGGCTGGTTGTGGAATCTTGCTGTGTGGGACTATGCTGTCACATGACTTGTATTTGTGAGTTTGTTTCAAAAAAAACTTAATTGGCTTGAAATCAGGCAAGACATCTTGAAGTGGTAAAAGGATCTCACGAAATACAGAAATTTCGTTTTTCATTAGTGGACACCACATACAGTAAGGTGCTCCTGAGGCCAATCTACAGCCAGAAAATAAAATGCTGAGTAGAAAATCAGAGATCTGAACGGAGTTAGGCCAAAACGAACTGTATATGACTAACTGTAGGTCAGTCGAACCTTAACAAGCTTGGGGCTTGATGACTCTTCGGTTAAACTCACCATCAGAGGGAGCAGCCCTACGATCTGCTGGGACTATAACAACATTGCCTTTCATTGTAATGGTGACTGACCCATCCATAGCAGGATTTCGAATGTTTCAACAGCGGATTCCGAAATTGCTGTTGTGAAACACCTCACCCTGAACTCAGGTACCTCACATTTATCTAACACTACCTTATCAGAAGACATTCTGCAAATTTCAATAGTTAATTCAAAGATTTGTAATACTTACGGTAACAATTGGGAAAGTTGTAGTATCCCTCAGCACAGTAGTCACAGTTGTCACCAGCGTAATTGTACTTACAGTAACAACGGCCTGTGTTATCCTCACAGGCATCTTCTGTGAACTCTGAATTGCAATTACAAGCTGGAATAACATGAAACACATGAGTTAAGTGCTGCTGCACCGCCCACATTACTCCCAAGAAATATTATATGTGAATTATTTAAAATACAAAACTCACGAAGGCAAGCATTCACAGAATCTGCTGGCATGTCAGGTGCACGATAATATCCATGCACACATCGTTCACAGTTGACCCCAGCAGTGTTGTCCTTGAAGATAAGACAAGAAATAAATTTAACATTTCAGATTTTATTGTGCGTTACTTGGATTCTAAACATAATCCACCAGGAACAAAAATAAAAGTTGCTGGAAAAGCTCAGCAGGTCTGGCAGCATCTGCGAAGGAAAAATCAGAGTTAACGTTTCAGGTCCGATGACCCTTCCTCAGAACTTCCTTAGTTCTAAGGGTAACTTGGACCCGAAACGTTAATTCTGTTTTCTTCCTCCACAGATGCTGCCAGACCTGCTGAGCTTTTCCAGCAACTTTGTTTTTGTTCCTGATTTATGGCATCCGCAGTTCTTTCGGTTATTATAATCCATCAGGATACTGGAAAAACACTCTCAAAAAGAAAAAAGTTTTTTAGGGGGATGAGGGGTTTCTTCTCTAATTTTACCATCAAGTTTGGAAATTGCTAACCAATGCTTAGAATCCTTGTTATAACTTATGCAAGTTGCCGTTTTATATATCATGAAGTATACAATGGCTCAGTGGTTAGCACTGCTGCCTCACAGCGCCAAGGTTCGATTCCACCTTCAGGCAACTGTCTGTGTGGAGTTTGCATATTCACCCTGTGTCTGTGTGTGCTTCCTCTGGGTGCTCCAGTTTCCTCCCACAGTCCAGAGAAGTGCAGGCTAGGTGAATTGGCCATACTGAATTGCCCATAGTATCTAGGGATGTACAGGCTAGGTGGATTAGTCATGGGAAATGCAGAGTTCCAGGGATAGGATGGAGGGTAGGTGGGTCTGGGTTGGGATGCTCTTTGGAGGGTCGGTGTGGACTCGATGGGCCGAGTGGCCTGCTTCCACACTGTTGGGATTCTTCGATTCTAAGTGGGCAGCAAGCCATCAGCCAGTTCTCTCTAAGTTCATTGTGAACTTTGAAACTAGTGTCAAACTTCCTGTCCAATATTCATCTTCCTATGACACTTATGTCCCATTGCCAGTCTCTCCTGAATTCCTCTACACAGAAAGATAACAGATGTACGAGAGAGCAACCTGGGGATGCCTCTCTTGCCCAGTGTCTTCTTCCCTCTTATGTGGTCACACAGAATCTTTACCAATGACTCTGTTACAATGTGTCTGGGCTTGGGAACAGTGTTTTTTGTTGATTTGAAGTCTGTTTGCCACAAACGTACACTGAATAATGTCATGATGATTTGAACAATCTGTGGTTAGATGTTAACGTGCAAACTTTCACACAGACATATTTCTGTTTTGAAAAACAGATTTGATAACATGCATAGCCACTGTAAGATGCAGGAACTTACTTGACAATTAATGCAGACACCGCCTCCTTCATAACGGCCATGGCTATTCAAGCTTCCTTTGCGTTCATCGACTTCAGGGTCATACACACATTCAAAGGCATGGCCATTGCAGTTACAGGCTGTGAAATGGATATTGCATCATGAAATGAATGAATTATTACTTTAGACTGCTCTCCATATCCTTGCACCTGATAAGATGCAAAGCACAACTATCTGATTCATAGAACATAGAACAGTACAGGCCCTTCGGCCCACAACGTTGTGCCGACCTATTATCCTACTAAGGTCAATCTACCCTGCATACCCTACATTTTACTATCCTCCATGTGCCTATCCAAGAGTCGCTTAAAAGTCTCTGAAGTATCTGACTCCACTACCACTGCCGGCAGCGCATTCCACATGCCCACCACTCTCTGTGTGAAGAACCTACCTCTGACATCTCCCCTATACCTTCCTCCAATCACCTTAAAATTATGCCCCCTCGTAATCGTCATTTCTGCCCTAGGAAAAAGTCTCTGACTATCCACTCTATCTATGCCTCTCATCATCTTGTAAACCCTTATCAAGTCACCTCTCATCCTTCTTTGCTCCAATGAAAAAAGCCCTAGTTCCCCTCAATCTTTCCTCATAAGATCTGCCCTCCAGTCCAGGCAGCATCCTGGTAAATCTCCTCTGCACCCTCTCTAAAGCTTCCACATCTTTCCTGTAATGAGGTGACCAGAACTGAACACAATATTCCAAGTGTGGTCTAACCAGAGTTTTATATAGAGCTACAACATAACCTCACGGCTCTTAAACTCAATTCCCCTGCCAATGAAAGCCAACACACCATACATCTTCTTTACAACCCTATCAACTTGGGTGGCAACTTTGAGGGATCTATGGACATGGACCCCAAAATCCCTCCGTTTCTCCACACTGCCGAGAATCCTGCCATTAACCCTGTATCCTGCATTCAAATTCGACCTTCCAAAATGAATCACTTCACACATTTTAGTTTAAATAAAAAGTTCCTCATTCAGTGTATGCAATGACAAAACTTTAATGATATCTTAAATTATTGCTAATTTTTTTTTTATTTCCACAGGATGTGGATGTAACTGGTAAGATCTGCGTTTATTGCCTCTCCTGAACAGCCCCTAGCGAGGAGATACTTTGTTGAATTGCAGCGATCCACGTGGTGTGGGTTCACCCTCAGTGCTGGGAGGAGGGAGTTCCATGATTTTGACCAAGCGGTGGTGATATTTATCCAACTCAGGATGGTGCAGGACTTGAATGAAAACTTATAGATGACAAATGTTTCCATGTACTTGTTACATGCGTACAGCACATTAAAGTCACCCACTACAAGCTACAACATAAAGTAAAAGGGGAGAATAGGTATCTAACTCAAAATTTATCTTCAGAAAAACTGCTTGATATCTACCTGAACTAAGAAAGTATATATGATTGAGAGTCTGACCATCCTCTCCAGGCTGAGATTATAATGCACGCCAAATGGCTCCTTAAGGATTGTGGCCAGTATATAAATATCCTGTAAAAGCAATTTAACCACAACGACCATGAACTAGGCTCAAACAGGGAAGCAGTAGTGAGGATAAACCATAAAGGAAAGAGGAATCTGGGTACATCCAGTGCCTCAAATGCATCAACGTTATCGGACGGACAAGGTAAGCTGAAGTCTCACTGAAGAACCAAACTATTTGTTTATGTTCAAGGTGCAAGAGCTGATAAGTAACATTGGATTCAAGACATTCACTCAGTTTCTCTCTCTACAGACACAGCCAGGCGGAGGTTCTCCAAAGCTTTCAGATTTTATACTAAAGCAAAATGGATCAGGACACCATCTAATGAAAAATCCTAAGTTTTTACATCAATGCCCATGTGCCAGAGTTATAACTCCTACAGGGATGATCTTTTTGATTCTATAAATGAGTGACTACAAGCACAGCGAAGCGAAGATGGCAGCAACACCCCAAGCAGCCCAATAACTCCCTGTGGGTCTGTGAGGAACCTCACAAGAGGCTGGCACCATTCTGGTCAGCAATAGATAGGGTGTATCAGGGATACATGTCGGTAAGCAATTACAGGAAAGGGGGAAGACTGACCAGAATGCCACGTTTTACTCCATTTAAATAGAGGAGTCAAGGAGCCAAAGAGACAAAAATAATGAACCATGTTGTTTTACCATTCAAGACCTTAACTGAGATCTCTCTATTATGAAGTAAAACAATACAATACAGGCATCACAGGCTGAAATCAGTCTGGGTACAACACACTGAGTGGCAAAATATTGTGATGTAGAACTTTGCAGTTCACAGATTATCAAGAGAAAGGCACAAAGGGAAACAAATGCTATGGAACTTAAATGGGTTTTGTTCTGCATGCCATGTGTTTGTAATTGCTAATTCAGCTGAAATAACTTAATGGAGGAGCACTGGTAACAAACCTGCTCAACTGACCCAATGAATAACTAATTCCTTCATTAGCTACTAGCTTTGCAGATTAATGATCACGTGATTTAGTTACTAGTTTACCAGCGAGTTAATGAATCTCAGCAGGAAAATAAGTGAGCAGGCAAGTTAAAAAATGAGGATGCATGTCTAAAGCAAAAAGACTGCATTCAAAGGAAAATATATTTGTTTCTTTGGAATAAAGACAAAGGTCAGACTCTATTACACAGGAACAGATAGTTTAAGATTATCCCTGAACTGAAAGCGAAGTGGTCAACAAAGGCAAAGAGCTCTGAACTATGAATGACCTCAGTAACAATTGTGCTACCTACAAACAGGATAAGGAGGTAAGACTCCACCTGGTAAGATGTGGCTCAGAGAAGCAGGCAAATTCGAAAGCCACAGACAGCTTGCAAATTAATGATCCCAGAAACATAAAAAGAATTTTTTTTAAAAAGGAAATTGAAACGCAAATAAAGTGCTTAAAATCCATGTGTGCACTGCTAGGTCATGCAGGCTGGGGCCTGAAACCTGACTCTATGATGAAATTCTGATGTTAAATCAATCACTTCCAACCCACAGAACTGTAGAACGGTTATAGCAAAGGAGACCATTCAGCTCATCGTATCTGTGCTGGCTCTTGACAAAAACAACACATCTAGTCCCAGGCTCCTCTCACTTTTATTCCAATAATGTGACAAATCTTTTCTCTTCAGACAATTAGCCAATTGCCTTTTGAAAATGAAAATCGAATCTGCCTCCACCACATGGGTTGCATGTTTTATCTTTACAGGATAAAACCAGGACACCGCCCTGCAAACATCACACCATGCATTTTTTCTCTTCCACAGAACTAGGAATAATATTCCTACCAGAAGTGGTGACAACATTTTGAAATACAGTGGAGTCAAAAATTAGTAAGCAAAATAGCTGTTATCGGATCAGTTGCCTGCTCAAGAGAAAACTGCATTCCAACACTTAATTTTATGTAAGTACTTACGTTCACATTCATTTGCACTGTCTATCGTAGCTGGTTTCCAAGGCAGTTGATTGTATCCAGGGCAACAATGGTCACATGACACTCCACATGTGTTGTGTTGGCAATCACATTGAAGTCTGAGAAAATGAGACAAATGATTGAGTTACTTACACACCAATAAACTACCGAGTTTCCCTTGTTCATTACTGTGAGGTGCTGAATATTAGTCACTGAGCAATATCATGAAATTAAAATGTTTGAAATAAGCAGAAATCTGTACTTATTTAACATTTTACCATGTGTCAGAAATGATCCAAAGTGCCTCCATATTGAGTGAATTCTGTTGTACAATGATTCTGTTATTAAATAAAAGGAAAAGCCACCATTGTCTTACCAGACTGTAGGTTGCTCTCCCACTACAGAGACACAACCGGTGGTGGTTTAACCTAAGGGTCACCACGCCTCAGGTGAGGGGAAGAGATTAAGAAGGAGATGGTAACCTCAGCTGGCACAGGAATTGAATCCATACTGTTGGCATCACCCTGTGTCACAAGCCAGATGTCCAGTCAATTGAGCTAACTGACCCCGAGAGGTAACTTGTGGTGAATTTAACCTGACTATATTATATAGGTCAATTCTCTACTTTTAATAGTGCTATACGATCTTCAGCATCCATTGTAATAGGCAAAAAAGGGTCTGATTTAACATCTCAAAGAAAGGTGTGTAACTTTAAAGGTAATATGAATTTCTTCCTCTTTCATTGCAAATGGATGTGATAAATTTAGCCACCTTTTAGCTAGCTAGTGCCTTAAACAGAATAATTTGTCATACAGTTCAGTCAAAACAAAAACAAACATTCAGGATTTTCAAAGTTCAGCAGGTGGCTGGTGAGAAATTTGTGGACATGGAGAAAGTTGCTTCACGTTAGAGTAGAACCTTGTGCTACCCTGGAGTTTATTTTTTGCACTGCGCTTTCTGTCAGGAATATGGTGGCAATCCATTCACAAATATTGCGGTTGTTCACTTTTCTCACTATGCTACTTGTCAGGAGTCATTGGTTTTCCCTTATCAAGGATTTAAACACCTGTCAATTATCTACTGATCAACCGTTCCCTATGGTGAAGTATGTAGGATTGAGAGAGATTGGGAAACAGACAGGGAATGATATAGCTCTAAACTGAAACATTTGGAAAAGGCAAATTCTAGCTAATTCAACTCTCCTGTACAATATCTGAGCCCAGCAGAATTTTCATAATGCATTGATTTGATTTGATTTCATTTCATTTATTATCATCATGTACTGAGATTCAGTGAAAAGCATTGTTTTACGTGCTATCCAGACCAATCAGACCTTACATAAGTACACCAGGGTAACAGAACAGAATGCAGAATATAGTGTTACAGCTACAGAGAAGATGCAGAGAAAGAGCAACTCTAATACAACGGAGGTCTGTTCATAAATTTGATAATAACGGCCAAGAAGCTGTTCTTAAATCGGTGGGTACGTGTTTTCAAACTTTTGTACCTTCTCCCCAATGGAAGAGAGTATAACCAGAGTCGGAGGGGTCTTTGATTATGTTGGCTGTTTTCCCAAGGCAGCAGGAAGTATAAACAGAGTCAATGGAAGGAAAGCTGAAAGAACCGTGGATGCTTAACAGAAAGAAAAACAGAAGTTGCTGGAAGATCAGCGAGTCTGGCAGCATCTGAAGAAGGGTCACTGGACCCGAAATGTTAACTCTGATCTCTTCTTCAGAGATGCTACCAGACCTGCTGAGCTTTTCCAGCAACTTCTGTTTTTGTCAGTGGAAGGAAGGCTGGTTTGCGTGATGGATTGGGCTGCATTTACAACTCTCTGTAATTTCATGCGGTCTCGAGAGAGCAATAGCCATACCAAGCTGTGATGCACCTGGATAGGATGCTTTCTATGGTGCATCTATAAAAATTGATAAACTGTGATTGTGGACATGCCGAATTTCCTTAGGCTTCTGAGGAAGTCAAGGCGTTGGTGTGTTTTCTTAACTCTAGCGTTGACGTGGATGGAGCAGGAGAGATTGTTGGTGATATTTACTCCGAGGAACTTGAAGATCTCTATCATCTCCACCTCAGCACCACTGATACAGACAGGGGCATGTCCTCCACTCTGCTTCCTGAGGTCAATGACCAGCTTCTTTGTTTTGCTGACAGATTGTTGTCTATACACAATACTGCTAATCTCTCTCTCTCTCCTGTACACTCTGCCTCATCATTGTTTGAGATCTGATCCATTATGGTGGTGTTATCAACAAATTCGTAAAAGGATTTAGGGCAGAATTTGGCCACACAGTTATGAATGGATAAGGAGTACAGTATGGGGCTGAGTACACAGCCTTGCAGGGCACTGGTGTTGAGGATTATCATGGAGGTGGTGTTTTTGCCCATCCTTACTGATTGCGGTCTGCGGGTCAAGAAGTTGAGGATCCACTTGAAGAGGGGGGTGCAGAGTACTAGATCTCAGTTGGAATTATGGTGTTGAAGACAGAGATAAAGTCAATAAATAAGATTGGGGGTCCTTGTTATCCAGATGTTCCAGGGATAAGTGTAGGGCCAGGAAGATAGTGTATGACATGGATCTATTGTGATGGTAGGTGAATTGGAGTGAATCAAGGCAATCTGGGAGGCTGGAGTTGATGTGTGCCATTACTAATCTCTCAAAGTGCTTCATAATGATGGATGTCAGAGCCGATGGGTGGTAGTTATTAAGGTGTGTTGCCTAATGTTTCTTTGGTACTTGGGTGACAGTGAATGGAACCGAATTGAATTGAATTATCGAATTGAATCAAATTGAATTAGCTGTCTTCTTGAAGCAGGTGGGAGCCGCTTATCAGAGTGAGGAGAAGTTAAAGGTGTCTGCAAATTCTCCCGCCAGCTAGTCCACGCAGGATACGAGTATACAGCCAGGGACTCCATCCGGGTCACTCGCTTTCCAAGGGCTCACCCTCAAGGAGGCTGATCGGACGTTTGCAGTGATTGTGGGTACAGGTGCACCCCAGGCTGTCAGGGCATTTGACATCATTTCACTGACGATCATCGAATGAATTGAGCTCACCGGGGAGGGATACATTGTTCCCAGTGGTGACTTCACTTTGTAACCCATTATATTGTGTCAGCCTTGCCACAGTCGCCATGTATTCATATGATTAATCATCGATCAGATAAACTTGGAAAGCTAGGCCTATCACTACATCTGGTCTACCTCCAATTAATTTGCAGACAACCCAATGAGCCAAATGTCCTAACTGGTAGGAAAACAAAGAGCAAAGAATTACAGGTGCTGGAAATCTGAAACAAAATGGGAACAGAAATTTCTGGAAAACTCAGCAGATCTGGTAGTATCTGTGAAGAGAAAGCAGAGTCAACGTTTCAGGTCCAGAGACCCTTCTTCAGAATGGACCTGAAATGTTGATTCTGCTTTCTTTCCACAGATGCTGCCAGACCTGCCGAGTTCTCCGGTAATTTCTGTTTCTGTTCCCAATCCGTAGGTGCGATCTTAACTGAACAACCTCAAGGTAAGCAAAAACTCTGAGCTGGTAAGGTGGGTGTCTTTAGCATATTAAATTCCAGCTTAAATTACTGTGCACCCTCTCTAAACCTTGATTTTTGCCAAACTGTGTTAATCTTTTTTTAATTTAAACAAGATAAGAGGAATTGTGCACTTTGTATAGCACAGACAGAGACTCCATTTCTGTGATCGCTCTCAGTTCTGATGAAACAAACCAAAACATTAACTTCGTTTCTCTCCACTAGAGATTTTTTTTTCCCAGCTTTTTTTCTCATTTCAGATTTCCAGCATACACAACGTTTTATTTTCCCAGTAGCATTTTTCAGACACTATTAAGAATGATGAGCTTTTATTCTGTGTGAATACAGAAAAAAGTTATGCTCTTTACTCCATATCTTCACTGGGTGCCTCTAAAAGTAGAGGCTATCCATGTTTAACGTTTGGAGATCTGTAAACTAGTGACCACAGTTAGATTGCAGAAACTGATCTCATTTGGAACAATTGAAAATGGAACAATGGAAAGATAATTCAATGTGTTTATCACAGCATGGAAAGAGTGAAGAAATTGTAGAGAGAATTCACTATGGTTATCATTACTGCATTAATTTTCTGTAACTAATTGTTGCGGCATGTTTTGCAAGTAATTTGTGATAAAGCTTTCACACTTTTTTTGAACAAGACTGAAATCTGAATAGGAAACTGGAGAGCTCTATACTGAAACTCAGCCACTTCTCAACATCTCAGCACACCCCAAGTCAACCTTTTTTTTAATGCTTTGAGAGTGCAATTATTAAGACACAAGGACAATTTTTATGAATTAAAAACATTCCTGGAATTGGACCTCTCTTAACTGCAGGTTAGAAAATCAGATTAGGTTAGAAGCTTAGCCCACTGAACCTGGGTTATGCCTAATTCTCCACTGATTGATTTCTGCCTATCTTCAGTCTGATAGATTCATCTAAATATAAGTCAAGCCAGGTTCTGCCCCAAGCAATCACGTCGTACCTCAGCTCACTGATGTAGTAAAACCACAAATTCTGTCCAATGAGGAGTGAGACTCTCCGGTCCCATCCTACATCTGAGTCGGCACAAAAATAGCCTGAACTCCTACATTTTTACAGTTACAAAAGAGCAAAGACAAACTAACATCGCAGATCCGGCACTACATAAGAACCGTATTATGTAGGAGATGAGATCCATTTCATTCTCTCATTTATAACTTGAGGGGAAGCTGTGTGGGCTTTAAATTTATACTTAAACATCTGCTCATAGCTAAAGACTTTCTGTTCAGCTGTTTCTGCCTAGGCAAACTGAATGATTAGGGGGTTCAATCTTTGATTTTGCAACAAGAAAAGGCATTACCACTGATGTTAGAAACATTGCACCTTAAACACTAATGTTTTGGAGTGAGGGTGGGGTGGTTGTTTAGACCAAGGAGATCAAAAGGCTCAACCTAACTAGCACCTTTAATGTACAATGCTAGCTGTACTTCACTTTAAAGCCTGAAAGCATCCTATCCAGATGCATCACAGCTTGGCACGGCAACTTCTCTGGCCAAGACCACAAGAAATTAGACAGAGTTATGAACACAGCCCAGTC